CTATAGTAAAGTTTAAAGATTCCTTATTTAAAGCGCTTCTTTAGTATAGTAATTACTTTTTCTTATAATACTTTTAGAACTAGAAATAACTTCTTTTACTATACTTTATAAGACATAATCTTAATTTCTAGAGGTAATAAGACTTTATATTATATATAGCTAAGTTTTATTTAGTTAAAAGCTAAAGCTACTTCTTTATTAAGAAGAGTCTAGAATAGTAACTTTCTCTCTTATAGTTATAAATATTTCTTAATTATTAGTAAATTAAACTTTTCTCTTATAAGTTAATTTTCTTTTAGTAGATCTGAAAATTATCTAGTAATAAAGTCTCTAAATAAGCCTCTTAGTACTAGCGATTTAGCTTTCTTATCTCTTTTAAACTAATTATTTATTTCTTTAAACTTATCTTTATCTAAGTTTTTAAGATTAATAAGTTAAACCTTATTTGCTTTCCTCTTATATAGTATATTAATTTTAACTAATTACTCTTATTATATATCTATCTTCTTTTCTTTTCTTATTAAAAAAGAATATAAAGTCTTTTTTTCCTTTTTCTATTTAAAATATAAAAATCTCTAACTCTTATTCTTATAATCTTAGATTATAAGTTTTTTTCTTTTACTTTTACTTCTTCTTTTTCTTTTTTACTTATTTTTTATAAACTTTATAAACCTCTTAGCGCTTAATAAGAACTAGTGATCTTAGCTTATTAGTTTCTAAATTAGAAATAAACTCTTCTAAGCCTTTTTTTATACTAGTACTTACTTTAATATTATATATACTAGTTAAAGGTTTTCTTAGTCTTCCCTAATCTTTATAATATCTCTTATAATAATAATTTATTTAGTAGAATCTTAATTAGAATTTATAAATATTACTATTATAGCTTTAGTTCCTAGGTATTTAAATATAAGCTTACTTTTTAAGATAAAAGGCATACTTAGAAGAATATTATAAGATACTTCTTTAATTACTATAAAATCTATATAATTCTTAATACTACTAATATTAATTAGTATATTCTTAATATAACTTAGAAAGCTAAAAGTATTACTAGTAATAGTTATAAAACTAAGGGCTTTCTATATTAGGATTAATAGTTAAGTTATTTCTACTATATATTTACTTATAATATTTACTTCTACTCTATAGTTAATTATTACTTAGGTTCTAAGCTTTACTTCTACTATAACTTAAACTTTAAGTATTTATATTATAAGCTCTAAGTAGTTTCGAATAATTTCCTTATAATAAGAGATAGCTATAGAAAGAATTTTAAGTCTTCTTAATTCTTTACTAAGGAATTTAGTAAAATAAATAGCTTTAGTAATAAGTTAGTCTAAGCTTTTAGATATATTAAGTCTAGTTCTAGCGCTACTTATAAGTATAACCTAGACTTCTAATCCTCTTTTATATAGAACTAAAGGTATATTATAATTAAGTATCTAATCTTACTAAGCTTAAAGTCTAAATAAATTACTTATTTTAATTCTAAGTTCTTATTTTATAATATTAACTATTATATCTTATTAGGCGTTAATTAAAATATAAGTATCTAGTTAACTTTTCCTATTTTAAAATAACTAGAGTTTTAGTTTTTACTAGCTTTAAAAGATCTTATAACTTAGTTTCTTATATAATTTTAATTATTTATATTAAAGTACTATTACTTAGATTATCTAGTACTATCTTCTTACTAGCTTCTTTAACTTAGCTTAACTCTTAACTAGCTCTCTTAAGAATAGTACTATAGTTCTTTTCTCTCTTAGCTTAATTCTTTTATATCTTTCTTAGAAAGCTTTATTATTTTATTTTTCCTGAAATAGCTTCTACTAAGACTCTTACTTCTTTAATTAATAGTTCTAAAAGTTTTAAAACTATAATAAAGTTAATCTTTATTTTTTTTAAATATTATAAGTTTCTTATTTTAAAGTATAGTAATTACTAGAGTATTAGCTAGTCTATTTATAACTTTATACTTCTTTTAATAGGCTTTTCTAGCTTCTAAGTCTAAGTTATATTTAGTTCTAATAGTACTTAAGCAGATAATAATAACTTAAGATTATCTTACCTTTTTTATAACTAGTTAAGTATCTTTCTTATTAAGAGCTAATATAAATTTATTTATACTTATTAATATATATAATATTATTATTTATATAATATTTAAAGATTAGATAGTTATTTCAGTATCTATAAGGAAGTACTTTAAATTAGTTATTACAAAAGTTATAAACTAAGGGCTTACTATATCCTATTACTCTAATCCTTATAATTCCTCTAAAGTTAACTAGTTTACTACTTCTTATATCCTAAGGACTATATTCTATATAATAATCGCGATTCTATGTAGTTCCTTAGCTTCCTTATCTAAACTTAGATATATAAGAGGTATTACTTAGTATTTATTAGATTTATTATAACTTAGAGTTTATAGTACTAATTTTAAGTTCTATTATCTTAGATACTAAGTCTTTAATATCTTTCTTTTCTATTGTTAAAATACTATAATTAGTAAATAGAATAATAATTAGTCTCTTCTTTATAGCTTCTATAATAGTTAGTACTTAAGTATATTCAAGTTCTTTAATAAGCTTATAAATCTCTTTAGTATATTTAATAGTTAGCTCTTTTTTATATTATAAAGCTTTAATAGTTTACTTACTTTTAGTAGCTTTAAGAATAAAATCTTAAAAAGTCTTATAATTCTTATAAGTCTAGAGCTTAGAATTATCTACTTTATAGTTCTTAATAACTTTAGCTCTTAGCTCTCTAAGTAACTTAAGGAGAAATAGTTATCCTTAATTTATCTTACTAAGAACTTACTTATTAAGTAAAGCTTCTAATACTTAGAAGTAAAAGTAATAATATTCTTTAAGGTTAGATATATTCCGCTTAATTATAATAAACTCTCGAAAGAACTTTATAGTATTTTAAATCTACTAATAATTATACTTCTTAAACTCGACTTTTAGTATAATAGCTAAGATAGCTTATAATTTTTAGTTTTTTTATTTAGGAATTATTCTAATAATATTATAATAGATATTATTATAATAATAAAAAAGGCGATTAATACACTTAAGTTTTATAATAAAGTAATTATTATAAATCTCTTTATATCTTTTAAAGAAGTCTAAAATATTAGCTTTATAGAAGAATAATATCTCTCTTAATCTTAAGAGTAATATCCTTCCTTTAAAGAATTAGTTAAGATCTTAAGTAGTAGATATATTAGCTATATTCTTTATTATTATACTAGAAGTAAAGATTATAAATTTTTAAGTGTTCTAAAATTCTATTAATAAATTAAAAGTAAAGAGTATATCTAAAAAGATAGAATATAGATTAAAGTAAGCTTTAACTAGTTCTAATCTTATCTCTTTTTAAATTTCTAAATTTTTAAAAGAAAGAAATAGAAACTATTTAAATAGAGAAAATATATATTAGTTCTTAGATATTATTATCGAAATTTCTTAGTATATTTAACTACTATCTAACTTATAATCCTAGCTTATAAGTTACTTTTAGTATTTACTATTAATCCTATTAATATAAAAGATAATCTACTTCTAATTTCTTTTTAGCTATTTATAAAGTAAGCTAAAAATAAGTAGTATTATTAGTAGGAACCTTAAAATCGATAAATTAAACTACTAAAATACTTCTTTTTATAATATATCTTAGTTTTCTAAGTTAAAGCTCTTTATAAGTAGATTCCTAACTAGAGGATATTACTAAAATAAGAAATTCTATAAGTTTTTAACTACTAGCCTTAATTTCCGTTATTATAAAGTATTAAGCTTAATAGTAATTAAAAGATACTAAATAGTCTAATAGAATAATAAATCTAGCTTTAGAAATAAATATAAAGCTATTACTAGATTTCCTAAAGGATTCTCTTATTTACTAAGGTCATTTATTTTCTTTAAGCTAATCCGAGGTATTATTTATTTCTAAGAGTATTAATATAAACTAGTAATAATTACTTTATTAGTTTAATAATAAGATAATATAAATAAGTTAAAGAGTTACTATAAAGTTATATAAAGATAGAATCTTTATAATTTATCTCTTTATATTAATTACTAATATAAAAGCTATATAAAAGAAAGAAGCTTAAAAGAGTAGAATAAAGAAGTATTAGAATATACTTAAGTTAGAATTAAGAGAGAAAAAGTCTTTAAATCTTTATTATAGTATTAAATAGAGGTTCTTATAGATAACAAATATCGCTAACGTAGTGTCTAACTTGAGGCCTTAAGGCACTAACTAAAGTAGGACGAAAGTTCGTTCTACAGTACTTGGTTCATGATAAGCGATTCCTCAATTTCGCCGCTACCTTCATCACCAGCGATGTAGCACAACTGATTCGATATGACCTGATGGACCTGTGTAAGAATGCCTTTCACCAAGCCGCTCAGTCCAACCACGAGCTGAAGTGGGGTGCCTTCGGTGCGAATACGGTCTACTCAGCACTTCGTAACCACAAAATCAGTATCCAGCAGGTAACTGGAGTCGGAAAGCGGAGTACCTTTGGGGCCCCAATAGGACTCATCAATATCCAGTTTGGGGATAAGGCTGATGGGGTGGAGCTGTTCAACCTCAATGGTCTACCAGTCTAAGTTCAGATATCAAGCCCAGAACAAGGAAGGGATTCGGCGAAAGCAGAGTTATGAGGCGAGATTTGGTTTGGTGAATCGCGGAAGAAGCAGTTCCAATGTCAACACTGGAGAAAGGAGTGGTAGTTTCATAGTCATCAGGGGATCGGAAGCTTATGAGTTGTCTCTTCGTATTTCTTTCTCAGTTCGAAATAACACTCTTTATCAGTCTCAAGGAGGATTTTACGCGCTTACTAAACATCTCAAATTCTGCGAAAAGTCATTTCTCCCAAGTCAACATGATGTGTGCTGCCGATGTTATGACCGTTGATCTCCTCAGTGTCTCCAGTTAAACCAGGAATATTCATGACTTCAGAGAAGCCTCATAACAACAGCGGATTACCACGGCACTGGACCCTCTTTAGACGAATATGTCCCATTCTCACCATCCTTCTCCAGCGTCGCCAACCTCACGGCGTTGATGGCGCCAATCTCCGGTCCATCAAGCGGTCCATATGCCGTCAAATTCGTCGCCACAAGTCCCGGACAGCAAAGGTTGATTTTGAACCCTTTGTCTTCATACCTTTTCGCATAATTCCACACCAGCATATTCATCGCCGTCTTCGTACTGCGATAGATCGGGTAATTCCCTTGCTCAAACCCAGTCCCAAATGATCCCAGCGAGCTGGTCATGAACACAACTCGAGGGTTCTCGCTCTTCTCAAGAAGAGGCCTAAATGTCTCCAAACACTGGAAAGCGCCGAAGACATTGGTGTTGTACGCCTTCAGCATCGTATCTCTGTAGGAAGTTTCTCCCGACTCGAACTCCTTGTCATTGGCGATTCCAGCATTGTTGATCAGGACATCTAGACGTCCGAACTTGGATGCCACAATAGCTGAGGCAGCAGTGATAGAATCATCACTTGTCACGTCGATGGTTAGCGCTTCAACTGACAGATTTTCTGCTTGGAGCTTTGCTGCGGCATCTTGTCCACGTTGGGAGTTTCGGCTTCCCATCAAGCGTGAGAGGAAGGGTACTCTTTGCCGAGTTTCCTAGCGATCTCGAAGCCAATACCTTGGTTTGCACCAGTGATAAGCACGATGGTGGATTTTGCGGCTGCCATATTTGGGTTCTGATGGAGCAATGTAGATTTGAAAGATTCTTTGGATCTCAGTATGATTTCAGCATGATTCATGTGTTTGAAGTACCTTAATGTAGGCTCTCTTACACTTCGGCATTTCCGATATTGGTACTTGTGGTAACCTTATATCACGTTTTGTTCAAACTTTGTATTGCCGCCATTCGTAATTTGCTTACCCTTCGAGAGTAAATAATCAAACCGCGTTTTGAGAACGGGTAGGTGTTTTCAAGGTGAAGTAGACGTGGAGGGAGCTTACGACCAAATGTTGTCGTATGAGACTTCTCTAATCTGGCTGTCTCTAACAGAATTGCAGTTGCATAAGGAGCTACTATAGAGAGAGAGAATCTCCTATATAAAGGGGTAGCGTACTTAGTAGTACGGCCTATAGTACTGAGTCTACGCCTATAATCTCCATATTTCTAACAGCCCCTCCCTATTCTCTATATCTGTAGTAAATAGAGCCTTCCAAAGTAGCATAGCGCTGAATATTCCTGAAGTGATACTAGAGTATCGCCGAAGTATCGCTGATAACTTGTATTATATAAGGAGCCTTAATTATGCCTTATTAACTCCTGTAATATACTAGTATATATATAGTGCCTACGTCTCCTGTTTTCCTAGGAGTTTAGTAACTTTATAGTATTAAGGTATATAAAATAGTATAAGAGTACACTTAAATCGCTCCCTTATTAATAATATCCTACTCTTACTACTCTTATTTATCTTTCTTTATAGCTACCTCGCACCTTCCTTTTATAGCTACTAAGATATTCCTTACTAGCCTTCTCTCTAGCCTCTAGGGTATATAAAGGTTATCCTCTTCTAGTTCTATTTCTTTTCCTTCTTCTTTTAACCGCGGAATAAGATTTGTTTTAACTATTAGGTATAGTGGTTATATATCATGTTTTACTTGATTTGTAGTTATATATTATTATTAAGGAAGATATTTATTAAAGGACTGATTTTCCGTGAAGAATATTCTATTTTTATAGGTTTTACTACTAGAAATAGCTTTAATTTATATAGGTCTACTATTCATTAGCTAACTATTGTTAATCTTAGAGTTGTTATCAGAGAATTAGTTATTACTAGGTAACTCTATATATATCTTGTATTATTTAAACGATTCTGAAGGTAAAGCTTTCGTAAGAGTATCTGCTATATTATTATTACCTAGAACGTGTTTTACTACTAACTTATTATATAAAACTATATTATCTCGAATATAGAACTAGCGGATATTAATATACTTTACTTTTAGATAGAATTTCCGTTCTTTTAAGAGAGATTTAGCTCTAGTGTTATTAAGATATAGTATAGGAATTCGGGATAGCTTTATATCGAGGTCTTTCTATAGCTTAAGTAACTAGGCTACTTCTCTGGAGCTATTACTAGTAGCTATTATCTTAGAATCTAAGCTAGAGAGAGCTATAGACCTTTACTTATTAGTAGCCTAAGAGATTAAATCCCTATAGAACTTTGCTATCTATCCTTAGAACGATTTCCTATTGTATTCTGTCTCTTATGTAGTATTAGTCTAAATATCGAATATATTATTATTTAGCTTTCCCTTGTATTTTATTCCGATTCTAAATATTATTCTATTACTTTTTATACGTCGTAGATATTAGAGGAGAGGTTTCGTGTCTTAGAGGTGAGATTTAAGGGGATTTAATATATGCCGCGCTAGCTAGCCTATTATATAGGTAATATCAGGTTATATAAGGTTCGAGAGGTATATTAGAGAGCTGATAATCTACTGAAATAGTAAGATCTCTTTAGGGGAGGCTAGTATAATACTTTTATCTTTAGCTAACTTCCTTAGTACTATTCCAGCGGCTATAGGTAAGGTATTACCTCTAGCTGTAGCTATTCTAAACCTTTCTAGTAGCTTTTATATATAGGCTATTTAATAAATCCGCAGAGGCTTATTCTTCTTATCCTTCTTAACTTATAGGCTTATAAACGTATTAATAGCTCTAAGGTCTTTTCTTTTCCAGGTCTTTAAGAGCTATTTCTTAAGATATTCGCAGTTAGCAGGGTTACTTATAATTAGTATATTATTAATAAAGACTAATACGTACGCTCTATTCTTAAAGATAAAGAGATTAGGGTTAGTCTCTAACGCTTCTAGACCTAGCTTTTCTATCTTATCTTTAATAAGGAGCTACTATTCCCTAGGTCCTTATTTTAAGCTATAGAAAGAGCGTAAGAGCTTTAGATATATATCTTTCCTTCTATTTAGCTCTAAGTAAAGCTTATTCTATATCTCCGGTATCTTATTATTCGGAATCGTTATATATATATCTTCTTTTAAGTACATGTTTAAGAAGGTAGTATTAATATTAATATACTTAATCTCTAGGTCTCTTTTAGCTATAATAGTAAGTAGTACTTATAAGGTGGAATAGCGTATAACACTCGTGAAGGTATCGAAGTAATTAAGGCCGTGTTTTTACTTAAAGCCTCTTACTATAAGCTTAGCCTTTCGCTATACTATAGAGCTATCAGAGTTAATTTTATTATGTAGAACTAGTCTTAAAGATATTAGTTTCGAGCTAGAGGGAGGCTTACTAAAGTATACTCTATAGGTTCCAGCGCTTTATATAGCTTATAATTCCTTAAGAATAGCGGCCTTCTATTCTACTAGATTCTCCTTTAGAGCCTCTATAATAGTTATAACCTTAAGAGGTCGTATAGGTTCACCCTCTAATATAATTAGCGCTATTTAATAAGTTAGTGCCTTATTAAGGATTTACTAAGAGTATAGCTTCGTAGTTATCACTTAAGTAGCTTACTTGAAGTATTATTTTCTACGCTATTTCCTACTATATCTTAATAGTAGAGTATTATTAGATATATTTACTAGTTAAGTCTATTTAGGGAGGCGTTAATTAGATACTCTCTTAGTATCTCTTACTATATTTTCTATAGCTAACCTTCCCCTTAAAGGATTTTCAGCTTCTATAGCTAGCCTTTCTCCTAGAGGTCTTTCAGCTTCTATAGCTAGCCTCTCTCTTAGAGGTTTTTCTAAGCTTTTAGTACTTTTAGCTAGCCTCTTAGTAAGTACTAGACCGGTAGCTAGTAGCAGAGGTCTTTCTACTGCCTTATTACTGCCTTTTAGTATAGTTTCCTTATTACTAGTGTATATAAAGTATATTATATACTTATTAAAGCTGTAGTTAGCTGTTTCTAGTTCCTTAAAGGTTTCTACGTTTAGGAGCCTATAGGTTAAGGTATTAGCTATACCTACTAATACGAAATACCCCGGAATTATCTTTTACTTTATTTTACCTTAATATAGCCCTAGTGGATATAAAGGGTACGCTATAGAGCTAAATACTCTTATTTTAGAGAGGTTTATAGGCTATCCTTTATACGCTTCGATTAAAGTGAGTCTAGTAGCTGTTTTATATAGTAAAGCAGTAGTTAGGCGTTTGTTCTTTAGCTTTACTACTTACTTAATAGTGTAGTATTATATATTCTCAGGTATCTTCGCGTTATAGAGGATTAAGTATATAATCTTAGCTAGTTTATATATCTATCGCTTTATAACTCTATTCAGAGAGTGTTTATATAGAGGAGAGGGTTTAGGAACGATTCCACTCTCTTACAGCTAGTTAATAAACTTAGGACCGAACTCTCCCTTACTATTATTAGTCCTCTAGTAGATAATTATATAGAATTTGCTTTGCCCTTAAGTTTTAAGCTATAGCTTTAATTTCCGAATAACTAGTTGAATAGTTAATATAGACTTATTAACTAAGAGATCTACTTAATACGTCCTTGTAGTATTATCTACTACTAAAAGGAAGTATTTATAGCTACGAATTAAGCGTAGTAAGATACTAGAGATATTAGCGTGTAGTTAATAAATAGGTATATTAGTTCTACTATCTGACTTCTTATTAAAGTGCTTTTTTATATAGCTTATAAAGTAAGCCTTATAATACCTCTCTCCCTTTAGCTCCGGAATAGAAATCGGTCTTATTTTATAACTACTGTAAGTAACTAGTTTCTTTAAATAGGCGTAATTTATATAGCTTAAACGCCTATAGAGTAGATCTACCTTTGTTTCCTCTGTGCTAAGCTAACTCTCTATTCGTTCCTTTAGTAGCTTTAAGTCTAATAGAATTATATTATATATAACTTAATATTAAGGATTTATATCTAAAATATATAAACCTCTATTTCTTATGCCTGTAAAAGCTAGTTCACTATTCCGGTATCTATTTACTAATATCTTAGTTAGTTCTGTATTAATTCCTTTATCTAAGAGTTAATATATTAATACTAGCTTTATAGCTCCGAAGTTAGGTATATACTACACGTCTTTAAGGGTTAACCTATTAATAGTAATATCTCTATAACCTTTAGCTATCGAGTACGAATTAGTCGCTGTTTTAATGTATTTAGTGTTACGCTAGCGCTTAAGTTACTTAAACTTAGCTAGAACTCTACTAAAGTAGCGAGTAGCACTAGAGTCGATTTTCTAGATAGATTTTATAATAAAGATTATTAATAAAGTATATTCTATGTCTTTAGCGTAGTAAATCTCTTCTAAAGGGAACATAGGATAAGTATTATTATCTTTAATTTCCTTTACTTTATTAGTGCTATCTCTTGTGTAAGTATTCTTAGCTTCCGTGTAGTTTATATACTAGTAGCTATAGCTTTTATACTAAGTATACTAATTTCAGCTTAATTTAAGGCGATTTCCTCTCTTTTCTACGCGCTCTCTACGTCTCTATTAGCTACTACCTCTGCTATTATTATTCTATCTTTCCTATCCTCTCTTATTCTTATATATATTACCTCTCTCACGTGAGTAGCTTCTACCCCTTTAGTTTCTACTATCTTTATTACTTCTCCTTCTATTATAGCCTCTATTCGCGTAGTTCGTAGCGTTACTAGTAGCTATAAGTCGAAGCTATTCCCTTTATTAAATTTGATATTCATTAAGCTTTTATATAGTATCTCTGAGATCTAGGTCTTACGATTCTAAGGTAAGCGCTATAGTAATCTAAGCTCCGGACGCTAGTAATAATTATAATAGCTTAAGACGTATATCTTTATTAGTAAGAGGTTTACTATTACTACTAAGCTTTACTTTAAAGAGTAAGAGCTTTATAACGTAGTTCTGAAGTGTTTCCTCCCCTAGGATAAACTTTATCTTAAAGAAATTATCTCTTATATTAGTAAAAGTAAGACTCCCTTGAACTACTTTGCCTTTATTAGCGTAAATAGCTTCCTAGAGAGGCTTAGTGTTATTTAGTTTAATAATATCTCTATACTTAGGAAAGAGAAGCTTAGAGATTAAGTTAATAACTATTTTAAAAGCTTCCTTCTTTTTCTTAGCGTAAGTATTCTACTAATTAATACTATTTAGTATACTAACTTTAGTAAGAACGTAATAAAGAACACTAGCTTTAGCTAGCTCTTATTTAGTCTTAAGCTCTTATTTAAAGAAGTTATCGAACTCTAGTAGAGTTTTACCTTTTAAGGCTCTAGCGACGTAGGGAATTAGTACTTTTAATTAGGATAATATCGTAGTGTAGTAGTAGATATACTAAGAGTTAATAAAGTAGAGATCTTAATAAAAATAAAGTTTTAAGGTCTTTTACGATCGATTGGAATTGCTACTATAACAGAATTACAGTTGTATAAGGAGCTACTACAGAGAGAGAGAATCTCCTATATAAAGGGGTAGCGTACTCAGTAGTACGGCCTATAGTACTGAGTCTACGCCTACAATCCCCATATTTCTAACAGTCTCATTGGCTCGCTTGACAGACGGAACATCAGGACAAAGAAGCTTGTGTCAAGGCCACCTCACCTCAGCTCACTGCGATGGCTGTGTAGAGATACCGAGTCAAAAAGAATGGGAAGAGCTTTCAAAGACTGAAAGAGTTGCGTATATGCTTCATTGCGCAGAGACCTCCGTCAGGAGGGATTTGGGGGTCATGATTTTTGAGTTATGAAGCTGACCGTCGCCCAAACGTCATTCCACCCCACTTTTGACGATTGTCAACAATGGAATACAACGTCTGACAACATGAATCAAGACAATATTTGTGTACGTGCGAGTACGATAGCAAAAATGGGCGAGAATTACTAAGTTACCCATCCAACTCGTTCAACATTGAAGCGAAGTCACAAGCTCCATATCAACACTCCCGAATCCGGAGGTATCTCATCCACCATGACGCGGGATCTGATCCCGCACCACGACAACACAATCCGATTTGCCTCCACCATCGCACCGGATAATATCCACCTGCATATATACGGCATAAAGCTCGATCTGAAGCATTGTGACCTGTCTGTTAGGTGTCGTGCATATGCACGATAAGGCGAATGTGGCGTTGATAGGACAAGCAGGTACCCTCCATCTGCTATCTGAGTGACAACAAGCACTCTAGTGCGGGGCAGGAGATCCGCTACGGGATATCTTGACGATGGGATGGATGATGGGGTATCTGGACTTGGACAACTTACTTTAGAAACTTGAGGTCTCTGAACAAAGAGCTTGACATTTCGTTCTTCTTTGCCCTCACTTACTCTTGTCGATATCAAACATGAAGAAATCAAGCATGAGAACTCTGATGAACACATCCTCAATATCAACTCGGATTGCGTTGCCGCGATGTCGAAGATACTCACAATCGCACTCTGTAACGACGACGGCAAGCACATTGTCGATGCCAACCACATCACGGCAGTCTATCACAGCCAAAACACTTCCTCCCCTTTCGCTCATGCCCACACCTCTCCTTCTACGGTCTTACCTCATAACCTCCATCCTCTCTTCATCTCGCCTCCTCAAACTCTCTTTGCCCCTCCTCAACATAATAGCTCACTCACCATCCCGCTTCCTCAACCCCGACAAGAACCCCATCATCGGCCTCCTCGTCCGGAAGATCATCTACGAGCACTTCGTCGCAGGAGATTGTGAAGCAGCTGTCAAGAATACAGTTGCTCAGATGAAGCAGGTTGGGTTCCAAGGTGTCATTTTGGGGTATGCGAAGGAGTTCGCTGCTGATGAGGGAGATGTAGGGAACGAAGAGACGGATGTGAGGAGGTGGAAGGAAGGCTATGAGAAGACAATGGAAATGATAGGGCCGGAGGACTTCATGGCTGTGAAGTAAGTTCTTCCTTTACCAACAAACATTTATACCCAGCCGAGTACTGCAAATGATAGAAGCTAACAGCATATCAGGTTCTCAGGCGCAGGAGCACCCACCCTCTCAGCTCTCGCCAACAAACAACCACCCCCACCCCAAATGTGGACGGAGATGCTCTCACTCTGCCACGCCGCCAAAGCCAAAAACATCCGCGTCTGGATCGACGCCGAACAACAAGACCTCCAGCCCACAATCGACGACTGGACACTCCTCCTCATGCGAAAATTCAACCGCAACAACCAAGCTTTCATGTACAACACCTTTCAAGCCTACCTGAAATCCACGCCAAACAACATCCTCAAGTACCTGAAGCTCGCCCAAGACGAAGGCTGGACCATGGGAATCAAGCTTGTGAGAGGAGCGTATATCGCTACTGAGAAGAGGGAGTTGATCCATGATACTATCGAGCAAACTCATAATGCGTATAATGGCATTGTGGAGAATCTCCTGAAGCGACAGTACCCAGGTCTAGATGAGAAGAAGCCATACCCAGAAGTCGCACTCATGCTCGCGAGTCACAACGAAACGAGTATCAAGAACGCCTACGCGATCCAGAAGTCTTTGATCGAGCAAGGCCAGCCCACGATCAAATTGGAGTATGGACAGTTGCAGGGTATGGCAGATGAGGTTAGCTGTGGATTGTTGCAGCTTTGTCAACAAGGTGGAGAGAAAGGGGGAAGTGAGAAGAGAATTGAGATGGATGAGAAGCTGAGACCGAGGGCTTTTAAGTGCTTGGCTTGGGGGAGTACGCAGGAGTGTTTGCAGTTCTTGCTGAGGAGAGTTAAGGAGAATGGCGATGCGGTTAGTAGGACTGGAGGGTGGGTTGTAAGGTTTCGGAAGGAGATTTGGAGGCGAGTCAAGGGAAGCTTTAGGATGATTTGAGGATTTGACTCCTTGAGCACGTGGAATGAACGAAAAAGAGTTGATTTCTTGACCTTTAAGCACAACCAAGCTGATACTGATTAGACATTCCCCCCGACACAAAGTTCCTCTTCATCTGACGACCCACCAGTTACGAGCGGGCGGTGAGACTTGTGAAGTTTGTTCATTGTGTCATAAAATAAATAAATAGCAGTTCGCTTTTAAGTATTAAATCGTCAGTTATTGAGATCTTATAAAGCGACGTTATTCAACAGCTGTTCAACTATCGAATACACTGTCAGAGTGGCTGGCGGGGTCATCATGACGCTGAGTAGCTCAGGTAGAGCCCCCATATGCATACTTGCCGAGAAGCTGTCGTTTCGTTTACAGAGCAATAGAAATAATATCAGTTTTAGGGCTGTACATATATTGCAGAAAAATTTAAGGTATACCAGTAGATGAATACTGTTCGACAACAAAATTATTGCAGGGAACTCTTTTCTGCTATCATGACGTCCAGAAAGCTCTTGTCAACTCGCCCGCCGTGCAACTATTTCTGAAAGAGAATTCGCTTTATAATTACATTCTTGTGTGTGCTGTCTAGTTGTAACACATGATGATCTACTCTATTCTTCTTTCTAGGATTTCTCGCAACCCATTCTCTTTCTCCAGCTCCTGATCCAGCCTCCCTCTAGGAAGTTCAAACGTCTCCGCCATCCTCCCATAACTTATCCCACCCAACTGCACAAGCGGCCTCAACCTCTCCAGCTCAACCTCCCCATCCTGACCCATCGCCTCCTGCCTAACCCAAAACCTCGTCCCCTCAATAATCGCCAGCCCACCCAGCGCTTCCCCTCTCCCAGCCCTCCCATGATAATCCAACTCCTTCATCTCCAACAACTTCCCCTCAACACTAAACGCCGCCTCTTCAGCCCTCTCCGGCTCCACAGTTCCACCCTTAGCAGGTATCAAACCCGACAATTCCCACTCTGAAACCCCATACGGCACATCCAGCGACGTTGCGTTTGCAGCATGGATTATATTCTCGCTCACGAGATTAATCACGCATTCTCCTGTCTCAAGCAAATTCCGTCTGGTATCCTTGAGACGAGACGTCCGAGCGGAGAAGCCGACTATGAAGGTTGGAGGGTCGTGGTCGACGATTTGGAAGTAGGAGAATGGAGCGAGATTTCTGGATCCGGTTGAGGAGATGGTGCTGATGAGGCTTATTGGGCGGGGGATTGCGGAGATGAGGAGTTGATAGTTGGATATCATGGGTTGGGCTGAGGGGTCGATGGAGATGTGTGTTGGGGTTCTTGACGGGAAATTGACTGCTGGCGAATTGATTGACGTGGTAGGTAGGCTCTGGGGTGATGCCTGCCCGTATTTCCAGTTTGGTGATGGTGATTGTGTTGTTTTGATTGGAAGCGAGGGGTCGAAAGTGGGCCGACTTGCTTCGATTGCTTTGAAGTCCGCGTGTCTTGACCTGAGCACGAAAGGGCTGGATGTGGCTGTACTTGAAGCTCTTGCTTGATAGTTTGGTAACGCGGATACATTTTTCATCCGACCCAGCATATTGGACCTACACCGACCCTTTGTTGACATGGCTTGAATATATTTCAGGGTCGTCTTGTGACTTTGGCGGCGAGTCAAGTCCACTGAAGACGACATGCAAGTCACACCGCCGCCAGTCCTGGGAATGAGAGAGAATATGACCGAACCTGACTACTCGATAGGGATATGGAGGATTTTGCGCCTTATTTTTCAACAGCGCATTGTTTTTGGAGTCCAGGTATGTATCGACTTGAGTGCGGAACACGATCCCGCTGACCTAATTGCGTTCTGTGATCACGTGTCTGTAAAATATTCTGTTCATCAATCCAAGCTTTCTGAGAACGACACTTAGGCATTGCTTGTTTTTAGAGAGTAAAACTATTGTAGACTCGTATGATGATCGGATTATGAGTGGGTTTCCGCCATTCGGATCAGATTCCCAGATATAAGCCTAGGATAGTGGAAAATATCGAACAGCTCACCCAAATCGAGTCTTCATACCGTAAAGTCCGTCTACAGGTCCACCCGTCCCTCACCCAATAGCGTCTTCTCCCATTCCCCGTCTTCTCTCTCCAACACCACAGCAGCCATAGCATTCATCCAAGCCCCCAACCTTGCACCGGCCAACCCAATCAACTCATCAACAATCGGTTTCGCACCCTCATAATACCCCTTCGCAAGATCATTCCCCCTCTTCTCTAACCACTCCTCTGACTTCTTCAACACATACTTACAGATCCATTCATTACTCTTATTTGCCCACTCCAGCGCACATTTATCAGGAATCGCCACATCACTACATTCACTCTCCACAGTTACACCTCTTGCAGCATTCGTCTCAAACAATTCATCAGCCCATTCAACTGCAGCAGTTCGCTCTTCAACATCGCTCAACGTCCCGCTCAGACCGCGCATCTTGTGTGGGATGGCGGTGTCCCATACACTGTGCAGGTTCTGCGTATGTGACGTGCCGAATTGGACAGGCTTGATCTCGTTGCCGCCACGGGCTTTGTCTTCGACGTGTAGTGGTTGGTGGAGGTCGCCGATGAAATGCATGAGATACATGAGAGCCTCTTTGACTACGATTTTCGATGAATCAGGTGATAGGAACAGTGAGGTTTGGTTGTTAATAGCTGTGATGATGCACCCATTTGTGCCCTGGGCCGAGCAATCGTCTGGGTAGTGAAGACCACACAGAGTGGGAGGGGAGTCTCTTGCGTCTGTATTTGATGGTGAATCAGTCTCGTTTTGTGACTTGAGGAGGGGAGAGGCGTACCAACGAAATGCCATGATGACGTATATGGACGGCTACGCTTCACGGTATCCGCCCAAGTTGCTGCATCAGAAAAATCCCAGCCATTGGGATTCTCAAGAATTTTCTCAAACAGCTGATTTGCGGAGTCGGTCAAGTATTTCTTTGCTAGGTAGCCTACAGTTCGATGTCCGACATCTCCCCAGCACAGGACCTGAGTGGTGAGAGACAGGACCACTGTAGCTTTCGCTAGGAAATGCATCGTTTGTGATTGTTGTATTGATGTAGTTGATCTTAACGAAATCCCAGATGGAGGATTTGGGTGGAGAAAGGGGACTGCCCAATATATGCACGCCAGCTACCCCTCACTTATTCGTAGGGCTGAGAACTGCTGGGGAATGCTGTTTCATGTCGGAGCTGAAAGGAATTTGACGAATTGCTGTAGCCTCTTTAGACATGTGCGATTGTGGCTGCATAAATTGGATTGACATTTCAGCTGGGCTTAGGCTTTGACTTGGCGAGGTGTGGTGATACAAGCCCAATTGGACAAATGTTGACTGTCTTGGCAGCAGCCCCATTTACCCTCGTGCATTCTCGAGCGCTTCAGCAGTAGCTATGGGAATCGGCGGCTCCGTGGTCGTACTTCTGCTTGGATGTCTTGATCAAATAGCAGACGAACAGTCAGTTTGTTAATTGAGGTCCGGCGTAATCGAGTTTGCTGGGAGACCACCATTCCACATCCACTCACTCCCTCCGAGATCGAGTCCTGATGGGTCATCCAAGAAATCAAAATTCAATCCGTCGATGGCAGATTGTATTGTGTCTGGATGCAAGACACCTAAATGGGTTTCTTCCGTGTTCATCCAAGACCAGATCATGTCCTCTCCAACCTCCAGAACAGGGCTTGGCACTGATGCTTGCCCATTGACCGGATTTGGCTCTGATAGAGTCTCAGCCTCAGCTTCGTGATATGACCTAACTTTCTGCCGAAGTTCATCTAGTTCCTGAAGATCTTTCTTGTATGGGCCAGCAATGATTATCCCTCGCATAGTCATCTCATCCATGAGGTTGAATGTCTTGCGGAGATCCCACTGTTCGGTGGCTGCGGGTGTTATTATATCGACGAGTATCAGTACAAACGCGCTGGCAAACATAGATTCGAGATCGAATGGGAGAAATAAATCTGCAAGCAGTCAGCCCCAAGATCTCACTCAGCTTGGAAAACTGACCGACAAGATTATGGGCTCGCAACCCCTCCACCGTCTTCAAAACTTGTAAGGCCGATTCAACGCATACTCTGAGTAGACCAATGACGGCATCTGAAAGCTTTAGAGGTGTACGTCTACTAGCAAGCTTTGTTTCCAAGAGGAAAAAAAGAACGGGGCGGATGGTAAGAATGGTACACTAAGTATGTAAGCTAAGTTCATGGTAGGATACTCGTGGGTCTCGAACCTGATGTTGAAGGAGGTGCAAACTTGCTGCCATCCTGGAAAGCGTATTCGGTGGTTGCTGGAGCTCGATTCGCATATCGGTATTAAGCATGATCGAAGTGTCAGCAAGACGCCTCAAAATAGATTGAACCGCAGAGATAAACTTCGCGCCAAGTTGACGTTGATGCCCGAGACCATAAACCACTATGTAGGAATCAGTCCCAATGTAATGAGCAGAGAAGCAGAATTTCCACAAACCATTTAGTATTTGGCCTAACTGCGAGGATATCTCAATGTGAAAGGCCATCGTGAGACCGGGTCTCTGAGAAGGGTCGATGCTTGGCATGGAAAGCGCAATATCCTCATCATGCAACGCAGGTGGGACTCCAACGAGACTCGACAGTTTCCTTTCTATTACATAAACTGTCCACCAGAGTTTCGTACGATGCTCGAATTCGTGCTTAGTGATGCGCTGTGCGTCGAACCGTCGATTGAGCCCTTGGGTCAGACAGATTCGCAGAGCTTGTCCGGCCTCGTTTTCCTATCAGTGATCATCATATTCACTAGACAGCATTTGAGAACATACATGATCGTAAGCAGCCCGTCTCATATCCATCGCCTGCATGAACAAGGCCAACATACAAAGTACTTCGATGGACTCGATTGGGTCTTGGCGCAATCGATGGGGATCTGGCAAAGCCTCAACTGCGAGACCAAAATAAGCTGCACCAGCTGGCCCTGCCTTGCCAGCCTCGCGAGCTAGAATTGAGGTCCCAAATGCAAACACTAGTAGCATCTTGATCTGCCAAAGAGTTGATTGCGAATGTTGATCTCGGTAAAATTGGTGGAGGGAAACAAGAAAAGGCTCCTTGTCAAACAAATAGTACATCGGGCCCAACGTGAAATGGAGAGTATTGGTCAGGTACTCGGCATATTCTTCAGCTGGTAATTCAATACCAGATAGATTGAGAGCCGGCTGCTTGAATGGAACTCCGTATATACCGTCCGGTATTGGAATGGCATCGTGAAGTCCTGGCCCTGCAACAGCATCGCTGATGAAGCTTCTGATGCGCCGACTGAAGGACCAAGAGGAACTATGGCCAAGTCGCCCTTTACAGTAAGTAAGTAAGGCTGTGAAGATCATCATTCAAGGTCGAAGGACACCCACGATATTCGTCTCCAATCGCATCTGGGGAGTTGTGATCACTGATCAAAACATCGCAGCGGCCGCCCTACGAAGGATCAGCCATAAGACACCAGACTGGACACGATAATACGAACTATGATACTAGTCAAACCATCCAAATGATTGTTTTCGTCATCCAGAGTGATGCGCCTGGAAAAGGTGCCAGGGTTTGATGGTTCGCTTCGTGAAACATGACGAGTCTGTCTACTCGGAATACCCGACTCTGTCCTCAACCACCTTGGCCTGAGCTCTTCATTTTCGTTTGGTGGAGACCTACCAGGAGTTGCCACCCCCAGTCGTGGTGAGGATTGTGGTGCAGCTGGATCGGTAACTCCAGACACACGGCTCTGAAGTTCCTGGAGATATCTGTGCAATGTCTCAGTACCCCTAACATGAGTAATCCGGGACCACCGACTGCGCTGTCACAATGACCTTCTTTTGTATCTCGTCGAAGACACAATCTCTCCTTTGAGATAAGCAGTGCTGACACGGATGGTGGCCGCTGCATTTGATCTTGCGACTCCTGCATCGCTGGCAGCTGTGCCGATGATCATCAGTCAGGAAACCTAGATGGGCGATGATCTTCCTCACGCGTTCAGTGTCTTCTTCTTCTTCCTGATCGGAGATGGACTGGTTTTATCCATGCCGTGTGTGATCTCTCTTGTGCATGTAAACCCACGGAGCGGTCTAAGTCGCTGGAGAGTGGGATGAGGCTACTTCGCTTGCTGGGACCAACATCACGTGGTTTTGCTTCTAGCACAGTATCACGTTCTTGGAACTTTGATTGTGTTCAGGCAGGAGCTGATACATCCAGCATAGGAACTATTTTCAGATTCGAAGATTTCTGTTGTTATTAGGTTTCAAGAATCGTTTAATCCGAGGCGATATCGTTACCTCCCTCCTAAAATACCCCGCGGTATGCACACAGCCTCAGCTCCCAACCGAACTGGGTGCAACACTTTCGAGCAGCGTGGTTAACTAATCGGCATGCATCTGAGGGAGAATTTCAGCCGGAACCATAAAGAGAATTGATCTTTTGACCGAAGGACTCGAAGGAGTTGTCCAAGAATGAACAAGATTCTCGCGAATTCTGAGAAAATAACTCAATTACTTTGATTTTTAAGGAACGGAGCGTAGGAAGAAACTGTCTGTTTCGATCGATCCCAGAAAAATGCTTTTTACGGCTAATTTATTTTCGACAGCCTTTGCTTTTCAAGTGCATAACCAGTTGATCATGTATACACTGGAGTGAGCCCAGAATGTTGGAATAAGGTCAACAAAATACGTGGATAACCGCCGGATACATAGCCGGTATGCATGTCCCGATGGTACTCGTATTTTGCTGACACTAAAAGTTGGGCTCTCGTCAGCATCTAAGACTCGCGGATAAAGACTGTCAGAATTTAACCAAAACAATTTTGGACGTGTGCTTGTGAAGCTTGACTTGTTGAGCGGCAGCTTCTTCAGTAAATTTCTCTATCCTCATCAGCTTCAGTTGGTACATAGAATGAATGTCTTCTCTCTCTCAAAACGTTGTGCACTCTCGTATCTCGGTGGCTGCTCCACAACCGTCTATTTGTGGGGAGGCAGTGGCCTGCTTGTGCAGCAACATCGCCGCCAGGGCTAACGCAAAGAAGGCATTGACGAGTAGTTATGCACTGTGCTTCAAAAGTCAAATATATTGCACCGTTTCCTGCCTGCTTCTCATCCCACGTGTGAAAAGCCGTGAAAAACAAAAGAACCGTCGTGGATGCCACTCAACGTCACTTTCAAGTTTCTTTCCCAAAACACTGGGTTCCAAGAGGCTGTAGTGGGGTCGAGTTAAGGGTATTGATTAGGTCAGCTCAGCTGAAATTTGAGAGGCATGCAGTTCGTGGTGTGAACATTTCGACTGAAGTCAGAGAACTGAAGATGGCGAGAGTGGTGTGCTAGGGAATGAAAGCGCCAAAGAAGACTCCATATCTGGGCAAGGATAGTGGACACCAGGCGCCCCGACCCGACGACCCTAGGGTATGCACGCCGAGAAAGTGCATGGGGTCCAGCGCTTCGGCATGGATGGTACAGGGTCTACAGGGACTTCACCGTGGCCCAAGCCAGCAGCAGCCTGTTAGCGAGGCCATATTGAAGGATCCGAGACCTCATGTATCAATCAGATCAGATTCTGTCCAGGTTACTGAGCAATTTCAAATTTCAAATCTTTGAACTATTGATGCGGATTATTATCTCCTTGAAAATGCTTCTTTCAGAGCAAAAACGTCACCCATCTTATCACATACTTCCCCACTGGGTTTCATCACAGTCAGCTTCATAGTGGATACCGGCAACTGGAATGGGTCGCACAACGCTTATATCCCCATACGGCTGGGCGAGATTCTCGTGCATGATGGCACAAGTCGCCTTTTACATGCAGCTGCATCCTTTTGTCCACGTATCAGATTGTTGTGAGAATCTGCCTGAAGTGTCCACTTCTGGCGGTATCATCGCTGCGCCGCAGCCCTCTCCTGCAAGACATGCGAGGTACTTGTACCCCTGGCATTCGCTACGCCTTCGGAACAGCCCCCATGTTGTATCTGAACAGCTGGAGTATCAATCACACAGGTCAAAATGTGGCACGACACGAGATCTGCAAGAATATAGAGGGACCTGCTTCCCTGACCTTTTGAGCTCTGTGGGAACTTTTCTTGTTTCACACAGGCAGTTTTGAGAGCATTGACGTTCGTCAAGAAATAAACAAACAGACCATGTCTCCAGCAACAGCAACTTCGGCGGCCAGCATGGCGTTGATAACTCCAAGTTTGACGACGACCTTCATGCCGAAGATCACGGCGTGTACGGAGAACAGACTCACGATGCTGGCAAATCGAGCATTTCAGATATGGATGAATGCACCAGTACCGGTACCAGGAACCACCTTCACGGATTGCTATCCAAGTCAATATATCACTAGTCTTCTTCTATCCGCTGGGAGTGTCACTCAACCTGCCTTCGCTCCACTAATCTGCCCTCAACACTATTCCGCTGTCGGACCATACACTTCAAATTACATCGCCTGCTGTCCAAGGTGTGTTCAATACGTAACACTGACTGAAAGCAATGGAATCTAATTATCACAGCGCATACTCGCTTGCTCAGCCCGAAAGTACAGTTTTCAAGGATCGCCCGGCGTTTGGTGGAACATGTTATAGCAACATTGACATGGCAACGCCTGTTCTCGTTACAGCTTACGGATCTTCGAGTGTCACAGCGACAAGTTACTTTACTGCCACTGTCACAAATGCTCAAGCCTACGCTTACCCTATCGATGGATATGCGTTCGGAGTTGCGGAGATTGAGAGCAAGATTACTTCGGGACTCAGTACCCCTACAGCATCGCCAGGAAGTTCGGTAACAAGTGCAGCTGCTGCAACATATACAGTGAGTCTATCTGGTCGATTAGAATCAATTCCGTTGTTTAATAATCGACAGGTACTTGCTGGCAAAAACTCGGCGTTCACACCCAATTCCGTAACGGCGAAAGCAGGGGACACTGTCATCTTCCAATTCACAGCTGGAAACCACACCGTCACCGAATCGACTTTCGAACGTCCTTGCGTCCAACTCCAAGATGGGATAGATTCTGGCTATCATCCGATCGTCAATTCTATGAATCCATCTGACTTCTCCTTCAAAGTCGGACAGAACACTTCACAATGTATTTGACACCGTTCAAGGTAAAGCTGAGCTCTGCTGATGACACCTCTAGGGTTCTTCTCCAAACAAGCAGGCGAATGTGGTCAGGGAATGACATTCGCCCTCAACCCCACCAACGAACAAACCGAGAGCCAATTCCAGCTGAATGCAGTCGTCCAAAACGGAACATTAACAGAGAAGTCCAGCGGAACATCAACTGGGGTCAAAGTGGGAGCTAGCTTAGGCGCAGTGGCAGGAGTAGCTCTCATTGTCTCCCTAACATTCTTCGTCCTCCGTCGTAGTCGCCGAAGCAGCGCTAAAGTAGCCAGCAAACCCAATGGAGACGACACGATAACGAAATCCGGGGCAGGTTCAAGCTACACCGATACAGAGGCAGGGAATTCTCCAGTGACGGAGGTCAAACCAGTTGTTCCTCCCAAAGGAGAGGAGCTACATGGTTACTCTTCTCCGTCCGAGTTGGGTATCAACCAAGATCCTGCTGAACTCATGTCTGCGCAGACGCCTGTGGAACTATCTAGTCCGCATGAGTATCATCCGCCGACATTTCCAAACGGACAGCGTTTCTGAGCACGTATGATAATGAGCTTGTAAAGAGCATCGTGGAGTCTAATGAGTATCCTAGAACTTCTTAGTGGGCATGTATTGCATGTTAGCTTCAGGATAAATAATCAATTGTGTGTATCTCAGTCTGTCTCTGCAAACTTCATTTTCATCCTCTCAGTCGCTCATGATCACTCACACACACATGCTGTAAACTGCAAGCACTGGCGTTGAAAATCGAGCGTCCCGAGACCCTATAAAGGGCCACCCGAGCTACCTTTAGTGCTGCAGATACTCGGCAGTTATATTGACCTGCATGCGGCACAGTCTTTTGCCAAAGTTTGGGCAGACTGCACAGAGAGTCTACGAGGCGAGTGTTCTCATTGGCCAGATCGTGGTCGCTTGAGCGGAGGGGTTGAGAGTGCGTGCGCGCTTAACCAGTAGCGACCCAAAAATTTGTTGGCTCTTGTTAGAACTCAAGCTAGAGATAACATTTGTTTGGGATCTATTTCAATATTGCTCGTTCACAGACTGTCATTCGCCGAGCCGAGATTGGGCTTCCAACTTCCAACGGAAGTAAGCCCGGGGCAGTGAAGCACACACTACTCCAAAGCCGTTGATTCCACCGCCACTCTTACAAGGATCTCATTCCCCCGGAAACTGCAACTTTTTGGTCTAGGAGGATTCCAGTAACCAATAGATAAGTCTGAACTAGACGTGGCTGCAGGTGGTTGCAATTCCACGATAAGCGAGGAAGAGATAATGCTATGTAAACAACAAGTCACCGGGCTTTCGCAAGCCATGGTCTAAACTACTACATATTGTGGGATATCCCTACACGAACCCTTTCAGATATATAAGTATCTCTTTCAATGCACGGATGCTCCATGAAAAGCAAAGGTCGACCGCCTGACTATTCTCTAGTCTCACGTGACGTCGAATGCCTTGATGAACAATCGACTTCTGGAGTCGTGGGAGAAGGCATGCATGCTCCTTGCAGCGAACATGAATCATCCCAAACACGAATCGTGGTCAATCAAAATATTTGACGACATCGGAGTGGACAAAAGGCGAAAGTGGGGTGGAATGTTAGGTGCGGCTTTCGATCCCGCACTCGCATTATCTTCTGGATGTACAGCATATTAGAAGACAGGGGATCGTGGACTTACAGGCTCAACGGTCCTGGGACCTGTACAACTCTGTTCGTGCCTGCAGTTCTCCTCATAACATATCATTTTCCTTTCCTTAAAATCCAGACTTGAAAAAGCCCACTTCGTTTACTGCTTCTTTTTACGGATCTATCATGTCGACTAGAATGGCTAGTCGATACTGCGCGCCCATAAAATCCCGCTTGATATCCAGGTCCCATATTGGATGTAGTTCTTTTGGTTCTCAAAGATGGCTGTCCATGTATTCGAAACCACACTTTGTAAATGAGCCATCAGTAAGTCCAGGCCTTGCAATTGGCGTGAGTTTTAAAGATTGACATGACCAAAGCCAACATATGCAGTAAATTCCCAAGAGAGAGCCGAGATCGCAGGAGCTCTCCAAGACCTTAAATCAAAACTCCCAGTCAGGATTCCGCTGAAGATTGGCTCAAAAGAAGTACGAACCAGCTCCCCCACCAAGAACATTTGCTAATTACCTTCTCAGATCATCAAATCCCAACAATTGACACAAATCAACCCCTCTCGCCATGCAGAAGTCATTGCAGAGTGGACTCCTGCAGCAGCATCTGATGTAAAAAGCGCGATATCTTCTGCGTTGGCAGCTAAGTCATCATGGGAGAACACGCCATTTGAGCAGCGAGCAGCAATTTTTCTTCGTGCTGCTGAGCTGGTGAGCAAAAAGTACAGATATGAGCTGATGGCTGCAGTCATGATGGGCCAGGGGAAGAATATCTGGCAGGCTGAGATTGATGTAGCTGCTGAGACGTGTGACTTGCTTAGGTGAGTGACCGATGAAAAAAGTGCGACTTTCAGGTCAAGGCTGAGTCAATTATCCAGGTTCAATGTTCAATGTGCGATGGAGCTATTTAAGACACAGCCAGCTGTGAACCCAGCTGGAATGGCAAGCTCCCCAAGACCAACAGATCTATCGAGTACTAATTGATGAAAAATAGTGGAATCGGCTAGAATACCGCCCTCTCGAAGGATTCGTGTATTCGATATCGCCTTTCAACTTCACAGCACTCGCCGCCACACTGGCATATGGTCCACTACTCATGGGAAACGTAGTCATCTGGAAGCCTTCCCTCTCAGCTCTCCACAGCTCTTGGCTGCTCCACCAAATCCTTCTCGAAGCCGGCCTGCCCAAAGATGTTGTCCAATTCGTTCCAGGGGACGCCGAAGAAGTCACATCCGCCGTACTAGAAAGTTCCGATTTCGCTGCGTTGAACTTCATCGGTTCGACAAAAGTGTTCCAATCTCTCATCGCCAAAATTGGTGTCGCGACAGGCGAGGATATATTTTTGAACTATCCGCGCATTGTCGGTGAGACTGGTGGAAAGAATTTCCATCTCATTCACAATAGTGCAGATATTGAAAATGCGATCAATAGCACTATTCGAGGTGCTTTCGAGTTCCAGGGACAGAAATGTTCCGCGACTTCCCGAGTCTATGTACCGGAATCTATCTGGCCTGAGTTCAAGCAGGAACTGATCGCGAAGACTGCGAGCATCAATGTTGGGCCTCCTGAGGAGTTCCAGAATTTCGTCAATCCTGTGATACATGAACAAGATTTCGATAAGCTAGCTTCGTACATTGAGACTGCGAAGGATGATCCCAAGTTGACGCTTCTCGCTGGTGGCAAGACAGACAAGGATGTTGGCTTTTTCGTTCATCCCACAATCTATCAAACATCTGACCCACAACACGAGATTATGAATAAAGAGCTGTTTGGACCTTTATTCGCTGTCTATGTCTATCCTGACTCAGAATGGGCAAACATCCCGAAACTCATTGATACCACGACCAGGTACGCGTTAACTGGAAGTATATTTGCTCGAGATGTTGAGGCGATCGCTTTTGCCGAGAAGGAGCTGAAACATTCTGCCGGGAACTTTTACATTAACTCGAAGAGCTCAGGGGCTGTGATCGGGCAGCAGCCATTTGGTGGCATGAGGGGAAGTGGGACAAATGACAAGGTTGGATCGGTCAATGTGCTGAGTCGGTTTGTAAGTGTCAGGGCTATCAAGGAGGATTTTGAAGGGACGAAAGACTTCAAATATCCCAGTAACGAGATTTGAACACCGTTTTCACATGTTCACGTCATCATATTTTGGCTTATATCGTTAAACTTGCGAGGTTGGTGGATACAAAGACTTGGTGTAGTTCAACACGCTACTGGGCTAGCTCCCACCTGAACCACGTTTTTCAAACTTGGAATCTGTCCGTGGCTGGCGAACGAGTTGTGTGCTATGAACAGTCAAAATCAGACACGGCGAATAAAGATATTAGATACATTTCATTCACTGTAAAACTTTTCATGCCCTTATGTTAACAGCATATTTCTGACAAAACAAACTTTGAGCAATTCATAACGATCCAATTGACACTCGTTACATTGTTAAAGATCTCCAGCCACCAAATGCATAATGCTCCTCCAATTTCATCAATCCTACATCATCGCCGCAGTGTTCTCTTTGATGCTTTGACTTGCCGCCAGAGGAGATTGTGATGGTAACGATGAACCTGCATCAATCGACTTTCGTAGATTTCATAGAAGCCCCACAGCGCATCGATAGACTTTGAACATCTTCTTGGCTCAACATTGTCCAGCATAGGTGATCCACGCAGGCTTTCAAGCTTTCCTAACTCTTCCTTCAAGGCCTTGGCAACCTCCTCCTCCCCATTGAAGAAAGGCCCACGACTATCAGAAGTAACATACCAAGGCTTGGAATTAACGACCCCTGATAAGACCGTAGCATCAATCAAGGAAACCAAGACATCTCTCAAACAGAATTGAGCTATTCGAGATATAGCCTTCGCATTGAATGTCGGAAATCTGTACAAGATATAGAGATTTGACTGGGCTGGGACCATCGCCGATATGTCCCAGTCACCAATCTCCAGGATCCATTGAGGTATTATGGCATCGAAAACTCGAGAATCAGGGATTCCGTCCTCTGGTTTCGGATAGGCAATAAAATTGCCACCATTATAGCCAGGAACCCCTCGTAGACGAAATCCCGTGTAGCGAAGTGGGAAGTCCGCTTGCTTGAGAGCTTCGTGTCGGAACATGTAGTTAACTCCCAAGATCGCAGCTTTGGTGGGTATGCGTTGCCCATACTCCTCATATATTTCTGTGTAGCTTGTGTCCAATGCGAACCGGATAATCTTCAATCTAAGCTCGTCTGATAAGTCCGAAAAATTCTTGGGGAGGTTCGTATTGCGCTTCTTACGGAACATCGACAGTGCTTTGGCAAAATATTTGTTGACTTCGCAGACTGAATACTCGTCGGAGTCGAGCTTTGAGCATTCTTCGAGGGATTCTTCACTATTTGACTTTGCAGCCTGTGCGGTCGTTGTGTCAATTTGCGAGCTCTGAACAAGGCTGCTTCCATGGGGAGAATTATCTTCTGAGGCCTCGCCCGAAGTACCGTCCCGAAGTCCAAGCAGGCTCTGTTCACTCTCCGTCTTCTTCAATTTGACGCCCATGATGTGCCTCGAATCACTGGCGGGGGCTGATGGCCTCGGACTGGCGCTCGAAGCAGTCTCTTGTCAAGCTTGAGTTGGCTCAGACTGAGTGCTCAGTGACACCTACAGGTTTCAAGCCCCAAGATATTTTCAAATTGTCCAGTGGGAACCTAAGAGAAGTTTGTGTGGGGTTGTTGAAAACAGAAGTACGTAGGTGTGCGAGAAAGGCACTACCACTAGAGAGGCTAGACCATGCATTAACGAAGACAGTGACGTCTAGGTAGCTACACAGAAAATGATTAGGTTCAGCTGTTGAAACCTTCCGAAAGTGCACTGTGATATCACTACTGCCATAGGTTCACGGAGAATGCCGCAAATGTGGTAAAGTAGAAGCAGCGTGGTGTGGAAATGTGTCCCCACATACTATTCTTGAAATACTTTGACAACAGCATGCTCATTTCTTCAAAGTTTTCAGACAGTCTCTTCTTGACCGAATTCCACCATCCATGGAGTGTCAAAGTCGATGAACTGAAAACAATCCTCTGTCGTACTCCAAACCTCCGGGAGTCGCAGCTGACAATTGGGCAGATTCGCGTCTGCTGCATCAGACGCGTCGGGAATGTAGTCCTCTGGGGTTTGTAGTCCGCTGAAAATTTGCCAATCTTGCATAATCTCGGAGGTGCAAAGACTCGGGGTCGACAGTTCTGCGAATGCGGTGCAGGACGCGTGATCATAAGGCGTGTCCACACTGGCAATTCCCTGCGGTATGGCGCGCCCAGATATGGAGTCCAAGGTTCCGAGTCCTCTAACACTCATAATGGAGTTATGATTTGCTCTGTATTCTCCAATAGTCACCCCCATGATCTTTTTGAACACTCGACAGAAATGACTTTCTGTCAGTCCCACTTCTTTCGCCAGACCTTTCACGCTCCATTTGACATCCCCCGTACTTTCCTTCTTGATCAGATCGCATGCCTTCTCAACTGCCAGGATCTGTGGATCTGCTTCATTTTCTCTCAAATTTGGACGACATCGTTTGCAAGGACGAAATCCAGCTGCTTCAGCTTCCGCGGGGGTATCGTGGAATATCACGTTCGCTCGACGTGCAAGGCGTGAAGAACAGGATGGCCGACAGTAGATCTTGGTCGTGAGAACGCTATAAATGAAGGCATTTCCTGCGAGGGGATTTCGGCTTTGTAGAGCTGCCCAACGGCTGCTTGAGGTGGAAAATGGAGTCATGATCAATGGTTCTTTGGAGCGGTTGGTAGCGTCAGGATGGTCTGTGGGATGAAGAGGTATCATCAAGCTCTGTTGAGCCCATCTTTATGACCAGTCCATGATATACCTAAGAGTGTATCACGTTTTGACTGTGAACTGTGATAGAATTTGCAAATGAGGACATGAAGTTGACGTGCGGGGCGACAAAACCATGAGTCAGCCTGAGCTGCTCCGGAACTGACCAATCAGGTTGCATCTCACCGATATCGACAGCAGCAAACATTAGAGCATATAAACCATAAACCACCACCTGGGTAGGCTTCCCCTAAGATAGTCAAATTCAAAAACTTCACATCATATCTTCTCCTAGCCAGTTTTGTTGACATGGCCGTCACAGAATATCAAGAGGTCGTTACCCCGCTCCCTTTTCGCCCGGCCTTAAGCGAAGACGTTATTGACAAGTATCAAGCGCGTCTATGCTCTTTTACGCCAGATTCCATCTGGAAGAGTATCATCATATGCTGAGCTTTCAAGAGCTCTTTCGTCATCTCCACGAGCAGTTGGTGGAGCTTTGAGAAGAAATCCATTTGCGCCGGAAGTGCCTTGTCATCGCATCATTTGTGCTGGTGGAGTGAGTGAGGTCCATCAAGCATTGAGAACACGAGCTGACGGAAATTAGTCAATTGGAGGTTTTAAGGGAGAGCCTCAAGATGCACCATCTGGTATCAATCAGGCTGAGAAACTGCGATTACTGAAGAGTGAAGGGGTGCTGTTCGATGAGAGAGGTCAGCTGTTGGATAGCACGAAGTGGTGGAACAATTTCCAGACCCGGTAGGCCAGGGAGTGGAGAGAGTCGTCAAGGATGTTAAAATACCGTACGGGAGCATTGAGTTTTTTTCTAGGTCTGGCCTGTCGACAACAGTGAGAAGTTATCCATGTTTTCAAACTAGTTTTCGACGGAGCCTTCCTGTGTCCATGTGCGTATTGGGGCACGACGTCTGCATCGCTACTTCTACATATTACCAATGCAAAGTAACTGATAAAATCTGATCATTGATTCATTCTAGCAAAGAGTTCCCGTTAAAGAGCCAAGTGTGGCAGTTCCCGGCTCCATGCATAAGGCAGACTTCCACAGCCTCGTCTGCTCTTGGCGGGTTACACGAGCCAGTCAGGATTTTCTATCCTCTGGTGTAGAACATATCTTCCTCCCATAGTTTTAAAACCACCCCTTCAAATGTAACGCTATATCAAAAGTACGTCACCGAACGATCATTATCGCATTCTGTCCCAGGCTCATTGCCAAGAAGTCACTTCTCAACCCATACCCTCCAGGCTGTAAGACGAGCTTATCCATCTGAACACCATATCTCTGCCATAAGTGCCAAAACTTGGGAAGTTCGAAGAGCAATGTCAGCCGACACAAATTGTCAAGAGAACACTCAGGCTATACCAGTGGCCAGGATGGAAAACACAATTGCACCGCTACAGGGAGAGCCAGCAGCAGCCCTTCAGAAAACATCCATTTCCATACCAATGTCTTTCGGACACTACTCTACTAATAAGAATCAACCTTTTGACGATTTATCGCTTTCAAATATTACATTAATTGTTCGCCAACAGCCTAAAGTCGCACGTGCTTGTGGATTTGGAGAGAGGGACAGGAGGGTGGTCGACCCACCCCCTATTGTTCAGTTGCACATAGATAACCCAGATTTGCGCTCCGAAGGCAAATATTTGCAAGAAAGTGGAATTCATCCTGTCGTTCATTGTTCGTTATGGGACCCTGAGAAGGACGTCTATGCTACGACTGTGTCGGACTCGTCCACGACGGGTCGTCAACAACGGCGACTCCTGGGAACTCTGATTTCGAGTCCTTTCGTGGGTGAAGATGAACACGGGGTGCCAGGGATATTTTTTGCTTTCCCAGATCTTAGTGTGAGGACTACAGGAATCTATTGCTTGCACTTCACCTTAGTCGAGTTCGACTTCTCACAGATGAAGCCTGGCCACTCGGCGCCTGTGAAGGCAACCATAAGGTCTGACCTTTTTCCGGTTTACAATGCGAGAGAGTTTCCGGGACTCAGAGCGAGTACTTCACTGAGCGCATCACTACGAAGCCACGGGTGCTTACCTTCATCACGAAAATACCGCAAGAATCTGCGAACAAGGCAGGGTAATGTCCTGTCAGGTAAGGGTAATGCCGAAACCAGTCTACCACTGTTATCTGAGACTTGCGAGACTAGTACATCCGAGGAGATGTCTCGGTGTGGGATGTCTATCTTCTCAGAAGCCTCGGGACAGTCATCACAACCCCAAACTTTGTTTGAGCATTACCTTTCTGCTACAGATGCATTTGGGAAGCTGTTGCTTGAAGATGCTGTCTTGGACCAACATTATCGGCACCTCATCTCTGCACGGGACGTTGAGCTGCACAAGTTCGAGGATATGCTTTTCCAAATTCTTGGATCACTTTCCAAGAGCCTGTTTATGGAGGCGCAAAGCGTCATTCAGCAGAAAATTGCAAAGTTCATTGAGCGAAAAGCAGACGAGGTCGCACGTGGGGTTAGAGAGGATGTCGAGGCCCAAAAACAGATTAAACCACTCTCACACGTACTTCCGGGTACTGGTACGGAGGATTATGGTTCGAACAATCGAATCAACACTTGGGTTATGGAGGTCGAAAACCAAGAGCAACAACAATAGGAACGACAGGACGTAGGCAACGATATTCAAGATCCGGATGATCTTGAATATCAGGTGTTCAGGGAGGAAAAGGACTTCATCATCTCCAGTAAAGCCTATGCGAATTTCAGGCAGCAATTTGAGTCAACTGTCCACTTGATAACGTCCAAGGTCCCGCAGACAGATAGCAAGGATATTGGGATTAAGGGAAACAAAGTCAACACGGGAACGGAAGTACCCTACGTTCCAGATGATGAGCATGTCTCCATGACTGCAGAAAGCTCACAAAAGAGTTTTGACATTACACACGTGTCTACAGATAGAGCTACCAACAACAAAAGCGAGAGCGACAACGACCCATCCGAGACTTCAATTTTTCAGCATTCGCACTTTTCCTTTCTACTCACTCCTTCAACAATGGTTCCTCTGCCGGATTTTTCGGACAGAATTAATGTACTAATAGAAAGGCATGTACGATATAAGATACAATGGTGGCCGCTTGATCCCCCATGAAGGAAGTGCCCAAAAGATAGCTTTAGGTTGTCCTGGCACTGTGTAGGTACTATGTTTCCTCAAGAGTCCTGGCTCTCGTTTTCCACAACAACTTCTTCATATCTGACCGTGACCTAGAACTGTGGAATGAAGCTCTATTTTGACGTATCCTCTCAGGTCGCTGCAAGGCTGAAGCAGGAATTACCAGGAGCAATGGCATTAGCCAACCCAGTGCTTCCATTTCACGAGACTGCCCCTGTAGCAATGCGCAATACGCCTTCCTCGACTGCGGCGACTAGAACAGATGCAATGCCGCCACATCCACCAGCTACAGCCAATGCTAACGTCGATGGTCACGGTATCGCAGTCTCAGAAAGACGCGGCATTGCTACCGGAAATGCTTCTTTTACAAGAGACTGTTATCTCCATTGGTGTATCGATTCGAACGCATCTGACACCCTGCTATTCCCCTTGAAGCTACTGCGGATAGATGATGTTACCATAATCCAGAAGCTGAGAGCCACATACAAGGCTGTGAAGGGATTTCGCAAGTGGATATCTTTGACAGATATCGACAGTGTGAGATTTGTTTTGGTACATCACTACTTTACACTCCTACTTGAATTGTAACTAATGTTAAATAGTTCAAGAGAGGGGTTCAAAATGACGGATCACAAGACCTGATAGTATGCTTGAAAGAAGATATGCCACCAAAGACCGACACAAACTACCAATACCTGAGTTCAGAGCCCCCGAACTTCTCCAGAAATTCGCTACACAAACACTGCGGTACCACCTACAATATCCACACAAGTGCAACGCAAAGAATATCTAGAATGTCATGGATATGGTTCCCAAGAAGATCAACGGATTGCTAGAGAGGAAGTTTGGTGCTGTTGGGTGGGGTGTACAAGCTGTTCCCGGGCTGGCAATATGGAAATGCGCTATTGCTTTTGCCCTGTCACAGGTTCCGCCGATGATCTTCGCGGTTCGATGGTTATTTTGGTATACGGGGGATTTTCAGAATGCGTTTATGTTCTCGGTATACCTGCTCATGGTAATGAATTTCCTTCTCCTAGCTCCAGAACGATGGTGTTTTCGCAGGTCTTGACCTGACAGGGCGATCGCCGAGAATATTATCCCGTATACGTATTATGATGAAGTCACATCGAATGACTTATGATGAATGAAAGTTACTTATGTTTTGGCTGACCACATGTCGAGACTGTGGTTGTTGTGATGTTGTTCTGTAAGCGAAACCTAGACGGTGAAAGTATCAATTGTCAGGATTTTGGGCGACTTGAACCCCACAAGCTCCACAGACTGTCTCTGCCATTTATCAAAAGCTTCACTCCCGTGAGATGATTATAGATACTGAGGATTCCGATGTTCAGTGGAAGGACACTTTGTTAGTAGTCTTCAATCTGTTGCTGCATTCTGAAGTTAGCGGCAAATCAGCGGGCATTTCGCTTGCTGGGCCACACATTTTTATTGTCATTTAATAACCAGATAAGCAGATTGCGACATCACACTACAAAAGCGTGGTTCAATATATCCGGAATGGTGTAGTGTAAGTCATCAGATATTTCACCTCGCTACAATACATACTAACAGTTTCTCAGGGCTAGCATTTCTGCCTCTCATGATCTGTCTAATCCACAATAAATGTTCGCAGGAGACCGGGGTTCAATTCCCCGTTCCGGAAGAATTCTTTTTGTCATATTTTTATTGCATTCTTTTACAATCAATGTAGTTTATGTTTCTGATTGGTTTGACAAAAGCCAATCTGCTCTTGTGTCTTACTCTCTCGTTCAATTTTTGTGCCTAGAATCCAGCCGTAAACTCGTCGATCACGCTTCATGCTTCTGGGAGTCTTTCATGAAATCAATCATCCCGATCCTAAGCCCAAAAAGCTATAAACCCTTAATAGAGCCATGGAAATTTGTCACAGAATGGCAATTCTGATTGTCAAACATACTGTGCACAATTTTCAAATCCTTTTCATCCTTTTGTATCTGCCGTGCCGGGTCCAACAATTTCTTATCGGAACTCTCCAAGCTCTTATCATAAGCGAGACTTCAATCACATCGCCTCGACCGCCTCGACCGCGAGGCTCAACGTCCACTTCAGCCCGAGCTCTAGGAACAAAACATCACTGCCGTGATTCTTCTCGTTACAGACCTCGCCTCTGCTGCCATGATAATGACTTACGACTGAACGAACACCCCACCAATCCTTCGACATGGCCTCCATATGGTCAGGGAAGACTCCTCCCGACACGCCCACCTCCAAAGATGTCTCGGACGTAGCAGACACGGGTCTAGCAGATGTCGGCCTCCCAGCTCCTCAAGCTACCAGTGTTCCAATAGGACGCCCTCAGCTCCAGAGAAATCAACCGGCACCCCCTCCTCCCCATCAGCCTCCGCCGCCTCCATCTCCGAACCCGAACGACTCCCTCTCGTTGATGCAGCTCCGGCGCATTGTGACCGAGTTCCCCAAGATCGACCCTACAACCTACGCTTTTACGTATGCAGATGTTGCAACATTCGAGGAAGAGATTGATGAGTGGTTCTCATACAATGATGCGGAGTACAAACGTCTGCAGAGGGCGAGGGACACATTCGAAAGGCGATGGAGGAAGTTTTCGAACAAGCCATGGCTCGAATCGGACGACCGGCAGAAGTTTGTGGAGAAAGAAGTCAATGGCTTGCATGCTACAGATCTACGGAGACGCTGTAAGAGTCTGCAGACGGTCCTACACATCATTCTAGGAGTATGGGACGAGACTGCCGGAATCAAGGCAGAGGAAGCTACAAAAGCAAAGACGAAGGCTACACCTAAGCATCTGGAGAATATGAAGGCCGGAATTATTATGATAACGAACGCTGGTGGCATCGCGCTTGTCTTCCAAGTTTTGCAAAATGCATTCAAGATGCTCTGGGACGACGAGTTTCGTGAAACTAAGTTACTAGATGAGGATATACCCTTCATCCAAGATGAGCTTGACAATGTGACCACTATCATATACATGTTTATCGAAGGAGTTCGCAATGATCTCGTTGGATTGGCAACTGCTCGCGAGCAACTTCGTAGGTTTTACTTCGAGTCACAGGCGCCCTAAGCTAATGTCAACAGTGGAGTTGAATTTAATTGACTATTTCGTCAAGATCACGGCAAGGCTCCGGTGGGATGAGGCGAACGAATTGCCACAGACTAGGGTTTGTTAAATTTCTACTCCTCATTCGACCATATCTAACTCCACTAGATATTTCTGCTATTTTGGAAGACAATTCTGCTTGCATTTGGCGGTACAGTCGAGATCGAGGATGCCAAAAGTGCTATTAGCGAATTGAGACATGTCAATGGCGAGGGAGGGAAGCTCATCACAGCGTCTCCCTTGGATTATCATATTTTCCGCCAGGAAATCACTTCAAAATACCCCGCATATACCCCGCCACCGCCCCTCTTACCCCTCGAACCTGACAACAATTCCATCTTGCCACCACTTCCGAACCGACCTAGCAGAGCAAATGGCGCGAATGGAATCATACCTCCACCTATGAATGTTAACAGCAGTGGAGCATCGATTCTGCATCAGCCTGTACACATTGCGACTCCTGCACCCTCCCCACCTCCATCACCTCCAGTCGGAGGCAAGGCTGGCAAGAAGCAAAATTACCAAACCAATCAGAACTTCCCTTTCATGTACCCACCACTAGATAGTACCAGTAACAGTGCTGGTGGCAAAGGGGCTGCAGGTTTACAGGAATTACTAGTTGGTAGGAAATGGGAGGGAAGTGATATACCAAAGTCAATTCTCGAAGCCGGAGCTTTGTTTGCAAAGCGAATGCGAATGACAAGAGCGATGCGACAATTGTGGAATGAGCGGGAGAAGTTCCTGAAGCATGAACGGGGATGGGATGGTGATGACGAAGACGATGATATTGATGAACTTGATCTGGACACGATACTGGACAAGAATGCTGCACGTCAGAGCATGAAACCTATGAAACCGGATGTAGATTATGGACCAAATGCTGATGTTGGCGACGATGTCAAGAAAAAGCTCGATCTTGTCGAGCAATTCTATGTAAGTTCTCCTACAGTACATCTGACAGGTTACTCATCAGGGTAGAAAAATTCAATACCACACCTACAATCTCTGGTGATTGTTTTGCTCAAAGCTGTGCTTGCCAATGTCACGGCACTTATCACACAGCCTATGGGACAGCAACAGGGCATGAACTCTGGATTCAGATCGGATGTTAATCTGCGTGGCAACGGACCTCAGGGACAGAACAGGCAACAAGATCCCGCAAACATCCCATTGCCGACCACTGTGGATCCATCTGAATTGCCAATCGAAGAGATAGAGGCGATGCGTTCACGTGAAATCACAGCGAAAGCAGTGTCGGGTATCCTTCTCATGTTGTTGAAGTGGTTCAAAGTTTCCCGTATGTCTCGCATGTCTTTTGACTGCACAATACTAATCTATGCAGATATCCTCAAGTTCGAATACCTCACACAATTACTACTGGACTCCAATTACCTGCCACTCGTTCTCAAGCTTTTCGCCCACCAAGAAATTGACAAAGTGGTAGAAAGCAGAACAGATCGCGATGAGATGAGGTAATCTTCACTACCATCTCATTTTGCCTATGCTAATATCATGTAGCTTCTTCACGTTCTGCAACGAGCATAGCAAGAACGTCCCAATCCCAGACTTGACAGAGCTTGAAGCCGAAGAGAGTGAAGACGAGGTCGCTCCCCCAGCCATAAAACGCAATCGAGACCTTCCTGTCTCAGGCTCCGAAGACAAGCTACCAGCCCTCGCATTCCAGGAAGGCCAGCACGCGGGCAAACGCGATCGCCCCGAACTGGACGAGCTCGGCTATCCAACTACGGAACCCCCATACCCAGATGAACCCATCACTGAGTTCTCGTGGCGTAACTTCTTTTCCTCCATTAACTTCCTACGCATTATGCAGAAAATCTGCAAGAATAAAGCCCACCGCAACCTCCTCCTCGTTCAATACAAATCGTCCAACATCCTCAAGAAATCCCTCAAGATCCCACAGCCTGAACTCCGCCTCTACACGCTCAAGCTGTTCAAGAACCAAGTCTCATACTGTGGTCGCAAATGGCGACAAGGGAATATGCGCGTCATTACGGCTGTGTATCTACATTGCCGTCCGGAATTGAGGGATGACTGGCTGGCCGGTAGTGATGTCGATGCGGAGGTTGAAGAGGCGTTGCCTCTGGAGCAGGCACTGAGGGCGTTGACGCATTGGCACAATATCAAGAGGTACCCCGAGCAGATGGGCGCTGATACAAAGTTGTTGGAAGAAGAACATGATTTCTTTGTAAGAGAGCTTGAGAGGATGGAGTTTATTGACGAGGGTGGCGAGGAGGAAAGTGTTGATGGTGGGTGGATTGGGTACGGGCCTTGAGATGACTGTAGGTAGATGATCCGCATGTAAGGTCAACAGAAACAAGCGGGCATGGTACCAATCCAATTCATTCATTTAATGACTTCCATCCGCACACAAAAGATGTCCAGCACCACTATTTATTTTCATAAACCTCACAACTCCCACCAAGCCATTTCACAAAAGTTAAGAATCAAATCCATGAATTATCCATCTCTGTCTCACACACGCATGAATCTCACCTCGCCTCACCTTGCCTCGCTTCGCCCCCCTTCCAATCCGACCATTAAAATTCTCCTACGCATAAACCTCCCCTACACCTTTCCCACTTGCCCCAGCACAAATCCAACTTCTACCATCCATTTGTTGCACATCGCATTTATTTCTCCGAGAATGTATTTCGTGTTTTGGTCGTGGGTTGGGACGAGCGCGCGATTCTGAGTTGAGTTTCCGTCTAAGCGTCTGCGGAGATGCGATGGGGTGGGCTTGGTGTTAGGGTGGTGCGTGTGGTGTAATTTAGGTAGGTTAGGGTGTGTGGATGGAAGGGGACGGGAGAGGGTTAGGATGGAATAATGGGAGGGGTGTTTGGGATGTATGAGTGGTGCGTGTGTTTATTGTTTCGGAAATTTTGGAGGAGGATGTTTATGCGAAACGAATGGAGGGATTGGGATTGGATTGAATGTTTGGGTTCTGGAAGCTTGAAAATCGAGGTGAGACACGTGATGAGATCGAATTTGTGATTACTCGGATTCAACTGAGTAGGAGATGGATCTCGGGGATGTTCAAAGTTGAATGTTGCTTCCTTTTGCTGTCGTTGTCGCGAGAATTCAATTGAGCCAGGCATCGTGAACCGAGTGAGAGCCAAGCAATGCCTCTCTAGGCTCTTCTTCTTACGACGAACACATACAGTGACGAAGGTTTTGTCAGAAACCATCTTGTACGAATCGGAGTATTCTGGGCAGACTTCTTTCAGTCTAAGATATCCAAAACATGGCTGCGCTTGAAACCCAGCAGTTCGGATGGTGTATAGAGTTTCGGTTCGATAGACCCATCCAATGCGGGTAAATCAACATGGGAAGCAAGGAGGAACTCGAAGCCCGACTTTGCTCGGATATCTATTACAGGCTTGGAAGTTCATTAGGGATTCTCGGATTATGCACAAGGTTATCAGTACCGTGTCTTTTGTTTGCGGTATTTGATACCTAAAATGCGCATGCAAGGTCACGTCTTCCTGGCTGCACTTTTACTAGCAAGACAGAACTCCTTGCCCTCGTCTATTCACAATGTCAGTGTGTTGTTGCTCAAGAAAGATTTGCACCCCAAGGCCAAATTCTCAACTTACTTGTGATATAGTAGACAACCAGATTAATCCAACCAATCTAATTCATGCACTGCACTCCCCACGCAAGTAAAACCCTCCTTCCAGTATGCACTGTATCTCGTTGGAGTGAGTATGTTCCGCCATTTGAACCCTCCATTCTGTCGCTCAATCTTGATTACTTGTATAATTCCATCTGCTTCCTGCACAATGAGCGGATGGTCTCTGGGTTTATCATACACTCTGCAGAGAACCTCAGTGGCTTCCTCGGTACAATCGCGGTTGAATAGCCATCGTGGTGACTCTGGTAGACCGAAGACCAGAATCACCACGAAGATTGCGAAGACCATTTGGAAGGCAATAGGAGTTCGCCATGCGATGGAGCCTGGTGTGAAGGACATTCCAAAGTCGAACCAGCTGTACAGTTCCAAGCCAGATCATTCTGACCGTACTTCAACACGAACTGTTTTACTTACTATGCGATACTGATTCCAACGCCCACGAACAACACCTCCGAAGGCACTAGCCTTCCCCGCATATGGCTTTGACATAACTCGGACTGATACATAGGTACCGTCGACATTTCTAGTCCAGTCCCACCACCCGTCACAATCCGACCAATGACTAAATGTGCAACACCGTACGCGCTCGTCTGCAGGATGGCATCGACAATGATTGTACTTGCAGCTATCCAAATCACTTTCCGGCGACCAAGCATATCGCCGACGCAGAAGTTGACTAAGTACCCAGGTCAGTTCATCAATAATATATTGTTTTCTTGGTAGAGTAAGGTAGAGGAGCATACATACTGAAACATCCCAGAAGACATCCCAAATTGTACGAGCTTACAATAATCCCAGCTTTTGTACCTCCAGGGTGGCCAAATTGATTCAACCAATTTTCATTTTGTAGAATACCTCCAAATACTCCTTGATCATAGCCGAAAAGAGTGAAGGCCATCAGACAACCACAACTGATGGCGATCTGTAGGGGTCGTCCTCTTCCGAACCAGTTCCGCATTTTCGAATGGGTATTTCTGAACACACACTCGATGCTGAGAAACTAGAGGTAATAGTATGCAAGATGCTATTTGAGAAATGGGGGATATGTGGTTTTATCGCCGCCTCCGCCATTGGACTCTCCAAAACAACTATGACATATTCACGATTTCGGATAATCCCCATCGATCATTCCCATGGTGAGATATGGGCTGAGGGGAAAATGGGGGGGATAGATCTCGTCAAGTCTTTTAGATGGAGGCTAAGTAGTGACGATCATGGCTAGCGATAATCCGATATATCGTGATTGGAACGACTAATTGTCGGTAATAACACTACGTTTGATGGACGGGGATATTCATTTCCGTTGCAAGAATTGTTGTGACAGTATTTTAGAAATATTTCTCTTCTTTGTTTTCAAGTCCCCTGTTGACGAAATACACTTCCACGTTATGAAATTCAAGATCGGCAGTCCAAGCCGTGGAATTGAGAATAAGCGAAGCTTCCCGCTCCGGTATCAACAATCTCGGGATGCCTTCCCATTTCCCCCTTGTAGGATAGCCAACTCGTTCTACCAATAAAAAATTGCTTTAAAGAAACGAAACACTGTAGAATGTACCCAACGCGGTTGTAGAGTCAGTGTCAATGTCCCAGAATCCAATACTCCCAGCTCTCGCACTCCAGTGCCATTTTGTTGTGCATGATCCTGAATCCGACCACAGATGAGAGTGGCGAGTCGACCTGTGTCGGGCCTGTTAAACTCAAGGGTGTAGTCTGTGCCGCCCTGGTGGACAGAATGGAGTTCACTGATGTTCGGGTTGCCGTCCAGATTGACTGGGAGTTGTCAGTGCAATGAAAACGAGTAGAAGAAAGAAATGATGATATACATAGAAGTGACGAGAACCAACGTACCTCGTGCATCTACTTCGTGAGAGGGGCCAGCAGTATTTACTGGTCGATCAACCGATATGGACACCCGCGGCGGCTGGTCATTGATACCAAATCGACCAGCCAGGTAGACTCGTGCGTGGTTCGAAATCTCTGTCAATTGGCCATTTTGGGCAATCTGTGAGACCTTACTGTGTTGAAGTGCCTCATACGCTGCTCTAGCAAGATACATCTCAAGTGATTGTCTAACCTGTTCACCCAGAGTCCTCTCATCCCATTCGTCTGGTGAAGACTCTCCTACAATTGGGGCAAGATGTAGCGTGAGCGACGGACGTATGGATGTCTCTGGAAGTGTGGTGATATGTGTCCAACCAGGTTGTATATTCGGGTCTTCTGGCTGTTGTGGCTGATATGGTGGTTGAGCAGGTTGTGGGGAAGAAGGTTGGGGCGGGAAACGAAACCAAGCTCCCACAGCAGTACCGCTTTCCGGACACAGCTGGTGAATTGAGTCGACTTCTGAGCTAGTAAAGGTGTCCTGGTAGGGGATGCTAGAGTTGAACTTTAGAAGCGCTCTCAAAGCCATGCTTTGAAACGAATCCCTACCTGTCTGAACCCTGGATGGCTAGATAGAGACCAGGGGGAGGATGGCCAGTTTGAGCGTCTTGGCTGAAGCTAATCTCAAAATCCTGTGAGTTTCCAGGTACTGGTTTATGTGGCTGACAAAATGGATTGTTAATGTCAGTGAGAATCTCCGCCCGAGGATCTAACTTGGGGTTCTCAGTGGACCCGTCTATTGGTGTTGGTCTATGTGAACCAGGACCTTGGTGAATAAACATGCTGAAGATAGTCGGTATATTCTGTTCTGAGTCAGGATTGGGTTTTTAAGGCACTCACGATGGTCGCTCCTGCCGTCTTGGAAGCTATCATGGTAGAGAGTTCGATTGACGATGCCCATGACATGTTTTGGCTTGTGCTATCTAGAGATGCTCTGATTCTCAGAGCCCCATCGTAATAAATGAATAATGTAGCAAGTTCATGGTTCCAAGACTGTGGTGTTGAAGTATGCGTCCGCCACGAGCGTCGCATGTCTCGCCGTTTGAGGTCCCCAAATGGGGCTCGTGAGCCAATATCCTCTGCCATATCGTTTTAGGACAGTTTTATAATAAATTAAAACCATTGGGGTCTTGATGAAAGCACTTCTAATTAAGTTACTCGAATATTTTTCATTCTACTAGAACGTGAATGATGATGTGCCTTGAAAACGCTCCGCAGACACAGGAAACGCCTTGGTCTTAATCCGTTAATGGCATCTCACGGAACCGATTTTTCTAGTGGTTGTTTGAACAAGTTGTTGTTACCTAGATTGCATCAACCTCAATTTTATATAAGCAGAAAATCCTACCGTAGTCTGGTAGTTTCTACTGCGCCAATGTTTAGCCATATATGACTTGATTGATTTGTTTACTTGCTGCCCCTCGCGTAGGGGCGGTGTTTTCGTTCGCTAATAAAGGGATGAACTCACGGGTAGCCATACTCAGACAATGGTCACTGCAATTAATTGCCCTTTCGGGAAAAAGAGCGCCGAAAATCTGTTCGTGTTGCGCCCATCTAAAAGCTGAGTAATTTCGGATAGATTACGCACTCTCATATACCACCAACCGACGGACTGGTCTGCTCAGCTTTTATTAAGTACTTGCTCTGAGCTTATCTTTATCTACCTCATCCTACGCGCTCTTATTTCTTGCATTTTGTTGTCAGCTCTACAAATATTTGGACTTGCCTTTTCAGACACAACAGCCTCTGTATCATCCTTGGCGAATCGCATCATAATCGCTAGTCATTTCGTGCTAAATATCGGACATACATTGACAAATGAAAAAACTTGTTGACGATGGGCCCATTTTTTTTTCCAGAAGTCGGGTAATAGGAGCGAGGACACAAGCATTCGAGAAGTCAAACATCTCCATTTCTCGATGTCTTATTGGACGAAACGAGTCAATGTTTGGTATCTAACCTAGCTTGACCCTCCCCGCGTCAGAATGTTGATGCCAAATGTGAATAAGTTTCATGGAAATGGTCCTTTCACTGCAAGAAAGCATTGATTAACCACATCACTTTAAATTGATACCCAGAGGAAATTGGGAGCGAAATAAACAGTCAACCAAACACAAAACTTTTGAAATCGAGGTCCAGACCTACGGGTAGGGCTGCAAAATTTTATGGGCCGTCCCACTCCTTAGCTAGGGATATCCACTTTCATTTCGACGGTGGTGTTCCCACCACGAACCTATATCAGAACCACCATCATTTCCTCGACATCTTTTGAAGAACAATTCCAATTCACAAGCTTTGAGTCATTCACCCGTGGATCGCGAACGAAAGTATGGACTCCTCAGCAGAGAACAGCAAGGATACCAGCAAGAGGGCGTCTCTCAGCTCCCTCCCACTGCCAGCCTCTCAGTCAAAACCCACAAAAAATGCCGAATACCTTTCAACTCTTGTCTCAAAAGACCATTCTGATATTCCCATGATACTGTGCTGTCTCGTGTCCGGTCTTTGCGATAGTAGTTCATACAATGCATGGAGTTGCTTTGTCAGCATGCAGACTGGTAATACCCCCGCGCAGCCATTGAATACCTCAAGAATCTAATGCGCGATAGGAAACACAATCTTCCTAGCTCTCGGTGCAGCAAATCTTCCTGTCGGCCATCCTTACGGCTGGGCAAAATCCCTCATCTCAATTGTCGCCTTCAATCTAGGTTGCAATTTTTTCGCCACAGTCTTCAAAACCCTGGATCGCGGGCACCTCTCCCTGTCTTTCGCATTTCAAGCAACATGCATTTTCATTGCTGCAATCCTCGTTCAAACAAATGTTGTACCTCCAGCACATACGGATTCAGCCGGTCACATCGCTGATGTGAACTTTCTCGAACTGATCCCGCTGATCTTCCTCGCATTCCAAAGTGGGGGCCAAATCGTGACCTCCAGGTTGCTTGGCTTGAATGAGATCCCGACAACGGTTCTGACGAGTGTGTACTGTGACCTGTTTTCAGACCCGAATATTCTGAAGAAATCAAATGTGAAGCGAGACCGAAGAGCTGCGAGTGTGGTGTTTTTGCTTGTTGGTGGGTTGGCAGGGGGCTGGATCAGTCGGACGGCGGGCTTGTCTGTGGTGTTTTGGATTGCAGGTGGAATCAAGGCTGTGTTAGCTGTTGCGTGGATATTCTGGAAGGAGAAGGAGACGTTGGCTTGAGGGCGACTTGGTTTTTGCAATCAGTTTCTGGGAAGGGAATTACCGCAGGAGTTGTGGTCACAGATCATGGGTGAGGATAAAACAAATACCATTTAGATAAGAACCATAGAATTAGATCAGACGAAGATTGGGGATTGTAGAATAGATCAATCAGAAAGAGACATCAGATAGAGCCCACCAAAAGTATAATCAGACTTCACATTTCAGCAGCCGGTGCACCAACTTGGCCACACACGAAGGCCTCACATACTTACCAAACAAAGGAAAGATTTGGCAGGTTCCATATATTTCGGCAAGTATATCACACGGATTGGTACTGGAAAAATAACGGCCCCCAAAGTGATGCTGATTAGGTAATCCTCACCTCACTATCGCCTTTTAACCGCCTTGCATGCATTGCGGTGCGGCTGAAGGATCCCCAGGATCAACTTCGTCTCAGCCAGGCCAGGACTCCTCGTACATGTAATACCGAAAACTACTCGATCGAACATATCAAAAGAGCACAGAAACAAAACAGCAAGGCCGCTCTTGAACCATGGAATCGTTCAAAGGGTCACATAGATACCAACGGTTGCGAGGCTCTGACATTCGTGTCGTCAGGTTCAAGCCTTGTCCACCAGGCTCAAACGACAATGCTCGAATCGAGGGATACATATCCCACGTCCCTCTTTTAGGTTCTGATTTCTTTGCTCTGTCATATGTATGGGGAGATGCAAGCGATACCAAAACAATCACTTTGGATGGCCAAGACTTTCCAATCACCACCAATCTTTGGGACGCGATCAAGAGTTTGAGAAATCGTTATGACGCGGAGCGAAAACCGCAGGATAAGAATGTTCCTGAAATATTGAGAGGAGAGATTGATGAGACTGGTGATGGATGGAAAAATTCTGCGATATGCTGGTGGATTGATGCGATTTGTATCGACCAGACAAGCACGAAAGAAAGGTCGAGACAGGTGCCTAGGATGAAAAGTCTATACAGCACAGCTACGAGAGTTGTTGTCTGGTGGAGAAACGGCTGGGGAGACGTAGCCTCTGAGGGGTCTGAACTAGATATCAACATGCTCTTTCAAGCAGGAGAGAAGTTACACGACGCGGCTCCCTGGTCAACGTCTGCCTGCCGATTCTCTGATACAAGCCAGAGCACGAGAGTGGACATACTCACCAAGACATTTGACGCTCCTGAAAAACTTATCAGGACATTGGCTTTTGTTATTCGCTCTGGATGGGATTGGATGAGCAGGGTTTGGACTCTCCAGGAAGCTGTCTTGCCTCGAGAAGACCCCGCCCTGATCATGGGCGAGGAAGTTACTGGGCTCTGGATTCTCATGGAACTTCAAGAATGTTTTGCTGCAGCTTCCCGGCGGGGAATATTCTTAAGGCATTTGATTGCTGGTAACCAGGAAACATTGATCAACAGAATTTTGTATGATATGTACTTACTGTCTGAAAAAGTCTCGGACAGGCCGATAACAGCTCAGAATCATGCGCTGAGTTCTCGGGCCAAGATTTTCGGAGGACTTTCTTACCAGGCATCCGCTCTGAGAAGCAGAATGGCATCCTCAAAACGACACTCTCCCCCGCTTTCTGCAACCCTCACTCGTTTCGGAGAAGCACTTCTTGACTGTGTAGTATTCTTCTCCGACAGGCGGGCAACAACACCTCACGACCGCATATACGGACTCCTTGGGCTTGTGGAAATCCCACATCTCCCCACGTATCTTCGGCCAGATTACAAAAGACCCTTCGCTGAAGTATGTTTTGCATACGTCAAATTCTTAATCAAAGCCAGCGGTAGTTTGTACATCCTCGCTCTGGGTACCAATCGATTCGAAGGTTACCCCACGTGGGTATCAGACTTCAGCGAAAGTCTACAAGGCGAGAGTGGAGCGACACCTGTGACACCCGTGTTCTCGGAAGATGAGCGATGCATTTCTGTTCCAGGAGTAAAACTGGGCGAAGTAGTTGCAATCCATTGCGATCACGAAAGGTGTTTTGCGCCGAATGGAGATGATCCAAATGAAATATTGAGCATGTTTTTCGACCTAGCGAGGACCATAATGCTTCCAGCATCGAAAATCCGATCCTGTGATGTAGGAGAAATTTTGAAGGAATGGGCCGAAGTGAGCACAGTTTGCGTCGTATTTGGAGCTGATGCATCAGACATTTTAACATTGACAGAATATATCAGCCAAGAAGCCCCCTCGGAATGGCATCCTGAAGCTTTGGCATGTGTCCCTGCTCTACGAACCTACTTTCTCATCACCACGAATGTCTTGCTTGACAACGGCGTCATGTGCAACTGGACCAACGCTTATTCTATAGTCCGCATTCGCAAACCTACAAAGGTCGGCGATTTCGTGTACGCACTCAAAGGCACGACACGCCCTACGTTGTTACGTGCACGAAGTCAAGGCTATGGCTTTGAAGTGACGGGAACCTGCTACTTGTCGAAATCTTATAACGATCAGGTATTCACGGAAGAATTCTTTCAACAGGGAGAGCTGGAAACAGTGCATCTGTTTTGACGTTCCGATCTTTTCAATTAAGAAGATGCAAGAACACCAGCCGCGATCTTCTCGGTAGAGCGCACACAGTGCTTTGCGGATGACCAGGCGGCAGCAATGCAAATGAACTGGCAATATGGCATCCACCATGGTCAGTCCCGAAACACCAGACACCTTGGCTTCAGAGTGGACTGCTGCATGTGGGTCGGATAGTCTACCCATCTTGCAGGTACATGCCGCGTGCCATACGGTCCTGACTGATTTCTGGATCAGATCCAGAATCTGGACATTTATTTGTACCTCTGGCACAGGGAAGTGCCTGGGAAACCGTGACTGCCTGGGATATCGTGACGAAAGTCCAGTCGACAGCAAGATTTGTGTCAGCTGAATCTGAACTGTACCAGAGGATGTTAAACTCACGAATATGATTTTCCAAGAAGAAGGCTTGCTTAGCCTTATTTTTAGGACAGCGTCCTGGACTCATAGAAGGACTGTCCTTGAGGGTTGTGGTTAACTTATACTTGAAAATATAAATCAAGACCTGGGTGGGGGAAGATGGTCGCAGTTACGTATGTAAGTGGAAATAAAAGGCGAGAGCGAACAGTGTGGATTGTCCAGTGTATTTATACATCATGAAAGGAATCCATTTTCTCATACAGGTGAGTTGTAAACTCCCTCCCCTACCCGGACTTCTCGCCAATGCCCAATCCTCAATCCTCAATAAACAAACAAATCACTTACTAAACCACTCAACCCCTCAATCCTTCAAACTCCCCTCCCCCTCCCCCAACAACTTCTTCACCCACTCAATCCCATCATCCAGCCACCCCCTCCGACTCGGCCTAAACCCCTCCATCTCCAACCCCTCCCTATCAATCGTCCCATTCGCCACATCAAAGATCGGCCCCCAAGCCTCGCGAACCGATCCCACTTCGACAGGCTCCGAACAATAATACGTCAGATGCGTACCACACCTCCCACAGAACGTCCGATTCACATCTTCCGAACTGAGGAAATGCGTTAGGTAGGTCTTCTCTTGAAGTTCCTTGCTCGGCATGAGGTATTCTAGAATCGTTGGGGTGAAGCGGGTGTCAGGTGATGATGACGAGGAGGTAGAGCGAGGTTGAAGCGTAAATTGCACCCAGGCTTGGGGACAGATGAACCAGGACTCGATGATGGATCCAGCGATGCGACGGCAGGATAGTGATCTAGGGTAATCATAGGCAAACGTTCAGTCACTGCATTGGGTGGGTAGATTTCTCTCTTAGGATCGCTTGGGATTTTGGGTCGGGATTGAAGGGTGGGGACAGAGATTGTGTAGCGGATTGCGCTGCAGAAGCAGCCACCTTTGAGCTGGAATGGGGTTTCTGGGAGGCTGGGCATTTTCGAAACCTTTTATTTGAGTTGGATTGAGAAGATCTGAGGATTGTGATGTTGGGAATGTAAGGTTGATGATGGGGTTAGGAGGTGTGGGGTATTGTTCGCCCGGGATTATTTACAGTATGACGCAGAAGCAGGAGCAGAAGCGGGATTGAATTTCCTACCAGGAGAATATTTCAGACCGCTTCACTAACAACAATCTTCTTGTTTAGAAGTGTTCGTCACATACGCATCTACTACAATCAACAAAATCGGGTAAATAAGGCACGACACGAGCCCTGTTTCTTGCGTGTTGAGATGAAACCATGTAGCCCTTGGCATCTCCTGTCTTCAATGCCAGCAACAATGGCTCATCCCTCAGCAAGAACATTGCGGGGCAAAGGATTTAAGGACAAAGGGTGCCAGTACAAGTGTTTCGAAAATAATTGAATGAGAAACAAAATCCACTGCGATTTCATTCTGGAAGCCATTTGCCAAGCTCAATTGTATCGGTATCAGATGGTCGCTTTGTAGCTATGGGCAGCACAGTCTATCTCCCCGCGTCTGTTCTATAGAATAAGCGAGAGCCAACATCAACAATGGACACAATATCAGACTATTGCAGATAACAGAAAAAGAAAAGTGTCACGGTATCTTGCTTTCGCCCGAACCCCGAAGCTGGAAGCTGTATGGCCATTCCCATCAGGTCCAGGTCACGGCGATCAATCTCAACTGGGCAGAAGTGCGGTGCATCCCACATCCATCGCCACTCGCTTAATCCAGGCGGCTGCCTACCAGCCTACCCTACCTTACTTCCACCCAATCTCTATCAAACATCTCAAAATAATTAACAAATTCTTACTCACCTACCTTACCTACCTACAAATAAACTTCTCATTCTCTATTACTTGCCCACATAAAACAAGTCAACGAAACAACCCAACTATCCGTCCACATCCGTCATATCATGTCGCCCCCACCCGCACCCACACCCGCACCCACACCCGCACCCCAATCCTCACCCTCCATCTCCTCACCACTTCCCCTCCCTCCCCCCTCCAACAACAACAACACCACCACCAAACACCCAATCCCAATCCCAACCCCAATCCCCTACTCCGAACTCCACAAACTCCACCCCGAACTCCCACCCCAACCACACCAACCAACCCGCACAGCAGAATGCAACTCAATGACCTACACCCCCGGCTCTGGCTCGGGCTCCTCAGGGGTTCAAAGACAAATCTGGCTCCCCAAGGGAACAATGAGAACAGCATGTAAGCACCTCCAGGACGAGAACTGGGCTGCTTTGGAGAAATATCCCGATTATGGTATGTTAAGTTTAATTTTTGTCTTTCTTCTTTCTTCTTGGCCCTCTTCCCTCTTGCCTCTTTCTCAGAAACAAAGAAAACCTTCTTTTTTTTTTTTTTTTTTTTTTCGTCTTCTGGGGAATAGAACTTGCTTCCATGATGAAATGAAAGAAGTGGATACTATTTTTAATCATTTGTTGCTGATTCTGAGTCTCCTACGTGGTAGTCAATCAAGGGTACGCGGATGAAGGGGAGGCTGAGGAGGAAGAGCGGAATGCTTGGGCGTGGCTTGTAGATGAGACCCTAGAAACAAAGGCGGCGGCCTTGGGAGCTGCAGAAACGAAATAATAGAGACCGGAATTCGTTCTTTGAAATTACAGCATTCATCAAAAATGGAGGAACATGAAGCTTAAGTCTTCTATCCTACTTGTAGAACGAGAAAGGTTCACAGATCCTTCATGATGACATTTGCTGATCTCGAAGACTTGGCCAATTTTCACTTGATCTGTTCAGACATCGATTCAATGAACATTATTAATTACTTTTGAAGTCGACGACCGACTTGATGGAAACAAGTGTTAATGATACAGTCCGACCCTGACACGCAATAATAATCAACTGCACCCTATTGTACAGACTTACTGTTTACAAGAAGAAGGCAATAGCGCCACCGATAATGGCAATGACACTCATACCGAGCGCGGCTGCACCAGCTGTTGAGACAGTAGTGGGTACGAATCCACCGTTTCCGCCAGATCCTCCAGAGCCAGAACCACCAGCACCACCTTGGCCACCCTGGCCTCCAGCACCACCCGCTCCACCCGCTCCACCAGCTCCTCCGGCTCCGCCTTGACCGCCAGAACCACCGTTTCCAGAAGGATAATCACCATCGCACTTGGGACCAGTGCAGTCGGTATAGCCACATGGGCAGACAGCTCCTCTGCAACCACACTTGCAGCGATATGGATTGCAGTAGCGAGGACCTCCTGGATAGGTCCCGTTAGGGTAGGTGCTGTTAGGATAAGTCATGTTCTTGCTTGGTATTGTGGGGACAACACCAGGAATGGCTACAGCAGGATGAGTAATGTTCTGAACACCGACACATGACGAGTTGGCGGCAATTGGACAGTCTGAAGCAGAGCAGATACTCTGTAGTTGGGCACCTTGAGATGGAATCACAGTCATTGGTGGCGAACATCTGTAACCGAAGAAACTCATGAGTGCTTGACCGACGGGAGCAATGTCCTCAGGGGTGACACCGAAAGACAAAGCTGAAGCAGCAACTTGTTCGATGAAGTAAGTTACCTCAGGTGGGCTAAGGACCATAAACCTGCCAGTGTTAGGATGTGCAGTGTTGTTGGAGGAGGGAACGAACTTGTGGACGTTGTACATAGACGAATGAGCAGAGTACTCTGGGAAGTCCGAACCACCTTGCATAGAGCAACCGAGGGCAGTGCCGAAGTATTGGTAGAGATGGGTCAAGAGGAGACTGTGATGTTAGCAGATGTCATCTGATGGAATGAGGTTGTGTACAATTGTCTGGAGGTATTGCCGTTGGCAGGTCTGCCAGCCTTGAGAGCAGAAGCACCTCCATCGTCGAAGAAGTTGACAGCGACACCCGAAGATCCACCTTGGTTGGTAGATGCAAGGACACCGTTGAAGTATGGTAGGAGGTCGACTGCAACGTCGCCGACTTGGGCTGGAGCAAGAATACCAGGAACAACAGCACCATTGGCAGTCTCTGAGTCTACCAGATGTTAGCAGAGGTCGATAATTGGCAGACAGGATTGCATACAGTTACCAATCACAGCAGTGTTGACCACGGCAGTGAGAAGCTTGTATTGGTTGGCTGCGGTGTTGTCTGTGAAGAGAGCAACGGTGTACTTGTCGCAGAAGGAAGGGGTTTGGGCAGCAACGATACTGGCTGCAGCCATGAGCGCGAGGATCTTGAGATGCATTGTGATTGATTACGATACTGTAATATCGAGAAGAAGTGTTTTGATGTGATTCCAAAAGCAGATGGAGCAAAGTTGTGATGATGGAAATGTGGATGATCGATGGTAAAGAAGAAAGGAGGAGGAGAAGAGAGAAAAGGAAGAGACCGTCTTAAATTGGCACTGCATGGGCAGGTATCAAAGAGGAAAGAACGGCATGAGTGGTGAGAATGGGAGGAGAGAATTGTTTCTAGTAAAACAGGCAGGGACGACCACACCAAAGCGACCATTTTGTGATCTAACGACAAGCAGGTATCTAGTGGGGATTTCTGTTGAGCAGTCTTAACTCCCCACAGGAAAATAGATCTGGAGACTGGAAGTTGGTACCAGATCCATCGTGAGAATTACCTAGTACTTACAACCCAGTATGTTGAGGATGTTTACCGGAGCACTCGTTCCCGAAGGCGAAGCGAGGTTGAACGACATGAAGGGGCAATCAGCGGATGGGTCTGGGCCCTCGAAGAAGAGCTTGTCCTTCTTTTGGTCGGCGATTGAATGGAGGCAGCTTGAAATGCAAGATTCAACAAAGTGCGAACCAATTATGAAGCCTCTTGGTGCACTCCAATCGACGTTCGAGGGAGGCACTTCCGCATCAAGGCATGAGTCGATGGAAGTTGGTACGTCCACTCATTCTAGCTAGAAGATAGATATTAGTACATGGGCTCGAATTCCGGAACAGGTAGAAGCATTTCCATACGTCTGATGTCTTGCTGGGGCACTTGCTTTGGAGGTTCTAATATGTGGAACGTATCTTGGTGGTGATCGTAATCTGCTTGTCTCGCTCGTGACATCAGAACTGGGAACACGAGTTGACAACAGCTTGAACTCGACATCCCAAGAAGCGTTCTTCTGACTCATGGATAAGTTCCACAGCCGTCTGTCCTCTGTAGAGATATGGCTCTATGGCTGCAGCGACATTTTCTCGGTCTTCCAACAGCCCGGCTTGCTGCAGGTATTGACACGGACTACAGATACTTCTTAAAGAACTGGTCTTGGGAGAATTCAACCCGAGCAAACAGGATGCGTTTGATCAAAACAGTTCAAAAGAAGATGATGTAGGATCCAAGAGGGACAGTTTGGAAGCATGTGATGGAACTTGGTCTGCAAAATCGGCGTAAAAATGTGAAGTAACTTGCCCGTGGCCATAGAGATACTCCAGGCCGAGGGGTCCTGACAAGCGAGCATGGCACAAATCATTCAGCACACCTTAACTCTTGAGCTCAGCCGGATCTCTGACAGTGAAATAAGAAATAATTCAGAGCGAAGTGACATGATGATGTCTAATGAATTTCAGAATCGATTTATACCCAGGTAGGTAATTGTCGCGCCAAAATGCCTCGCGTCGCGCGTCCATTGGCCCAGTGCCCCTCCCGCCAGGAACAGGAACTGTGATCAGACCTTTAAAGATCTGATCGCGCATGCTCTAAATTCTTCCTATGTTTTACACGTATGTAATTACTAGGATTGTGTATCTACCTCGGGACATTTTAAAGTTTTCCTATCTTTTCTTTATCGAAAGTCAATATTTTCTTTCTTTTCAATCTTGTTTCTCCACACTTCCCCTTCCATGCAGGCCTGGCGCAGGTCCTATCAGCGCTGCACAATTCTGCTGCATAAAATGATCGCCAAGCAAGCGAACCGACATCCACATCCACATCCAGCTGCAACCAGCGCTGCAATGCACGATGCGCGTCTCCCGAACCCTCTTTCAACTCTGAACCTCTGCACTCCCTGTACATATCAATTCAACTATTACCAATTCTCATACACCCCCTCTCTCGGAGCACTCCACACTCGTTACGACCCTATGAAGCCAGCGATGCTTCACAATCGCACCTAGAATTTCCTCCTTCTCTGTTCTGCTGCTCGCAGACTTCCACCGCAACCTCTCGATCCGTCTCCAAACCACCTCACCGTTCCTCCATACGACTCGTCACAATGTATCCAGCCAGCCTGCAGTCCCGGCGCACATGAGATACGAGACCATCTCAAACCCCTCGCACAAGCAATCACCATTGTCCTACAAACATGTTGTATTCCCCGTTCTCCCAAACACCTCTCCGGACACATTGAGCAGAGCCAGCAAGCAATGCGCCGTCTCCCCAAAACCAGCAAAATCGACAATACTAACCAGCAGCAAACTCTCCAAACATGGACGGATCACCCCCTCCCCTCCTCTCCCCCAGCATCCCACGATTTGCGCCTCTCCGAACACACACCCGCACACCCTCTCGATCCCCAACTCGTCCCCGACTCGCAGACGATATCCTCTCTGATCTCTCCCCTGTCACAACCCTCGAAGCATTCACCAATCCATCAGGAAAGTTAAAAGCCAGTATCGAAGCCGCCACACCCAGCGAACGAGCTTTCGGTCTCCGAGCAACCCTCGCATCGAAAAAGATACAGGAATGGGTGGACGAGCTATCAGGATGGCCATGGCCTGCAGGAGGAGGCTCTCTCGGCTTCGAAATCCCATATGCGAAGCGCCGGAAGCTGTCTGTACAAGGAGATGATCGCGGTAGGCGCAACAGCAATGGCTATGCCCAAGAACAAAAATATATCGGCAGTCTCCTGGAAACAGAAGTCGAGCGCTACGAAATTCGCATCGATGATATCACTGCTGATATGGAGGATTTGAATGTCGAGGAGATCAAACGCCAGGTTCTCGATACGCATTTCTCGCCCAGATCTCGCCCATCTTCCTCTTCGTCGAATGCGCCGCCTATGCCCAGTCTCTTCGCCTCATTTACACGCATGGATGATTTCACAGCAGTAGTCACAGCTACAGTTCTACAGTCTCTACCAAATCTCAGCAGACTCACCCGTTTGATGGACGTCTGGAATATACGCTTGAGCGTACTACGCAAAGTCCCTCCATTAATGCTAGCACTAGACGACGCTGAGGTAGCACTGAAAAGTGGCTGGACAGCAATCAACAAACCAGACACCTCACAAGCCACCTCTCCACAACCCGAAGATCTTTACCTCACCCGCAAAGCCTTCGAAATCATGCGCGGAGTCCTACAAGACAAAGTCACAACCTTGGGCCAAGATCTAGATTACATGCTCGACACATTAGAAGGACGAGAAGACACGCTACCTGATTCCTGGCTGGATCGCATGGAGACGCTGGAGAATGATTATGGGTCTTGGGTTGTTTCTGGAGATAGGAAGGTCAGGGAAGGGGAATGGGCTAGGATGGCTAAGGCGAGGAAGGTGGAGGATGATGCAAGGAAGTTGAAAGGGGCAGAGGCAGCTGAGACTGCTAGAAGGAAAGAGGAGGAGGAATCGAGATTGAAAGCTCACCTGGATGCCGAAAAAGCGGAAGCTGCTAGGTTCAAAGCAGAACAGGAAGCGCAAGAAGCTGCCAGGTTACAAGCTTTGAGAGACATTCAGGAAGTTGAAGAGGCGGACGTTGCAAGGCGGAAAGCAGAAGACGACGTGAAAGAAGCTGCAAGATTGGAGGTTTTGAGAAAGGCTCAGGAAGTTGAAGCTACTCGATTGTTGGCTGAACAGGTTGAGATGGCAAGACGACAGGCAGAAGAGAAAGCTCAAGTTCTTGCTTGCCAGAAGGCTTTGCAGAAAGCTGACGAGGCAGAGAATACAAGACCGATGTCTGAACAGGAAGCTGATACAGATAGACTTCAAGAGGAGGAGCAAGCTCGAGAGATGGTGAATCAGGGTGCGATTGATGATGCTGCAAAGGTCGAAGCTGCGAGATTGGCCGATGAACAAGCTCGAGCCGAAGCTCGAGATACAGCACAGCAAGCATTGAAAGATGCTGAATTAGCCGAATCTGGAAGGTTCAACGCTGTGGTGGGGGCTCAAGAGACTGTTGAACAGCAAGCTCTGGAAGAAGAGCAGCGCCTCAAGGCTACTAGATTGCTTGCACAACAGGCTGCGGAAGAGGAGCGACAGGCTGCTGCTTTTATCTTCATTGAAGACCCGAAAATTACCGAGGAAATTACTGATCGAACAGCTCAGTTGGTTGCTGACAAGACTGAATCAAAACGGCAGTTACATCAGGCTGAGCTTGCTGTACAAAAGTCTGGAAATTCTGAATCTATGCAGACACAGGTCCAGTTGGATACTGAAGCAGCTGCAATACAACCCAGGCAAGATGTAGGCGACGTTGATACCAGTCGTCAGTCGGCGCACACCATCGTGCCAGCAGTAACAGAGCCAGAACAGGACATCGATATTGCCGAACATACAAAGTCGACGTTCATCCCATTGCATATTGGAGAAGATGAATCGGACAATCAAAGAATCACAGATTGCGATATATGCGAAGAGATTCGACAGAGCAAACCTAATTCACCATCACGGCCTGGCACGGGCTCAAGAACCAGCTCACGTGCGGTTGGAACTCAAAGTTTCAGAGATACCTCCATCACCAGTGAAGTCGATCGTGCCGTCAACCCCCAAATCACCAGATATGCTCCTTTTGATGGAGGATCCGACTCTACTGACCCAGCTATTAGAAGGACTGAGGTTGAGGTCAAAGATTGCTCTACTCACGACTTGGATCTAGCATCGCCCATTCATTTTGATGATTCCTTTCCTCAGACTCCGACCTCATCAACGGTATCCGGTGCAGCTAGGGTGTTCACATCGCCAACATCAGAAGAGTCAAGCCCTCCTCGCCCAAAAGTCTGGTCATTAAGTGGGCTCGCTAGCATTGTACGAGTGTCGTCTCCACGAGAGCTCTCTTTAGCAGCCGAAGCGGATCAAGCCATGCAAACACCCAAATCTCCTTCGTCTACCCCTCAGACACCGAACAGAGCTGAGTTTGCTTTTGATGGTGCCAACGATGACAATGACTCTGGAACAGCCCAGAAGACAGCCGACGAAGATTGGATTGTGGTTGAGTCTCCTGGCGGCAACCCCAAGCTGCCTAACGATACCCAAGAACATTCAGATCCAGAAAGTTTAAATTCAAACTCCAGATCCTCCGTTGTCTTTGGTTATTCTACATCTGAACCTACTCCGGAAATCTTCGAAGCTCAACCTGCCGAGTATTTCACGTCGCCAATGAGAAGCCCTCGACCTGTTGCTGGACAAGTCAATCCTAACTCTCCTACCGCGGCATTACCTGCCACACCAAAGCTTTCGGTTAAAATAGACTCCCAGGAAACAACTCCAACAAAGTCTCCTCCTGTTGCATCGAAACGACATTCTCTAGAGTCAACCAACTCCATCCTCTCACCTGTTGCCGAAGAATACCTCTCACGGTCGACTGAATTGGATGTAGATGGTCCTTGCGATGCCTGTGAAGTGGCCGTTCGTGACTTGGAGGCAAACGAGAGGATATCCGAAGACACTGACCTTCCAATCCTTGCTCGGAAGACCTCTCGCGATAGCCCGATCAGAGAGATTTCGATACCTCGTCGAGAAAGCATATCTTCTAATGCATCGACCATTCATGGTCGAGTTGGCGAGTCTCCTTCATCAGTGGCCTCACCTGTATCAGAGGATGCTATGGAGTCCTCATTTGAGCAATCTCCATCAGCCGGGCGGATTGGACATCGAAGTGTCAAGTCATATGATATTAGTCCTCCCAATTCACCTCCTCCTGGAATCGCCAGACGACCATCTTTGTTCCCAGCAACTCCGGGCTTATCACCTTCCACGGAACCCACTACACCACTCCCAGATAGCATGCCTCCGACTCCCCTGGATGCCCCTCTCTTTGGCAATATCGATGTATCAACAGGACCTATAATCACCAGTCCCAAGAAATCTACCGATGACCAAATGCAGCAACAAATCTCCTCCCTCCTGGAATCAATACCCGCACGCATTCGTCTAACAACCGAGCCCGACGAAACCCCCTTCACATCCCAAACCCTCCGACCCAAGAAAACTCGTCGATCAATCACCCCGTCCTTCCGCTCCTCCTCAAGCATGTCCAACTACAGCACCACTTCCCGTGCTCCAACCCCATCATTCACTCTCGCCCCTGCCTTCGGCAAGACATCTTCCCGTCCCCGCCCTCAAAGCAGCAACCCCGAAATCAAGCTCTACCACCTCTCCCGCTCCACAGGTGAAGCACCTATCAAACTCTTCGTCCGTCTAGTCGGTGAACACGGCGAAAGAGTCATGGTTCGTGTTGGAGGCGGCTGGGCAGATCTAGGCGAGTACCTAAAGGAATACGCAAGTCATCACGGCCGTCGCTCTGCCGTCGACGCAGGCGATAAAGTACAGATCCAAGACTTGCCTTCCAGAAACGTATCCTCCTCATCCACTGCCACTCTGCGCGGTAACGGCAATGGCCGATCAACTCCCGATCCCCCCCCACAAAGCGTGATGGAACGCGAACGTGACCGCGACCGCCCAGGAAGCAGTCTCTTCGTCCGCAAAACCCGCCGCTCAGTAGGCGAATCCTCATCCTCATCCTCTTCGGCTTCAAATCAGATCTTCGACTCCTCCCGCGCACCATCTACTCCTCTCCCATCTACTTCCTCACTGTATCGCAACTCTACCGCTACACCTCCATCTACTACCTCGTCTTCCACTTCCACTTCAGGCGGTCCATCCTCTCAATCGCAACAGGAGAGAGATAGAACTGCTCGGTCATCCTCTCGCCTCTCGTGGACTTCTGACGACGGAAACTGCTCTGGTATCGGAAATGTCAAAACCCCCGTTGCTCTCGGCCTCGCTGGTCCGAAATCCAAAAATGTCATGATTAGTGAGAGGGATCAGGAGTGGGTGGAGAGTATGAAGGAGAAGGTTAGGTTGGCTAGTGCGGAGAAGGAGAGGAGAGATAGGGATTCGGGTGTAGGGATGGGGATGGGTGGTGGGGTGAAGGGGAGTGGCAGGGAGAGTAGAGCTAGTTTTGGGGAGATGGAGAAGGTTGGGGGGACGAAGAGATTGTTTAGGAAGGGGTTGTGAGGGCGTTGGTTATTTTCTTGGGAATTGGGAATTTAGTTCATTCTTGTCTTCTCCTCCGTTCCTTGAGAGATCTGTCTTGGAAGATTTGGAGTTTGATACCTTGGTGGTGCTGCATAGCGCATAGCATTGGAGTTTTTTATTTCCTTCAGCCGTTCTTTCGTTTGTTTGTTTGTTACAAAGGTTCGATTCAGTTCGTTTCGGTTCACTTCTGGACATGGCATAGCATGACAAAGGCAAAGGCATAGGGTTTAGCACTTGGTTCAGGATAGGATTAGGAATAGGAATTGGCATTCGGATACCCATATGAGGAAGAGAAAGACAGAGTCTGGTGGGAGAGACAGAGAGAGGGGAAGAAGAAGAGATGGAGGAGAGAGAGAGAGAGAGAGAGAGAGAGAGAGAGAGAGAGAGAGAGAGAGAGAGAGAGAGAGAGAGAGGATGAGATAGAGAAAGGTCGAGAAAGACAATGACGAGATAGAGAGATAGCAATACAATACCCCTTCTTTTTTCTATCTAGCTATATCCTTCTCTATTCCCCCTCCCCTTCATACTACCCCACCTCCTTCAACTTCCACTTCCACTTTTACTTCCACTACCAACCCAACCCCTCATCCCCTTCAACCCTCTCCCCCTCTCTCAAACCCACATCAATACACCCATATCATATTACATTATATCTATCTCCCTCTCTCTCCACATCAAAATACTCACTACACTGCACTACGCACACTACAAATTACAAATTCGGTGTTTCCCAACCTGAAGTATGAAAAGAAAGAAGAGCAAAGAAGCGATTACTTATATCCCGCCCGCGGCTCGACAAGAAAGCAGCATGCACAAGAGCAGGACTGAGTGATCGACAAGGTTACGTTTATATTTGAATTCGATGATTTACGTGATTGAGTTATTGACTGACTACATGAACAAGCAAGTCAATGCATGGCTGCACATCGATGTCCATATCCCTATTCCTTCCCTCTTTCTTTCTCTACCCAAACCTCCCCTCACCCCACTTTTCTCTTCTCCTGCACCCTAACCTGCACTCTGACAGAAAAGCAAGACCCATCTCACTCACTCTCACTTGGTATAGATACTGCAGATTTCCCATCTCACTCACTTACTTGGCTTTGCTTAGAGATGATACAGAAGTTTGTTGACGAGTGTAGATAACTTTAAAACTGTCTGGACTGCTGTGTTGTTTTTGCGGTCCCGATTCTTGATTCCTGCGGAGATGGAGGGAGAGGGGGAGATGGATGTTAAGGATTAGGCAGGAGAGGGAGGGAGGGGTATAGGCTTGGATGGATTAGGAGGAGGGTGCGTGGATGGATAGAGGGTAAGTAACGGACTATGGGCCTGGAGCTTTGGCCTTGGCTTTGTTAGTCGGCAGGTAGTTACCTTCACCAGCTTCGGTAGACCCTCATAGACGTAGAATAGAGCAACAACTTTCACATGAGCCTGTTATCCACCGGTAAAGTGGGACTCGAGATCCAAAGATTGGCCTGTTGAGTTGGGTTGTGTTGGGTTGAGTGTGTGGTTTGGTTTGGAAGAGGAAGAGGAAGAGGATGGGACTCTGCGCTCACTCAGGATTGGGTAATTTTTCAAAGGGATATTGAATAGATAGTCAGTTGACTTGAGGTAAATGACAGCGGATTACGAGGTGATAACAACAACGAGGAGAATTAATTAAAACGACGGCGAAAATGAAAACGAAAATCGCGATTTGCTCCTCCTTGAGGTCCTTGAGGAATGAATTATATTCCTGGTGTTAGTAAAGAGATGGAGAACTGCATCATCCTCTCATGTACTAAGTTAGTGGGAAGTGAGAATCACGTTTAGACCGGGGCGGATATCAACCTCTCCCCAGTACTGTCCCTGTGTTCATGTCTCATATTCTTCCTATAAATCAATGTCTTTGGTACTTATTTAGATTTATTGGGCCAGAGGGCTTTATACCCTTCCTTGCTCTACCCAATCTGGATGAGCTGGGAGGAAAGAGACTGGCAATCTAACTTGAGGAAGATTCGTTGGGAAATCATTTTAATTCAAATAAATTCAGATTCAAATTGAAGTTCATATTCATACATACGGCTAGAATGCCGTGCCTAGAACGAACATACTGAGTTCTGCAACCCCAGCAGAGGAATGAGGAAGTGAATATCCTGCAAACACATTAACTCAAAACTCCACGTGTGGGGGAGAGCAAGCAACAAGAAGGGATATATAAATAACCCCTATTGGTGCATGTTCTATCTCCCTCAGACGCAACAGAACATGTCGGCTTACCACCTAGGAGTTGTCTGTGTCCTGGGGGAAATGCAAGGTGTTTGTGCACAGCTAACCGGAGAAATATATCATAGAAAACAGCATCACTTCGTTCTGACCTATTTAAAGGAGCGATAGTATTTAGACAGATTCCTATGACTACAAACTAGAAAACAGACTTTGATATAGGAGAATAAATGAGAACACATGACAGCACATGATATTTTGACAACAATGCGCTCTCTCCACAACAACAATCACCACTCTATCCTCCTAGTAGCCAAAACAAATCACTGGGAGGGATTGCAACGTCTTATCATTATCTCAAACTATGCCGGTAAGTCAGGTTTTAAATTCCTTAGGTCTTAAACTGTATATCAAAATCCATGGACACCAACGAAGCCACCACGCCTCTTGAGCTGTCAATTTGATGGTCTTCTTCGTCTTTAGAGTACAGATGGTGTTTTAATAGCTTTATATACTAGAAAACTTATATACACACATGCGGACATCCTCTTTTGAAGAATAGTAAAATAATGCGTTTCTAACCTCTCAACTGAGGACCATACCCATCCAACAATATCTATCTGACTTAACACATTCATTTCACCTAAAACAACTAATCAATCCACCCCTCCACAAATAAAGATCGGTCTATTGATAGGTAGGGTACTAAGAGATGCGAGCTCGCTGAGTCACTGCTTCTTGGTATCTACCACTCAGGGGCCAAGGTGCTAAGGTAAGGTGAGTAGAGTAGGGGTGTGAGGGGTGTGAGTAGGTTGAGGGGAGTAGGTAGCCTGGGCAGAGCAGAGCAGCGTGATTAAAGCAGCGTGAGTAGAGCATCCGTAGTAAAGTAGAGCAGCCTGAGCAGAGCAGTGCGAGTAACTTAATTGAACTGGAGTTTACCCCTGAGTAAATGGAGTTTCTCCCTAAGTAGGCAGCCTATAAGTAGCCTATAAGTATCACTCGCGCACTACATACTCAACTCACTACATACTCAACTCACTACATACTTAACTCACTACACACTCAACTCCCTCCTTACTCACGCACATAAACTCTAACCAGACTATCTACCTATACCTAGACTAAGGTAAGGCACTCACTCACTCACTCACTCAAGCATTTCATTTCCATTTTCATTTCCATTTTCATTTCCATTCCACTTTCCCCTCTTAACTCTCGAACAAGTCCAAATTTTTAGCTTTACCTGAAGCGATAGCCATGATCCCTTGACCGTCCCTTGTTTCGAGCTGCCCACCCGTAAACAAACAGGCTGCTGCAAGTCAATACACGTGGGTTAGCGCCGTAATCAGGCTTTGTGTATAAAAGAATAACCTTATAAGCAGCTCAAAAGAGCCAGCCAAAAGAGGCACACGTTCTTGTCTCTTTTCTCTTTGGAGATTAGGGTTCTCTTTATCTCAGTCTCAGTATCACTGGTGAACCTGCAGCTATTCTTTAGTGATTGTTTTTTGGTGCTTTGAAGTTGGTTTAGTGTGCTAGGTAGTGATCAATACACGGGCTCCTAACGGATCTATCCCGAACTGTACTGTCCTGTACTGGACCCCTCGTGATAAAAATGAAAATGGAAAACAGATCACATCACTGATCCCTTCAACATAGGTATCTAATCCCTCTCCCACCCCCTCCCAAATCAGCGCAGCAAATCACAACGGATCCAACTCCCCCTCCGCCCTCCCCGCCCATCCCACAATCGTCCCCCCCTCCTCAGTAGTAAAAACCCCCTCCCCCACAAACTCCCCCACAACCCTCTCCACCACCCCCACAAACTCCCCATGCGTCCCAAACGGCGCCCGATCCCACACCACATCCAGAAACGTCAGCCCATCAGTACCCGGCGACGCGATCCCCGAGACAGGTACGTCGTAATTGGGAAGTCCATCGTTGCGCTTCCGGTTCGGGATGCCTGTGTTTATGGAGCCGAAGATTATGTCTGGCTCGAAGCGTTGGAAGTAGGATGATACGGATTGGGTGTCGCTGATGTAGTAGGGCCGTACGGTGACTGTAACAGGAACAGTCGAGTTGCTGCTGCTGGTGCTGTTGTTGTTGCTGCTGCTGTTGATAGAGGAGGAGGTAGTAGAGAAGAGTAGATCGCCAGCTGATGTTGTGCCTGTCTTTTTAATAGCAGCCCTTGCATAGTCTCCATCCCGCTTTAGGTGCTTATACAGCGACAGCTGCCAGTAACTACCGCTATCACCGGTCGGCGTACCGAGTGTCTGCAGGAGCACGGGGCCCCAGAATATTGCCTGGATGTCTGGACGGTCTAGAGCGCGCTCGATTCGGATACTGAAGGGCATGCGTACTTGGATCACGTCGCCTGTGGTCCAGGACCGGCTTAGGGTAAGATACGAGCTGGGTTGGATGTCTTTGGTGGATTGAGGCTCCCCGTTGACGGTGACTTGAAAGCCGTGACCGGTACGAACCCAGCCGGGAACTCGGAGTTTGATATCCAGCGGGCCGCTCTGTCCGGTGATAGTGAAATTGGCTGTGTCCCCGCGTGGGAAGGCCGTCTCCTGCTTCATCGAGAAGCATTTCTCGGTCCAGGTTAGTGTAGACGGAACGTACAAATTAACCCACAGTGCAGACCCATCCGCTGAGCGCAGGTACACAGTCTCCTGGTACTTGGTGTGGCTCTCCATGCCGGTGCCACCGCAGCAGGTCCCGGTATTACCATAATCGCGGCTCGAGCCTGGGGTCAGCGGCTGGAAGTAAGTGAGCTGTGGGTCGTCAGTACTGTCTGTATCGGCGCGCGACCCCGTGATCATATTAAACAGGCCGCGCTCGTAGTGATCCATGTACGTAGCATTATGCTCATGCAGGAACAGGTTCCGCGCCAGCTTGATCGTGTTATATGTCGTGCACGTCTCGGCACCGTTCTGGGCGATGGCATTCGCGATATTGTCCCGATTCTGGAATAATTCGGGGTTGTTGTTGGATCCTGGATAGTTGCCGCTCATGCCACCACTGGCAAACTCGCGGTGCGGCACGAGCCAGCCGAAGAAGTTCTTCGCCGCTGTAAAGTATTCCTGCGTACCACTCTGCTCATACACCCTCAGGTACCCAAGGAACTGAGGTACATGCGTGTTGGCGTGGAGTCGCTCACGTCGACGCCGGCCCGGCTTGTTCTGCGGTGTCACGACCAGAATGTCCCGGTCTTCCACAGCCGCACCGAACAGGGACTCGCGATTATCAAAAGCCATGGCGGTTTGCAAGTGTCGATCATCACCAGTCAAGGCGTAGACCTCCGAGTACACCTCGTTGGCGGCGCCAAACTCACCAGCGATGTACGTGTCCCACATGTAGTTCAGGTCGTCCCGCGTTATATTTCCCTGGTAGCCGTGCTGGTTCTTGTCACCCACGGTCAGTGCGAGATGTGCCCATTCGGCCATTTTGACTGCCACTTGCAGGGCCTGTGAGTTGTTGGTATTGTAATACGCATCCAGAAGCCCCCGTATGATCTTGTGCTGCGTGTACCATGCCGCCCACGTATTAGTGCTGGCATTGGTTCCATAGATTGCAAAACGTGGAGGACCTAGACGAAGCACTGTGTCTTCTGGCAGCGCACCCAGATATCCTGGATGCGTGGGCTTCTTTTGCGCCGTATACACTTCCTGACATTCAGCCAGTTCACCCACCATCCAATCGAGTTTTCTTTTGAAAGCCGTTTCGCCCTGTTCGGCATACGCTTGGGAAAGGGCCGTCATGAAATGGCCTGTCCAGTGTCCGCTGAGCAGTCCGCCATCCTCCCACCCGCCGGGAGGTGAAACATCGCTGGGGTTGGGTCGCCCAGCCTGGTTATTGAAAAGAACGAGGAATTGTCGCTCGTCGTACGCCTGGAGAAACGCCTTGATACGGTCGCGTTTCTCTTGTAGTAATCCTCCGCCGAGCCGCACTTGGTCGAGGCGGAATGGCCGCACTGGCGCGGTTGCTCCCGGACCTAGATCCGCCCCCACCTTCGCTAACATGGGGTTGTTGACCGGCGTCGTATGACTAGAGCCATTGCCGACGAGCACAGCGACTACCAAAGCCTGAAGAAACCGGCATAGATTGAACATGTTTTTGTTAAATTAGGTCATAGAAGGACATGAGTCGAAGTAATTCTGTGAGAAGTCAACGGAGACTTTGGCATTTAGTAGTCTCTATTCGAGTACCGCATTTGAGAGCCGTGAGGGGTCTAATACTTAAATGTACGCTAGTGTAAAGTCTTTCCTGAGCGATTGGTGCGGATAATATCTTTCTGGGGAGATCTCCTGTATAGGAAGCTCAATAACACGATATGGCCATGTAACGTATCGTATAGAGAGGAATGGCCGGATGCATGCCATATTATTTACAGCTCAATAATGGGGGGTTCTTGACATCATACAGTGTACCCCCGGTCCCAGCCTAATCAGCGTCAGTTCACAACTAGGTTGAGCAAGCTGCTTTTACACTACCTATATCAAGGCGAGTTCCCTTCAGATTACTCTGCTAACATACCAAAATCGCGTCACGTTATCCTTTGTAACTCTTTAAAACAGCCCTAAATCCTTCTTTCTCAAGTCAAATCAACGGACAGAGCCTCCCACTAAATAACATTAGGACCAGGGGTTACACCGTCCAGTACTTCCTAAGTACTCCAATCCAGACTCCCATCCTCAAATTACCCTCTCACCCATCGATCAACAATACCTTCCATTCCATAGTGTCATATTCTCGTCCCCATTCAAAGCGGCAGCTCCTGATATCTAAACTTTCCAACGGAACCAGCGAAAAACAAAAACGGCTGTGTCTGAAGTTCCGAACTTTTCGAACTTCTGGTATTCGGAAACCGATTTCATGGCGAGGTCTCTTTTCCAGCCAGTCTGTGGAGCTTAAAACTCAATGGTTGAAATCAGCTGGCGAGACTAACCAAGTAGTTGACAGCAGCGTGCAAATTGACAGCGAGTTCAACTTTAGCAATTGTGTCGGCTCAATAAGTGACAGATTTTCCAAGGGTATAAAGAATGGAGTCTTCATAGATGATTCTTCCTATCGTAGCACTGGAATCCTAATCCCGAATGAGGTGAAGAGAAAAAATAGTCATCTCCTGTTCCACGCCGTCACCACCTTATCGTAAATCCAGGATTATTTGGCGGGCGCATACAGTATGAGACCTGATAAACTACGAGAGGTTTTATACTTAAATTTTTGGGAAGCTAGGTGCTGTCTCGGATATTTGTTATGAGGGAGTTTCGGGAACGAATCCTAGGGCTTCGAGAAGTGGTTTGGTGAATGGGAGGCTCTGATTCACTTCTACTTTTCTGCTGATTATCTTAATTTGGTTTGACAGGTCCTATATATATCTCCAGGTACTACTTTTGGCTAATCATAGAGTGTAAGGCAATCATTTGGCCAGCGTTATCGTGGTTGGGGAACGAGCTTTACACTAAGTATCTATTCGGTAGTCTGCTGGGTGTATTCGTCAGGGGCATGATCATGGCTGTGCTGGGTGAATGAATGGATTCAAGATTTCGTTCAAACATGAGACTTAGATATCTTTGACAGTCAAGTATTTGTTGACAATAATCATCTCTTTGGAATATTTGCATACGCAAGCAACGAACTATAAAGTGAGATGGAAAGGCTATGGAAGCTTAACATCACATAAAGAAAGGGTTGTGATCATCGTTACATCAGTGTTCTTTGAAGCTCCCAACACGTCATTTCTCACCGCTTTCCACCCATTAACGAACTTATCCATCAGTCCACTTAGTTACATGCAGCGTTCAAGAGATTCTATGTTTATATACACTTCCTAGACGACTAGTGAGAGATTACCAGTATACAGAATCATCAAACTGGTCGTTGTCTATGGTGGCTCTTTTGATGCCGGGGGCAAAACGAGGTGAGGAGAAGTCTCACAGTCAATTCACTTCAACCATTCACACTGAACGGCACGAAGAGACCAAAGCTGCACTAAGTTAGGGTATATAATCCCTCAATCCATCATGCCGTGGAACAACATCGCTGGAAGCAAAGCCAATGGAACACCCTTACATCTGTAGCCAGACGATATATTTACTGTGTTCCAAAAGTTCCGGGTTCTTGGCCAAACTTGTTTATAGACACTGGAAGTTCCCTAAATTTGCAGAAATAGTGATTGTATCACTTATTAAAACGCAGGTGATCCCGTGTATCGAAGGTCTCGAAGAGAGATGAATGGCAACAAAAGCCATTTTGACAACAGTCGAGCATGCCAGCGATCAATCGATATCGAGACACATTTGCTCAGATTTCCGAGTTTGAGTTATGGCAGATGTTTTCTACTTCTCATTCTGATCAGTCTGAATTGAGCTTTATCAATCACGGTGACGATGTATTTGCGGAGAAAAACAATGCATTCAGTATCTGGTCTCGAGAATCTAAATTATGCACAGATTGATTAGGTAACATAAATTTGCCTACCAAAACAGTTAAGTTACAGCTGTAGTCTAAGCTCTAGCTTGAGGAGTCTGGCTCAAGATTCTGCTGCTGGTTCTGTTTGTTTACATAGCATAGGGTAGTCGTACCGAGGAAAGGGTGGGCTTCGCTAAGCTTTAGCGCCGATCTGTCCTCACGAATCCATTATCAGGCACCAGCAATGTAATAACTGCAATGCGTCTACACTTTTACATATAATCCCCAGTAACCCAAAAATCTCTTTGATGATTTAAAGCTTGTAATATTAATTATGAAGCCCGCCACTATCCTGACATTCATCGCCGCCGTGGTGGCGATTCCAGGTCTCTCATCCGTGCAAATCTGGCTAGCCAGTTTTCAACAGCCCATCTCCAACTTAATCGACAATCCCCGCCGAAAATCAACAATCCCTCAATTCATTCTCGACACAAACCATCCATGGATCCTCACCAATCAACGTAAACTTGAGAGCCTTCCCAACGCCAAAGACTTCCTATGCCTAAACCCGACCCAAACCCCCAAAAACGAGCCCAGCGCACCAAAAACAGAACTGGAAGTTCCACCAGATCTTTTTGACAATCTCACAATCGACAACAACCGATATGGAATCTCTCGTCCCGGCTGGCCCAACGCTATTGAGCGACTGACCGAGATCAAAAATTGCCCACGAGCACTCGCCTCCGCCAAGTCCCTATACATCGATATTTACGTACACTCCGGCCCCTACTCGGATCTCTGGCTGCGAGCTCTCGAACCAAGTCAACCACCACCAGAAGTCGCGATACTATTTGGTGACGTCTTGGAAGCACTGCCTAGCTTGAATCATCTTTACTGGGGAATACACAACGAATACGCACACTTCTTTGAAGAGTCCTTCAAGTCCAGGACCTTGACGCTACCATCTGTGAAGAGCTTGAGAACTGGACCGTTTAGTCAGTATCTGGTTGGCATGTGTCCAACTCTGGAGAGACTTGAGAATGGTGGTAGGTATAACTGGTGTGACTACTCATATGGTGCTGACTGGAGAATGTTAGTGATTCAATCTGGAGCAATGGCACCTAAACTTAAGCATTTTTCGATGGATAGCGATTATGAAGGATGGTCACCTGATATGGCTGCCGGTGAGTTCCTTGATATAGCATAAGACTCTCTACAGGCCACTCTTTGCTAACCTCCGACTGTAGAAGTCGTGAAATTCATGCCTCACATCGAGAGTCTTGGGCTGGGTGGGTCTATTAAAGTTGAAAGGACTTGGGACAAGACCGACGATCTCAAAGTAACCACTTCTTCTCCTACATTCTCTCCCCCTTTCCCAAATCTCAACGGGTACAACTTCTAATCCTCCCCATTAGAACATCCTGGCCACACTCAGCGCACTCAAAAACCTAACCCACATCGACCTCCCATACTCAGGGAGCCTCTCTCTCGGATTCGATGGCGGAGCATGGTGTGGAAACGCCTACTTTGGTAAGTCCGGGAGAGAATACGGTCGTCAAGTCTTAAGACAAGGCGCAGAAACGACAGAAATAGCGGCGGGAATTGTGTTGGCGAATTTACCGAATATAACTAGCTTTACGATTGGAGAGAGGGCTGCGAACATCACACGAGGTGATGATGGGAGCGTATCAGTGACTTGGCCGTGGACGGGGAGAATGGACGATTGGTGTATGGAGATGGAGCCGGAACCGGAGGGTACGGATTATGATGAACTTGAGTATGGAGGCATGGAGGATGCGTATATTGCTGACCTTCAGAAACGATAGACTTTCTGAGTCAGATCAGTTATGGTTGATTATGTCCTAAACTTTAATATTAAAGAGTTGGCGAATATCTTTTTCGGTCCAGATCCATCGAGTTCATACACACGTGACTCTCTAATTGCGGCATGACACGTGAGAATTGCGAATCTCACCAACTGCAGTAGAAGCACTGGAGAAACAAGATGTCTCGAATACATTATAAATTGTCTAGAAAACTCATTTTAAAATCCGGTCTTCTGGGAAGTTATCTGAATGATAATGTCGGAGCAAAATTGGGTCAAGTCTGTGGCAGTAATCGGTGCCGGAGCAGCAGGTACAGTTTCACTCTTTATGTTGCGGGGGAACAGCATCACTCGAGCCCCCATTTTTGGAAATTCGATTGTTAATAAGTCAAATTATAGGCGCTATCACTGCCGCAGCTCTTGTGGCAGAGAAATACTTTGACCGGATCCAAGTGTTTGAGCGACGAGAAAGTGCTGGTGGGACATGGTTCGTGTGGTCTGATATGGAGCTATGGTAAGAGAATTAACTGACATTGCTCAGGATATATGATCCATCTCCTCCATCATCGCTGCCTCTTAGGCCAGGAGGATTGCCACCGGATGTTGATCCCCCACTGAGCATTCCCGATGCGCTTCCAAGAATTACTTCTCCTAGTACACAAGAGCGATGGAATAAGACGCCAATATACTCCTCACTGACGTAAGAATATCCATTGAGATTCAAGAAACGTCAAGTTAATCTGAAACAGTACAAATGTTCCCTCGATTGCAATGTCCTTCTCGGACTTGCCATTCGCTTACGGACCATTCGTCCCTCACCACATTCCCAAGCAATATGTCGAGTCATACTTCTCTCACCACAAAACAGACTCTTTACTCAGTTTAAACACCACGGTTGAAGATCTATCAGTGATTGAAGGATCCGAGAAAGGTAGGGAGAGATGGAACTTAACTCTCCGAAAGCACGATTCTGTTCGTGGTGTCGACGTTTGGTGGCAGGACGAATTCGATGCAGTGGTCTTGGCAAACGGCCATTATGGAGTTCCATATGTAAGAACTCTACTTGTCATGGAGATCCTAGATAATCACTGAATGCTTAATTTATAGATCCCCGAAGTCAAAGGCCTTGCCAAGTACCTAGAGCTCTTCCCCGGCCGCGTAGTCCACTCAAAAACCTACCGAACACCCCAACTCTACCGAAACAAAAGAGTCTTGACCATCGGCAACTCTGCATCCGGCCATGACCTCACAAATGATCTCCTCCTAGAAGCAAGTCTCCCCGTCTACCAATCCCGACGCTCCAAATCCCGCTGGGACGGCTCCGAACCACCACCAGGCATCGCATGGAAGCCCATCATCAAAGAATTCCTCCCATCAGGGCGCATAATTTTCGAAGACGACACATACCTCGATGACATCGACACAGTAATCTACTGTACCGGATATAAAGCCTCTTTCCCATTCTGGAACGTCAAGAACAACGGTCGTGAAATCTGGGATTACGAGAAAAACAAGCTGGTCAAATCATACATCCACACTTTCTTCCACGAGTACAAAACTCTCGGTATTGTGGGAGTACCTCGTGTTTTGACGTTTAGGAGTTTCGAGTATCAGGCTATTGCGCTGGCGAGGTTGTTTTCTGGGAGGCAGGCGAGGGAGTTGCCTGGTTTGGAAGAGCAGGAGGAGTGGGAGAGGGATAGAGAGGAGAGGGTTAAGAGAGAAGGGAAGAAGTTCCATGATATTGAGTGGGAGACTGGAGAGACGCTGAATTGGCTGGGAGAGCTGTATGAGATTTCGGGGTTGGGTTTGTTGACTGGTGAAGGGAGGGTTCCGCCTGTGCTTGGGGAGGAGGTGAGGTGGGCTATTGAGCATTTGAGGAAATACCCTGAGCCGGGGAAGGATGGTGTAGAGGATAGAAAGGAGTTTGAGAAGAGTGCGGGAGACGAGCAATCTGGAGATGGCGAGGAATGGGTGCTGGTTGAGAGGAAGAAGAAAGATTTGCTTGCATTTATCTAGGCGCATGTCAGGTATTACAGATATCAAAGGTGTCATCACTAGACACAGAATTTCACATCTAAATTACAGACCGGGCAGAGTATCCTTGTTTACATTTCCACTCACATCACTAGGTAGAAATAAACGAACCCCACCACGTGTTCCCACGTGCGTCCAAACTGCGACCTGCAACAAAGATCCTTCTCAAAACGCAAAAGTGAGGCGAGACAAGCAAAAAAGGAATATAATATCGAAAGAAACTATTCGAGACGTGGCGTGCAGGTCGGTAAGTTGGCTGCCAAGTGTTGGTGACGAGAATAAGGGGGCTGTGCCAAGGATGCGGTGAGAGGTGAGATTTTCTGGGGGCGGGCGGATCGTGACGATAGCCAATCGGGAATTGGGACAGGGTGGTTTTTGGGCTGATGAAAGGCGTCGAAGGGGTTAATGCAGTGGTTAAGGTTTCGTATTTGAAAGAGGTAGCTGAGGTTGTTGATAGTATGGCTTGGGCTAGATCTGATAGTTCCCGAATTGTTGACCTCGCTTATATCAAGGTACTTCAGCTTGAGCTCAAGATGTCATGGTCGAGCTGAGCATGGAGCTCCCTCCCTGCCCAAATCAGAGTGGTGTTGATAAAGGAGATTTTTGAACTTGTATGCTCACTTGTTGCTGTTCAGCAGATATCCAAGCCCTCGACTGATCCAGGAGAGAGCTCGCTTACTTGATAACAAGTTGTCACGTGGTGTTGTTGTTCCTAGGTGTCCGGGGAACTCTGGTAGTCTGCAGGTAAAAGATGAGAATCAAGTTACTCAGATTTCACACAATCTTTGGTTGACAATTTAAACATACTAATGTCCTTCAGATATCAAAAACCCGCGTGTCAACGGTCTGACGTGTATTGGCCCCCAACATGACCCCGCCATTACACCCCTGCCTGTGGAGCCTGGCTGATGACCATTGTTGGAGCTTGATCATCCTTGCCTCCTTCCCCATCATAACTTTCTTTTTCCAATTCATGACAGAAGTACATCCTTATGTATCAGACTCTAGAGTCGACAGACACAACTCCGACAATGACAACAAGCACTCCAAGAACAGCTGATGCCAAAGCCTCCAGCCTCTGTGATCTCTGCAAGCAAATGCAGGATCTTGATCGTCTTACTGACCATAAAGGACCTATTATGCATCATAAGAGCTGGACAGCGCTTTGCCAGTCTGCCGAAAATGGATGCCATTTATGCAATGCATTCGTGCAACTTCAAGATATGCGACGGGCCCCTGGCATTTTTGACTCGACGAGGAACTTCGACGAGCATATGAGCTGGCCAGACACACAGTTGACGATAGAGTCGTATGGGATCAACTCACCCTTACATCTACGACAAGACGCTTTATTTCATCACCCGCATCAAGAGGTCATATATATCTGGTTTGAGCTTTGTCCAGACCATGGTTAGTGAAAAGAATGACCATCTTCTACCTCGATCGAAGGCTTACTTAACAGACGATCCGTTGAGTGCCATCTTTACTGCCAGAAGCATTGATTGTAGTTCAGATTCAGAGAATTGTCTCGGCCTTCTCGATAGATGGATCAAATCATGTCAAGCGGAACATCCTGAATGTATCTGGTCAAAGGATCACATTCTTCCGACCAGAGTAATAGATGTTGGATCAGAGGATAATGATCCATTTTTGTTCGAGTCAAATGGAGCAAAAGGCGAATGGCTAACTCTTAGTCACTGTTGGGGTGGCAGCGCACCTTTGCAGACAACATCTCACTCTTTGCAGCACCACAAAGCCTCGATCTCTATGAAGTCGCTTCCTGTGACGTTTCGGGATGCGATTATTCTCACACGGCGATTGGGATACCAGTACATTTGGATTGACTCACTCTGCATTATTCATAATATTCACGAAGACTGGATAACAGAATCCTCTCAGATGTTCCGAGTATACGGGAACGCATCCATCAATATATCTGCGACAGCCGCTCGTAGTCCCAAAGAAGGAATATTTGAGAGCGGCAGTGGACAAAGGAATTATGCAACTCCTTTGACAAAAATAAATTGTCGAAGCGAAACAAAAGGTATTGAAGGCGTCCTTGGCGTTAGACTTCGAATGGATGGCACTGGACCATTTGAGACCTTCACAGAACCACCCCTACATCGTCGTGCTTGGGTTCTCCAGGAAAGTGTATTGTCTCCCCGCCGTATCGACTTTGCATCTACCCAGCTCTACTGGGAATGTCGCACAGTACTGCGCACAGAAGGATACCCTGACTCTGACGACGGTCACAACTATCTGACGGGAAGTGGACGACAGCTGCACAAAGCAGCACCGAGGAAAATGGAATACAGCCCCGATATCTACAAATTTCTTCCGACTGCCAAAGATCCCTTATCTTGGTGGTATACTATGCTCAATGATTCTTATCGAGATCGTGAGATAACGATGGATTGTGATGTTTTCCCGGCGCTTGCTGGAGTGGCAGAGGAAGTTGCGCGTCGCACCGGCTTCGAGTACAAATCGGGGCTTTGGTTGGAGGATTTGCATAGAGGCTTACTTTGGCAAAGTTCATACCCATCAGAGAAATCGAAGGATGATTTTTGCCCTTCGTGGAGCTGGGCTTCGGTCAAACTAGGCTCTCGAGATCGTCGACTGGATCTCGAAACTTATGCTGAGGGTCATCGAGCAACTATCTTGGACATAAGTGTTAAGTCAGAGGGCGAAAATGAATTGGGTCGTATTAGCGCGGGAACTGCCAGACTTAAATGTTCGGTGAAAGCGTTCAGCGAGTGGAGAGAACCACAAGTGCCCGTCTACAATGGACACGGCGACGACTTCGTGCGGATGTCTACACGTTACGTGCATCCCAAAGATTTAATTGCTTCTGAATCACCACCTACAGGTCAAATACTATGTACTCTAGATATCAGACCGGATGATGTGGATGCTTGCCTCTCTGACTTGATTCAGCGAGGTGCGATTTGTGCTCAGATTGCAAGCTTCAAGACTCCAGAGTGCCGCATCATTGTTTACGACAGAGGAGAAAAGATCACAGATTGGGGCGTTGTCATCTATGGTCTGGTTTTGGAACCAGTCGATGAGACTGCTCAGGCTTACCGGAGAATCGGGATTGTTGAGATAGCGGAAGAGGATGGATTGGCAGATGGCTGGGAAACGACGGAAGTGGTGATTGTATGAGAACGTGAAAGATCATATTCTGACCGCAGATGAACTCTTGGTCATCTTTAAACCCTTTTTTCGCTTCCAAAAAACCTGTTTGCCATTGCCGAATGCTGTCAGTATGGGCGGGCGATATTCGTTGGTAGGAGCATCCTCGCTTGGCTTGCCTGGTAAACAAAGCAAAGTCCCAGCTCTGACGACCAGAAAGGACCAAGCCATAATTACTGGCACTTCCATATAACCTGTTGCGTTTTGATCACGAAGATTGTTTCTTAGTTACGCCTCAAAGGGCGTTTTTAGCCGTTTCTAGGTCGGCGGATGTACCCACGTGACCAAGCGAAGTGGCGAAGCAAAACACCTTTCCAATCGGGATGAGAGTTCCCCCGCCTTACACCGTATCCGGATTCATTACCCAAAGCGACAAAAGCCTCATCTAACAACACTACGAAAACCGAAAATCCTGGTATATCCATAAAATCAATCAAGCCAGCGACGTATGACAACATACATCATCGCCATGTGTAGCTCGAACATAGCCTCAATTGACTGCTATCATTCCCGGGTCAGACGGTGCGTCCAATCCGCTTACTGGGATATGTCCGATCACAGATTTACAGCGAAGTCGATCATTTTGGCTCTCTTTGGAAACAAAACGCGTGATAATCATGTCAAAGGATCGTAATTGCCTGCCAAAGCAAAGTGGTACAATTGTTGGAGCCTAATCAACTGCGAGGAATTGAGATATATAAAAGTCCCTCAACAAGCACTCACAATGGAGCCATTCAACAACTTCGTCAAAGACCTTTGAGAATATCTCAGAATATACCTGTTTCAAAGGAACAACGATGCTCACTTACATCTACCAATTCCTCGGATTTACAGCCCTCGGCATTGCAACCACCCACCACCCAAAATGCAAAGCCATCCCCGGAACAAACAGCTGGCCCAGCCAAGCTGAATGGTCACACCTCAACACTTCTCTCTCAGGACGTCTCCTCCAGCCTTCTCCACCAGGAGCAGTCTGTCATCCTACACAAGCAACTTTCGACCCTCTCTCTTGTGTGGCTGTTGCAGCTGGGTGGTTGACTACCCAATGGCATACCGATAACCCGGTCAGCACTATTGAGAATAACTGGAATAATGACACTTGTCTCCCGGTTCCGACTTTGCCGTGTAGTGGGAAGGGATACCCGGTATATGTGGTCAATGCGACGTGTGCGGAGGATGTGAAGAAGGGCGTAGATTTTGCAAGGGAGAATCATGTCAGGTTGGTAGTGAAGGGGACGGGACATGATTATTTGGGCAGGTAAGTTGAAACTTCAAATCCCTTGGTGGGGATAGTACTGATTGTGTTAGGTCCGTGGCGCCGAAATCTCTCTCAATATGGACACATTATATGAGAGGACTTGAGTTTTATGATGGATTCAAGCCCAAAGGGTGCAGAAAGAGTATCGATGGAGCAGCCATCACAGCAGCAGCTGATACCCAAATGCTTGAGCTTGACGAACAGGCGCATCTCAAAAATTTGACCATCGTGTCTGGTGGAGCTGGCACCGTTGGCGTCGGAGGCTATCTCACTGGAGGTGGTCAGGGTGCGTTGAGTTCGACATATGGCTTGGGTGCTGACCAAGTCTTGGAGATGGAAATAGTGACACCTGGGGGTGACATTTTGACTATAAACGAATGTCAGAACAGAGACCTGTTTTGGGCGATGAGAGGGGTACGTATTCCTACTTACAATCATATTCATTCTCTAACGATACCAGGGAGGCGGCTCGACCTTTGGAGTTATCACATCCGTCACCATCCGAGCATATCCATCAACGGAACTTCACGTCGCGAGCTTTCTCCTCGGCACTGGTCCTGGAACAGAAGAATACTGGGACGTCATGGCAGATATACTCTCTCAATATCCCGCCCTAGATGAACAAGGTCTTTCAGGCTACGCTTACATCGCGCACAACGTTGTGAGCGCGGAGATGAACATCACAAGTGCCGCCGATGGCTTCGCAGGCGCCTTCTTCCTCCCTGCGTTCCATTCATCCAACACCTCCCTGTCGCTGGAAACGGTGCTGAAAACTCTCTTCGCAGATGCCACGGCCGCGTATCCGGGAAAATTCATGTCTACTGTTACTGTGAAGACCTTCCCGGATTTCTGGGCTTGGTATAAAGACAATAATGGTCCTCTGGATGCGGGACACAATGAAGTCCTTGGATCAAGGCTTATTGATGGAGCCACTTTGACGGGTAATCGAACTGCGTTGAAGCAAGGGTATAGAGCTGCAACTCCACCAGGAGGGCTTACCAGTGTGTTTCTCGTTGGTGGAAAAGGGACAAGAAATGCGAAGCCGAGAGGGGGAGGCAATAGTGTCAATCCAGCTTGGAGGAAGGCATATATTCATTCTGGTAGGTGTGGACTGGTATGGTATGGAGAGAATAAAAGCTAACTACTAGCAGTGATTGGGGCAAGCTGGAATCCACTCGATTCAGCGGAGGAGGCCAAGCAGAAAGCTTTGCTCACAGATGTGTATGTAGAGGGATTGAGGAAAATGGCACCAGATTCTGGAGCTTATATGAACGAGGCAAGTCTTCCATCCCACGCTTTGAAATATATTAGACTGAAATTGACGATCGTTCAGGCATACCCAGATGAGCCAGACTTCCAGCATGCTTTCTGGGGAGAGAACTATGAGCGCTTGCTCGCCATCAAGAAGAAGGTAGATCCCCAGGATGTTCTTTGGTGCCATCCATGTGTTGGTAATGAAGGATGGGAATTGGTCGACGGAGTGCTTTGCAAGAAGTAGAAGAAACAGGGGAACAGTACCCTGGGCGCATAGTAACAAAGTAATTCATGTGTCGTAACTCGTCAATCCTGCGCTTGTGATATATCCCAGTCGCTCAAAGTATTCGACGATAACAGAAATAGGAATGACCACTTAAGAGTGGATCTTCGGGCAGTGTCCAACCTCACAGTTCCTCCTCCTCTGCATCGCCCCCGTCTTCCCCTTACATATCCTATACCCCTCCACAAAGAAATGCCGCCTCATATGTTTATACCACTCATTCGGGACCATCGGCTCAATCCACTTCTGCTCATACTCCCAACATATCCAGCACCCTAATAATTCCCTCTCCCCTTCCACCGGCCCATCCTTCTCCTTATCCACAGCAACATGCGATTCCCATCTGAAATTTACACTGGGGTCTATCCAATCCAACCAACCCTGCTTGTAGACTGGCGGTATCTCGTCGCCGCAAACGAACGAACATGCTTTGCAGGGTGCAAAGTATTGCGCTGATGGCATGCCGCCGCCTGGTATGCGGTTGTCTAGTCTTTCGCGGAAGGCAAGTTCGCAGAAACCTGGATTGGGAGGGAGACTCGAGGTGTCGTAGGGTGGAGGCGCTTCTTCTGAAGTTGGTTGTGTGGCAGAGAGTGTGGGCGATACTTCTACTGCTTTTGCAGCTGGAGATGCCATCTCGGGCAAGAGGTCGGGCTTTCGCCTGTTAAGTACGCTCAATGCTCCAAAGTATACCTCGGCGTGATTGTTTTGGTTGAAGAGTGAACACGCGAGTCGTTCTTTAGAAGATATGGGTGCGGGCAATTGGGGGTCGTATTCAGGTTATATCGTAGGAAGAGCTCGCGGAGGATGTGCGAAGACTGCTCATATCCAAGTATTTCCTGCTCGATAGGCAAGATTTCATTGTTGGTGGCGGGGTTGGAGGGGCGATGGCTGGGATTTGGTGTCGTGAAAAGAAGAGGCTGGTGAGCTTCATCCCCCGTCGCCCGTCACGTGCTTGTAACCTTAGACAACATCAAAATGTCCTGGTTTGACCTCGAACTTCATCGCCAGACATCCTTTCAGAGCCGGCTTGATCATGCATGAAGTATATTCAAAGAATGATATCCATATAGAAGAAATCTTGATGATATGCTAGGGCTGTAGTCCGTTTTAAAAGTACTGAATGCGCCAGGGACATTGCATCGGTTAATCATATTGACATTTAGAAGAAGCTGAGCACCGAGCCGAAGAAAAATAAACTAAACAGGAGCGTCCTTTAACTTCTGCTAGGAAAACCTCTAGTCCGATGACAATTGATGTCTCCACGCATGTTTGCGACCTAATGACTAGCCCCTATTCCAACTTTGTCAATTCTTCAGCATGAACATCGACAACGGAATCAAGCAGCCAAAGCTCAGTCACTGATGTCCGCATTGCGACATGTACATCCCGGGAAGTGGATAATGCCCTGTGCTCAATATGGAAGAGTCATCGTTCAATCACTCTACTTGCCTTGCTGCGATAATAGTAACTTCAAGTCTCGTCTTGCGTCTCCCAAATAATCCAAATTTGAAAGGCCTGGCAGCTCGGACGATTTCATCCGCCCTTTGACGGAGCTACGAAGTAGTCTCTTATGCCTGGGGCTGCCCGCAATGGTCATCAGGTAAGATTGGCCATAAGACCTTAGAGGCTTCAGGACCCAGATTGAAAGATGTCACAGGAAAACTGTCCTCTTGATTTTCCAGAACTTCCTAGTATCCCTACAACACCTCCGGTGACAGGGAAGACCACCTGCAGTGCAAGAATGTGATTTCCGTAAATAGGGATAGGGTGGATGAAAGAAAGACAGAAGCTCACAAAGGTAACAGCTACAGGACTTGAAGTGATTGTCTAGCTTAGCTCTGAAGCGGATAAAGACTCCCTCTCTTTGTAGCTCATCGGCGTGATCCGGAGGGGCTTGAGAGGGAATACTTCCTATATGCCATCTCTCAGTCATCAAATATTGAATTCAGCTGCACTGATATTTTGACAAAGAGAAAAAAAGAATATTGGTACGCATTCCTGCAAATATCGGACTATTCGTCGCTGGCGCTGTCGCAGGGATGCTCTTTGGTTGGGGACTATGACAGCAAAGCGCAAGATGAAAAGAACTCGGAAATTAGAATCGAGCCATGGATCTGCTTTCAGATTCTGTTGTGAGCCAGACCCATTCAGCAGCGAGCGAAATGGAATAGAAACCAATGATCGTTTCATGCAATTTCGTTCTTTGACGCAAAATACGATGGAGCATCTTGTCCTTTATGTAAAATTGGGTCTTCCAGCCACGGAACAACATCGACTTGGATTTAGTACAGATGAGAGCCTTGGTGACAATGATATCATACTAGGCCAAGCGTGTTTCATCCCCCCCAATCTTGACGCAACTCGTGATGTGTATTGCCGAAGCTGTCAAAGTGATCGTCGCCAGCGCATAGCCATACTTGATCTGGAAGAATGGCATTTTGCCGAACCGGGAGAAACCCAATCACTGCCACATTTTCAGCTGCTTGTTGTCACACTAAAATATTAGCGAAACTTTATGCTGTTTAAACACTGCCGTCAAATCGCTGAAAGCGAATCATGGGCCAGACAAGCTTTGCACAGATTTGGTAAAGTCAGCCTTACAGCAAGGCACAGTCATCTTGGCAAATAGCTGATCACCAAACAATTTGACAGTTGGCAACGTTACCCCCAGCGCTCATCGCGAACATAATGGACAATCGATCATGCTCAATCGATGGCTTTCACGTAAACAGAGATGAAATACATCATTTGATATGTAGTTGGACAATCACGACCTCGAATGGAACTTCAGAACGTGATTCAATGAAGGAAACAAAACTTTTTTTGCGTAAAGAAAGCGGGAAAACAATCCCAAAGCGACTCAGGAATGATAAACCCTGACGTCCGATCCGGAAGAGGAAGGTGACTGTTTTCAGCTCGACAAAACCTGGTGCTGTCCAGATTTCTTTATTTACCCCTCCGAAAACCCATTCCCTTTCACCTCCCAATCTATAACTCAAGATTCTCCTCCTAACCCGGGAAACTCCACAAATTCTCAGCTTCATGGTGCCATTCATCTAACCATGAAGCCAAACCTCCTCCTCCTCGCAGCCATCGTCGCTGCACCCGCAGTTCTCGCGCAAACAACATCCGTCGCTGCTCCCACTACCCTTGCTACAACCACTTCGGCGACCTCAACGACGAGCACGACATCCTCTGTCAATAGTTGCTCTGCAATTGCCTCGGTCGCTGCGCGTGGACTTGGTTACGGAAACCTGTTATCGAAGCGGAAGAAGAAAAAGAAGAAGAAGAAGAAGCCTAAGAAGGAGAAGGAGGATTCATGTGAGAGTGATACAAGTGGAGGAGTCCTGAGCATGCGACCAAAATCAACTTTTGCTCTTGTTGGTGCGGCTGTGGCTGTTGCTGTGGTTGCTCTGGGATGAGTGGGATATGATGTGAAGGGGTGTGGGGAGTGCAGGCGAGGAAGGGGTTGAGGTATCGAAGTGGTTTCCTGACATGGGGGATTGATAGCACTTTAGACTATGTGGATAACGTAGGTGTTGAGAAAAGACTACATCTGTCCAGATCTAGTAAATGATAATAGTCCACCTCATGGACTGTCTACCCGTTCAATAACTTGGGAGGAGCAATGTCCGCACACGTGTAAAGGACATTAAAGTTGAATGTAGTAGTAATATTGGTTTCAATCTGGGACGTGACGGGGTCAGCCGAGCGAAATTGCTCCATTCAAATGGAGTAATGAAGGCTGGAGGTTAGAGCGCTTCGAGAAGCGAAACAATCTTTTTACATCGCTGAGAGGCAGTATCGGATCTAATTCCGAGGAGTCCAATTGTCTGAATGCATCTCTGATGGAGATAAAATCCGATCGGACTTGGGCCCCATGAAGCGGTCCGCTGTTAGGAGCCATGTACTTGTTCGAAAGATGACTCCACCATTTCGGATCTGCGATTGTCTCTCCTTTCCCAAGATCCATCCACTTTGTGATAATAACCGCATTCCCAAAAACCTCACAGTCTTCCATACGGAGTTGAAATTCTACTGGGCAAGAGGTACAAGACGTAATAGCCGAGGATCTTATGCAGCGCTCGATAACATGGTCGTGGTCAATGGTACACTCACTTGTCTCTGGTAGATTAGGCGCTAAAACGTGAGCAGTAAGCCTGATATGGGGGCAAACTTCAAAGCCGCAGCGATTCAAAGCTGTCGCTGTCAGACGAGGTGGTAACAGAATGACACTCTGCGAGCAAAACAGCAAAAAGCCATTGATGATCCTGACGCTGGCCTTAAACTCTGATGGAAATTCCCGCATGACCATAAAAGCCATCGACTCATAACGTAAAGCCTCCAACCAAGGCTGGTAGTCAAGGTGCAGTCGATACATCTTCATAGCCATCTGGACAGTTCGGAACTGAAAGCGGTTATGCATGTATTTCGCTACCTTTCCAAGTACCTCAGCTCCCTTGCAAAGTGTCATGTCGTATTGGTAAGCAGGCAGAGGGGCCAATTGCAAAACACTGGGAAGCATCCCACAAACATGAAGAACATGACAGTGGTAGCATGGGACGTAGTCGTCGCGTGAAATGTCCCTCGATAATAGAGACAGGAACTGGAAGCATTGCAGCTGTTCGTCATCTGCTCGCAGACGAGCCCAAAAACGGGTCCCAAGGATCTCGTAAGCCGTACGGCAACTCAAGGCGAGTAATGCTGCGGATGAAAATGGTAGAAAGTCGGCCAAGTATATGATGAGTTCTGGATGTAGCTTTTTGAGTATGTTCTTTTTTTTTGCAGTCTTCATTTGTGACTTTTTTCGTGCACAAAAGCTTCTTCACGAGCTTGCTGACAGATTTGAGCTTCATAGTGCCAGTGATCTGGTAAGACGAAGTGATATCGGAATCGGTGGAGAGGGTGCTGAAAAGAATTGATCGATTGACAGCAGACGAACAGAGAGCTTAGAGAAACCCCAACTCTTGCTAAATTGCGACTTCACTGTGTAATTGAACTTTCATCTGGAGGTAGGAATCGAGTGAGAGCAACTTACAAAATCAATGTGTGCTCCTAATATGGCGTAAAGCTATATTTGAGTACTACTCAGCAGAAACATGGTTCACTAGTTGCTAGTGTACCATATTGCCGAACAGACGGTACAAAACCTCACCCTCTCTGCACGGGACTCGACACGGCCGGGGGCGAGAAACTCCGGACCACGCTGTTCTGTAATGGTTAATAACACCCTGTGGGATTCAAGCTGCCAAATAGCCTTTGGTTTCCAGTGGTTGTTTTCGTGCGTGGTATCTAGGAGAGAGCGTGATGCTCGGCAGACTAACCATTGAACGACTGCACATCTTCCACGAACCAGAAAGCTACCTATGATGAGTGGCCATCAGAGTTCAAGAACACTTTCCGTAAATGTGATCACACTTGGATCAGTCACGTTCCACAATTATCATGAGATACCCAACGATTGAAAGCACATCGACTTGGAGGCGCGCGACGAAGTTTCGAGCTAAGCAGCTATCGGATATAACTCGCCAGTTGCTACAAGGGAAGCCTTCCGAATTGACATGGCGACTTGAGATTGAGAAGTTGGTCGATGCTTGGTTTGGCTTGAAGACCTAATAGTACTTTAGCTGGATCTGATAACATTATTGCGAACTCACACAGCTATCTACAAATACTCACTTGCTCGTAACAGCAAAACTTGTAGTGTACCAGGCAATAGTGGCAGAACTTGGAGATCTGAGATCGAAGTAGTGATAGAACATCAGATAATGCTAGGGTATTTTCACTAGATGGCGCATTGTAACTACTCATGATTGTTGACTATATTGTCGCCTAGGCAAGAGACCGCTATCGACGGTTTATTCTCTACTGTCTCGAAACTATAGATAAAACTTACATAAGCAAACTTTAACTGAAGTAGATATGAACATGCACCAAGTAGGCTTCCTATTCACAACCATTCCTTATTAAAAAGTGCTTCTTTATACAAAAAATAAAAACATACAACAGCAGGTATTCGCTGGTGGTCACCCACCCAACTACTCATCTGCCGATCTGGTGCTTATGTATGGCAGAGCGGACGGGATGCCCAGGTCTCACCAGTCTATGGTCGTATGTGGTAGGAAAAGAGGATTGAGAGTATTTAAGGTCTGGTGGCTTGAGAGATGAGAGGTTTGTTATGAGGAAAAGAGCGGGGAGAGAGAAGGGATCCCCCTGACAGGATAATGTCAAGCACATCAAAGTATGAACAAAGGGAAATCTACTCCTCGGTATCCATTAGTCCATGCTATATTAATAGCCGCATTTAGTAAAGAGGGAAAACAGTTGACACAGGCTCGAAGCTGAGCACATTTAGCTATACCATTCTTCGATTAGGGAACTGAATTGCTGAGTAGATCGCGCATCTCCAGGGATACTTAATGTATAAATCCAAATACCTTGGTATCTTATGCTGGAATATACTTTTATCCCCATCTTGCGAACTGATGAATTCTCTTGATGCTGATGAAATCCGGGGAGCACGTGATCTGCAATATGAAACTGTTCATGTGGCAGAAGACTTTGACAGGCCCACACGTACTGTACTATACAAGACTTCAAAAGCCACTTTCTAAACCTCGGATACATTCTCTGATCTATTCTTATCAAAGTGCCAATTCCATGCGGCTGTCAATGTTCCGAAGTTCTGTACGCTCTGGCCAAGCTGGAGATCCCACGATTTCCACCCACTCAAACGTCTCGCTGTTGAAAATGCCCTCAAGAACGTGCGCATTTCAAACGATTCTGAAGCCGCAAGCTAAGGGATCGACCCGAGGTGGCGGCTCAATCCAATCTGCATGATGTTTCGAAACGAACTTGAGCCACCGACAGCCTTCGGCTTGTATCACAGTCGTCATCACTTACCTTGGCGCGTTTGGAATGTCTAGGATATTAGTGCCTTTGAACATTTCCGCATACTCTTACTCTCTCTCTTCCTTCATTTTTGACTTTACGTATTTTGGATTTTCGGCGACAGTGCAGCGTTTTTATTACCATAATGTTGTCGAAGTCTCTTCTTGCAGTTGCGTTCGCCGGCGCCGCAACAGCCGTCACACCTCCTGGCTTTCAGCCAGCTTCAAATGGAGAATTGATTGTTGCTTTTGGGAATACTTTGGCGTTGAATGGAAAGGAGTTGACGAAAGCGGGTGAGTCAAAACATGAATTGGTTCAAAAATCAAAGCTGATATAGGAACAGAGACTGCACAAGTACCAACGATTGGAACGACACAACGGTTAATGGGAACATATGCCGTCATGATGGTAGATCCAGATATTCCTCCTCAGATAGTAGGGGGACCAACAGGCGAGCTCCTTCACTGGATGCAGCAGGGTCTCACCTCAGCGACGACAGCTACGATGATCGGTGGAATGATGGTTTTCGTCCTCAGCAGCGCGAGCAACGAAACTGCATTCGCGCCATATTTTGGGCCTTCTCCACCCAACAAAGTACCAAATACGCACAGATACACACAACTACTTCTCGATACATCAGGATCGAACAACAGCCTGGTAATCTCTCAATTAAGGCAGGCCGCAGCCACAAGATTGAACTTCAATGCCGTCAATGTGGTGAGAGCAGCAGGCGTGCCAATATTGGCAGGGAATTCCTTCAATGTTTCAAACGGCACTTCAACAACAACAAACGGCACATCTAGCAGTGGCTCGTCAGGCAGTATCCCGGCCGCGGCTCCCATAAACTCAGCTACTTTGGTTCCAGCAAACATCACAAAAGTTACGCCAAGCGCGCAACAACCTGGTGGTGCGGCTGCTACTGGTACCGTTCCTGCTGCCAGTTCGAATGGGACTGGATCGGGATCGAACACAAGTACGCCATCACCAACACCAGGGACTTCGGGATTCGGGCAGAGTGGTGGAGGGGCTTATGTTGCTGGATTGATAGCACTGGCTGCTGCTTTGTTTTTGTTGTAAATAAATATTCTAATACCATCAGGTGCAAATATGTACCGTTTCTCAGTACTGTCTCATTCTTGAGTGAACGGTAGATTCTCATTTCGTGCAGATTTTCTGCGTTTTCTTTCTCGGCTAGGTTTCTTTACTCCGTCGTTGCGAGCAATAACAGAGAAAGTTCAGGCTTACTAAGGCTCTCCGAAACTTTTGTTGCCGGCTCGTTAGGATTTGTCAAAGTTCTTTCCTCTCTGGAGTACTTCAACTACTCAGATCACACAATTTGGCATGGCGCAGACCTGCGGGCATGTAGCACAATTGTACAGGCGTACATGAATGCCGATCAGGAGCTCTGAAATACACAGGGACATAGGGATGCTCGCTCAGGAATATAGATCAACACACAACAATATATGAATCTGTAGAACTTCATGTTCTTACTCATCCCTCATCATCGCCAAAACCACGAAAAAGCCATGAAACTTCTCCCTCAACATACGGCTGCACAATCGCCCATCTCGGCTCATGAAAAACAACCCCGCTCCCCACCTCCTCCCACCACATACACTCCCTCCACTGCCAGAACGATCCGCTTCTAAAGCCCAACTTCAGGTACTTTCTCAAAGCAAATAACCAAAGTTGGAACATGGCCGGTGGGTCCGGGTGTTCACATCTATCTCCCGGACCGCGAGAGCGGATATCGAGAAAGTGGATGACGCACAACATGTCGAATGCCGCCTGGTCTGTCCCTTTAAGAGAAGGGTGGATGGCGGTCGGAAGCAAGATGTGCTTTGTATTTTCAATGTTGCTGGGCATAGTGACTTCTTCGACTCTGAACACACCGAATAAGACAACAGTGACTTTTCGCGTTTTCCATTCTTTTGCAAGCTTATCTTTTGGGATCGCCCACCGCGCGAATCCATACCCATCGTCACTGTTCGCGTTTGTGAATTTGCAGATCAGATGCTCGTGTCCGACTAGGAGACACATGAGGTCTTGAACCGCGCCGCGATTGCTCTTTACTTCATCTAGATGGGAAGAATCATCTTCTGGGTATGTACGCTTCGGTTCATGCTCCGGGTATTTCTCCTCGCGAGCATTCCCCTCATCAACCAACCACCTCGCAAACGGCCCAAAGATGCACTCATACGCCCTCTCCCTCCACCTCCCAACCGGTGTAAAATCCTCAACATCATAATTATACACCGGAAACGTCCTTGCAAAATCCCCATCTTCATCATCCACCAGCATGGGATCCAGTTCAGCTGAGCCCCGTACGCAGTGGCTGAGAAACCTCTCGTTCCCAGCTCTCTTCGCCGCCCAGAATGGCGCGTTGTAAGCTCCTGCTAGCACGGGTCCGGCGAGGAGAAGCTGGTACATGGCGCGGTGGAAGCGGTCTCTCCATGCCTCCATGTCACGTTCCTCCCAGTCATTGTCGCGCCGGAATTCGCAATTGTTTTGATTCTGCAATGTCGCACCAAATGGTTGGTTCGCTTAATCGCATGCCTAAAAAATGTCTCGTTGCAAAGTCACTCCGTACAGGAGTTTGAGGCTCTTGAACAATCACAATGCTTAGGTAGTTATTTAAATCGACGAAAATTGCTCTAATAACGAGGGAGCCACTAGTTAACAGCAGACATCAATCTATTTGCTACGCGTACTACGTGATCCACTGAGAGTGCTCGTTACACGACTCAAGCAAGTTCCCTAACCAGTCCCCATCAGAAAATCCGATTGGAAAATCGAAAAGCTCGTCAGGAGAGAACTGCGGAATTGCGCCTTTCAGGGATCCATGTTTGACCTCCCACGACTTTTTGATCAGCTGAATCTTGCTGGACATAATACTGAAGGGATCAAATTCTCCGGCATTAACAATCAAATTCGTGGCTGATTTCACCTGGCCAAATTTGATCCCAGTCTGATCCAGAAAGGTCGGAACATCAAGGTGCTCTAAGCAAAGTACTCGATCCCATTCTGGATGTTCAAATGTTGAGAGGCGATATGCGGTCAAGAATGAATGGGTCATGCTGGAATATGTCTAGGCGGAAAAGCCTGGATAGTCGGCTGCTGGGATGGACAGAAAGATGTTGATCCCTGTTTCACGGGAGTCAGCGTTCATTTCCTGAAAGCAGTCTCATTATGAGATGAAAAATCCCTCAGATTAGAATCCTTACAAGAATTCGTAGCATTGGCGCAAGCCCAAAGACACTCGACTCGTCGAGTCTCTTTGCCTTGGAAGATATTGTGGTCATGTGCCATCCCAATTTCGTAGACACTACGCTCCGTGGCATACAACTCGAGTAAGAGAGTTTCTTTGGGGCACAATTAGCCATTTAGGATCAAACAATCTGGCTGTGGGCTTCCAACTCACCATTATTGGATAATTCTGGTGGGATATTATTCTTGAAATTTTGAAGCTGTCCCTCGAACGACTTGAGATAGAATGCAACAGGAGCGGTGAGAACGCCATCCGTTCCAAACCCGTCACTTATTCTCGTGTATAGCAGGCGCAACTTTACCAGTTGAACAAGAAGGGCATCAGAATCATATTCCTTTTCGTGCTCAAGAGTGCGAAGACAGTCCTCCGAGTGTGCTGTCCAGAGCAGTGGGTTGCCTTTGGCCAATGTATAGCAAGACCTACAAAGCATCAATCAGGATTCATAGTTATAAAATTGATACATACACTGAACTTAGAAGATAACACCCCAGAAGCGCCCTCCGCTCCTCGTTCGTTGTCTTTGAGAGCCTTTCTGCGTTTCCAGTATTCTTGATGTCATGAGCAAGCATTGAAGCCGGGTCTTTCGGCGGTGGCGGCGGCTTGTCCAATCCGAGGTTATATAGCATTGCGATAGAAAGTTGAATGAGATTGTTCAAAACAGGCTGTCCAACGTAAAAGCATCGATTCCTATACCAAGGCGCTATTAGACCTAATATAACGAGTCCGGGGCGATTGTAAAGGAGAAAAGCTCATACCACTATAAGATTGAGTCAGTCGATTGAGTCATTTTTGAGCTATTAGGTGTGACGCGGAAAACTACTGACAAATGTGTACACAAGTATCGCCAAAAGCAGGTCCATACTTCGCGTTCCTTTGCCGAAGGCCTCGCCAGCAAAAATGCTTCTCGCTGCCTCTGACATGGACTTCTGCAGTGAGTGGTCATTTGAAGCCACTACCATGATGGCGAGCCAGAGAAATGGCCTTTCCTGACGAAGCCGGTGAGCTGTAATTGATGGTGGTAGAATGACGAACGGGAGAAATTTCACAAACTGACTCCGGAAACGAGCCAGAAACAGCTCTGCGTCCTGATCACGAGGCTCTCGAGACAGGCGAAACAACGATTCATAACCAGAACAGCCAGATAATGCTTGGTCTGAAGGAGAAGTTGTCATTGAAGAATAAAAGCCGCCCTCGTTGCTTGTCGGGGAATCACTGGTCGTGTATTCTCCATAGTCGTTCCCGTCAGCGTGTGCCGGACTCCACGTGACATTAAGATTGACAGCTGCCGGCATAGCTTGATTGGATCTCAACAATGTGACAAGATCATCCAGCTTTGCTTCGAGTTTTGAGGTCTCGTGGTTCCCTTTCGCTCGCCTCTGTTTCCGTACGGGAGGCGAAGGCTGGCATACTTTGTTCATGCGATGGCACCTATCAACAAGCTGTTAGTGCTGCATCTAGTCGGGTTTCAAGTCAAGACTTGAGCTTTCTTTGAAGCGCATAGCATAGGATACCTTTGACATCTACCATCAGCATCGACGCTTCGAGAGCACCTTGCTTTCGCCCGCACGCAGTTGATACAGGCCCGGAGTGGTGTTGATGTTGTCTCTGACTGTGGCGCTGCCGCCATACTGGTGGTTTGTGGCGCAGCTGCTGTCATGGCTGTGGCTGCCCGGTGTCACGTGGGTATCTGCCGCACGTGCCTGACAAGGTAAACAGATGTGATCCGCGGTCGTCGAGCAAAGCAAAGCAAAGCGACTGTATCTACGCAATCAGACACGCTACTCTGGCTGAGATCGAAAAGTAGCAGGAGCAGGAGCAGTAGTAGGAGTAGGAGTAGGAGGAAAGGGGAGAAGAAGGAGGAAGAGTAGGAGGAGTCGGAGGGGCAGGAGTTCCTGTACCAGGAGTCGGAGCGACCGGAGCTGCTAAGGTCCTACTCCGAGCAAAATATCAGGTAATGATGCTCTCAACTTTTTCAACATATATTGCGACTCTGACAGTCTGTCTTTTTAGACATTCATGGCTATCCAGAAGACGCCGATATCGTTTTTCGACTATTCAGCGGCAAAAGCCACGCCAAGTTCTTCGCGGGGAGAAAAGACATCATATGCAGCAATTGGCACGACTTTGATGTTAGTGAACTCCAAGGAGCGAAGGGAGCTGAATCACATTTCATTGGTGGCTCGATACCCACGAATTATATCTCTATCAGTACATCTCCTCGGCGAATGTGGAACCTGTTTATTAAACATCAGTACATATCTAATCGCAAAATCGCTGTAATTGACCTACGGGTGTTGAGACGTCTCGGAATCGGCTCTGGCAGTAGTACAGAAGATTTTGGCTTCCGACACCACAACAAAAGAACGGGGACTGGGACACCATATGCTACTAAGCATCATATCCTAGTCTTGGGATGGCTTCCTCCTCAGTGTATTCTTGGATTCTTATCCATTGGACACTTTGAGAAGTTACTCGCTCGGTCCCACATCAATAACTCTCGTTCAGGTTCGTCATTCTTCGCTCTGTATTTGACTTGTTACTGAATTCCATAATTCAGGATATGTGCCACTCTCTGAGTACGATAAAATAATTACCTTCTCTTCAATGTCGCACTACCTTCCCGAAGCAGCAGCTTTGTCTGCATTGCAGGGTGAGGAAAGTGTTGGTTGTGCTGGGAACTGAATCAATTCTTGGATTATCTTCTGTCACGAGCATCTGCCGCCTTGTTTCAGTATTAGGATAATCAGCAAGTTGGTGAAATCATCTTGAATTGTGGAATCAAGGAACATAGAATGGGTAATGTTGGTTAAAAGCTATCAATGTGGCAACGTCATATGTCAGAGATGGTGGTCCTACCTGGCACTGGCAAAGGCTCTTATCCTTGTAAGTTATGCACACGAATCTTGCCTGATCATTAAATACACATGAGAGATCAATCACAATAGCCTAGTGTTACGGATAGAATAGTCAGGTGGTGAGTAAGAAGTGTGTTTTGTAAGAGATATTCATTCATAATTCAGGTGGAAACAGCTAAAAGAAGATCAACTCCTCTGAACGCCTGTCGATATGGTGGGAATCTAATGAGGTGAAGTTGCTCAAGACTCATGATGGCAAGACTTTCTCAGTCCCACAAGCTTTGAATCGCGAAATGCATTCGTGGACATCCTTCAAGTGTCTGGAGTCTCGCTGACTTGAGGGGCTTGGATGATAGCAGGCCATTGTTGATTCCATGGGTATGGAATGGTATTATCATGGAGATAATCATGTTCGGATCGAACCTTAATCTTCCGCTGGGTATGTATAACGATAGTAGGTACTGGTTGCTCTGACAGCTGGACAGGTTGTCCCATCTTAAACAGCTTTTGCAGAGCTTCGCACGCTTCTTTGCAGTTTTGGACTGGCCTGGGCTCTATGTGATAGTATTTGCTATCTGTGAGATGTACTGTTTTTAAACCCGTAAAGAATTTGAAGATGTTGACAGAACAATTTTCTCCCTTAATAGCTCGGTTACAATAACACAGGAGCCAATCCCAATTGACATCTTCAAGCTCTATACTCGAGACTTTTGCGATACAATCTGGATTTTGTACAAGGACTCTATCCACTCCAGTGATGAACGCCATATCTGAGTTTATATGAACTGAGTCTACTTGTGGATCTAAGCAGAAACATTTGGGCCCCCTGATCAAAGGAGCGTAATGCTCTACAGAGAAAACAGAATAGTGTTTCAGGAAGTGCGTGCGACTTTCTTGATTCACGGAAAGGCCAACGCCTAGTTGTTGTCGAATTGGAAATCGATATCTGTACTTGCTCCATTCTTCAATGTGTTGTCGATGGAACTCAACAGCTCGTCTCCTGGGGAGCGTGTAGTCCCATATTATAAGTCTCAGTTCGAGTGGGAGTTCTCCGAAACACGTAAAAGTTTCCACTGGCTCATCATCTTCTTCTTCGAAGTCAGGCAGCCAAAGTTTGAGGAGTTGAAGATTTGCGCTGGCGACTTGCTCCTCGAGTGAGCTGCTTTCATTGGTGTTTTGTTCTGCTGCCATTTGTCTGCAGTGATATGATCACCTTCTGGAAGCACGTTTTTGGTCTGAATGTGTGGAGAATAATGGTTTGTGGAAATTAGGGAAAGAAAATATAGGAGCATTTAGCAAGAAGCATTCTTATACCTGGATGGACTCCGTTAATGGCCTGGTATGGGTTATTTTTAGACTTGAAAGAGGTTGGTCACAACCCGCTCATTGGTCTTCGAACCGTTATGAGTCAAAATTGTGAACAAAGATCAACAAACAAACATGAGAAGGAATACTTTAAAGCAATAACAATCACAATCACAACTGGCATGAACAAAGGAAAGGGTCCTTCGCTGTCATGCTTGCCCAATTGACAAGAAATCGATAGTGAATTTTATCGTCCCACGCCAATGGACCAGCCCAAGCCTATTGAACGAGAAATTTCTCGGAACACAAATAAGGTACTGTTCGGGCCAACATAAATTTGAGATCTCCACAGAGCCCCAGTTGGACTTAAAATGTGTTCAGGCTTTTGGGGAATAGGAGACGATATCATTCCTGTGCACCACCCGACACAGCTTGCATAGAGAAGATACGTAATGATGCATTTGGCTTTTGAGTGGTGAAAGATTTAGCTTTGAAAAATATAGAAGACCAGGGGCTTTGAGAAAGTGATTGAGTATCTTTATTTGACTCAGCCCCGCCTTGTAACCCTTCTCACTCCATTGTGGCTTGTATCAATGCGACAGCCGTAGATCTTCCGAATCTGCGATATAGAGCTTCTTCCAGTGCCGGCGGTCATCGTCAGACATAACCCGTTTCTCCCTATAACAGTGAAAAGACACCTTTGGCACACTTCGCTTCGAACCTTCCGGATCCAAATCCCTTGCCTTTTCATACCACTTCATGAAACTTGCATGCGCCCTCCTTGTCACCATTAAGCTTTGTCTACTCCCACATGGCTGCTGTTTCTCAGCTGATATCATATGGAGCTCTTTCAAGTTTCGGAAATGGTTCAAGACTCCATATTCAACACTCTGGTATGTCCTCATATCAGGGACGCCTGGGCTGGCTCCCCAAGTTACATGACGGACTTCCAAAACCTGAATATCATCTAGACAACCTGGGAACTCCTCTAAAACCTTTTGGAGCTCGGTGTCATTTTGGTAATCATACATTTCGCTGGCGTCGATGCAGAACTGGTCGATCTTAGGACTGAAGCAGATAGGGCGGTGACGTGCGACGGGAAATAGTGAAAGCAATTTCTTTCCGTTAACGCTTCTGTAAGTCTCATAGTACGGAATATGATGCTCGTAGACAAGCCGATATTCTTTCAAAGTCGTCTCCCTGCTGAGTCTGCAGATGTGGAGTGCAGTTGGCAGCGGTGGATCTCCTGCATGATTGCCAATTCTTAAGCGACGAAGGGGAACGGAAAATTGGATGAGGCGTCTTCCTGGCAAACAGTACTCCCAGATCATTATTTTCAACTCTGTAGGCAGCTCATTATAGTTTTTCTTTGTTTTGGATTCTCCTGTGTCATTTGAAGAAGACTGGCTCTGCTCCGTCCTGGCGACACCGAGGCGTAGATTCTCCACCCGTGTGGTTGTCTCGTCTATATCTGTATCGTGGTGCTCCTAGAGAAGTCAATATAAGAAAAGCGGTCATGTAATGTATTCCTTACCATGGTAATTGTATATACTTGTTGGCCATTGGCTCAGTGGAATTATGCAAGAGAAAGTACTTTTATGAAATTTAAATATTGTGGGTGGCATACATCATGTGACATTGATCGAACCATGGATGAAGTTCGAGGCACTAGACCGACTAACTGTTGCGCCGCGTCGATTAAGTCAGTACTCGCTAATTGGTTTTTAGTATTTTAGTTCCCATAGCTAATACATTATCCTTAACCGCTTTGAGCCCCTTCAGCCTTGAACCTGGATTCCAGTCTGGGTTACATCACTTGAACAACATTACACATCGGAGGCATTTGCGTGAAACTCTTTAAGGATACGAATCTCTTTAAAGACTTTAGAGACAGTTGTGTCATACTTCTTTTCTTATTTCCAGTAAATGGATCCTCAACATCCTTGAATTTATCAGACACTGCCTCAGTGATAAATGTCACTTTATTGCTAGTCGCACAATAGCCTTCCTCACGGCCTTAGCATATACGTGTCCTTTTCGTCTGAAACGATACTTATTTGGACAATGCTATTAAAATGCCGCGTTGAGTAGAAGAAAGAAGTTTGAGAAGCCCACTGGAGAAGAGACATCGACGATCTACTTCTAGTCTATATCTGAAGGGAGAATACACACGCAGACCATAGTGGATCATCTCGCTGTTTCTATCACGTCTTTGCTTCCTAGAGATAAAAGTCTTATGATACTGCTATGTCAAAACGAGAAAACTAGTACAAAAACACTGTAAACAAAGTGATTGATGTGCTACAAAAATTTTCGCAAACCCGTCAGTCCCCTTTCCATGGTTCTGGGATAGGCTCCACTATTAGTCTGTTCAATAAAAAACTAGCCTGGAAATAGTAATAACAGGTATTTTACAGTCCCGTTAGAAGAATATAGTATGTCTCATCTGTATACGCCCCTAGAAGCGAAAAGTAGTGTTGACTTGATGGGGATGACACGACATGCTGTGGCTTCGTCACAGCCAATGGTGGCGGACCTTGGCGTCACTCCTGTAAAGTGGCGAGGTCAGACTTTGGATGGCCGCGTCTTTTCTTTCTACCACCTTTCAAACTTATCTTACTTAGCAGTACAACAAGACCAATTGTCGGGATAAATCCACCTGCCAATCACCCACTCACGTGAGCGTTTGACATATTACGTGTTCGGTCAGTCCCAAACAGGACTAGCTCACTTCAGGCGCGGTTATATAGCAGGGGCTTCACATGGAGATAGAAGACATCTCGACTTAATATCAACAACTGTACCCTCTTCTTTTGGTTGCAAAGTAACTCCTGTTATACCAACACAAGTGCAACATGGATCCCTCTTTCAGGCTGTATCAAAGGATTCTCCAGACGCTGCTAGTTCACCGAGAAAACACACTGTCCGTCGGCGGTCCGAGATCCGAAGATGTAAGCCAGAATTTGACAAGCACCAGTCTCCTGGCTTCGTGCTAACGCTTGTCTTAGACTTATTGTAATGATGCTGAGGTTAGGCTCACACTAACTCCACTATCGGGACCAAAAGATCACAATATTCAGCGCAAGCTGAATACGCCTAACTCATACTAAACGTGTACCGACTATTGTCACGTGACCTTACACTTATTCCCTATCCTCCAACGTATTCACGGCGGTAATCCTCCTCTCGATCTGTCTTGCTTCTGATGCTCTGTCACGACTATGTAAGACCTTGACTATTTTGCAGTGTCTGACTACTATATCCGATTGCTGATTGAAGGAATGTGAGACAGATGTTATGTTTGCGGCCTCCACGCTGACTTTTGTTGTTCATGGTGGTCTCCTTATGCCTTGGTCTCAAGCCGAGATCGAGTCTTTTGTTCTGTGTCTTGTAGGAGGAGTTCTTGCGTTTGTATTCTCGCTGAATATATCATGGCTGAAGGAGGACTTGGGATCGAGCTAAAGAACTTCTTCATGTCTGGTCAGAGTTAGAACTGACGGTACACAAGGGGCAGCAATTCATGGTGGTTATTTTCTGGTCGTAGATTGAAATCCTGGCAGAGACGAGGAAGGATTTTCTTTGGCACAGTAGGTGGATGCATCAGGTAGGAGACGGACAGAGATCCATGAGGGTCTTGAGTGATATTGAGAATGAGTCCACAGATATTGTGGAAATAAAAACTTGGAGTGTGATGCCAAATGGAAGCTGAGAAAGGTACTCATGATGAAAAATTTGCTTTTAAAGATCAGGCAGCCGGTCATAATTGCTTGCATCTATCTATTTGTTCAATGTTTCATGCATGCCTGGCAGTCAAGCACTTGCTAGAGTCATCTAATGTCCCTCCATATGACTCGCTTTGTAACTTCTAAGCATAAGCTTCAAGTTCGTCAATTCATCGAAGGACATCATTGCCTGTACAATGTCCGATCGCAGCTCAGGGTATGGTCAAGCTCTTCTCCATTTGATTTCCCAATGAATCCTTCACGAGTATATCTGGTACGGTTAGGCCGTGACGCGTGTATGCTTCTCCGAGGCGTATTATGAGAGCAGTGCAATGGAAGAATTTGTTCGATGCGAGGGAATCTAGCGGAGCGCTCTTGAGAGGGAAGTCTTCTTCATCAGGGCATATGAATGAATTCACCTCCAACTTCGGAAGAAGTCGTAGTATTCCGAGGACAGCATCCTCTTAACCAATACTGATACCACTATCTTTAATGCGCCGCGGTTGTATCTCTACTGCCTTAACCGTTGAAAATTCCTCGACGTTGTGTTCAACGAAGCAGTCCATGAGCGTTTTAGTATGAAAGCCAGACTGCATATCGTACTCTTAAAAAACCAGTATATCAACCTGACAGCTAAAAAGGCAGACCGGGAAATCCTTCAGCTGGATTTTGATGTCATAGAGAGGCGTGGCGGTGATATTCCGTGGGAACAAGAGGGGCTTGTAATGTCTGGATGTCTCAAGACGAGTTTCGCGGTTGATAAATAGACGAATCGGCCTAGATGCCAGCGGGCACTCCTTGGTGTAGAGCTAGTCCGAAATCCAAATGCGTTTGCCCTTCGGGAGCATTCGTCTTCACTAGATGGTACGAGTTAACATAAGAAGTAAGTACAGAAAAGAGTCTTGAAAAGCTTAGGAGTACTAACGATCATACGTCTGATCTCGAGAGGCAGCTGGGGGAAGAGAGGGAATGTATGGAGCTGTTGGAAACTGAGGTCTTGGCCTCGTTCTGGCAGCTCACTGAGCGTAAGCGCATTCACAGCTGTTGCTGCATTGTCCATTCTCTCGAGACTGCGAGACTCTTGATATGATGATCGATTTGCGATAGTCAGACTGTTGGATCTGGCAGTATGGATCGTTTCGGATCGTAGCTCTGTGCAAAATATAGAATCATTTGATATTGTAGTTGACTCACACAGAGATTATTGTACAATCAAATGCGGTGAATGCTCTTGACGAACATCTTGGCATGTTGTGATGTTGTGACTTCGGCTATTCACTGCCCACCAATTTTCAACACGAATATGACTCTCGCCACGACATAACAAGGCTGTTAGTCACAAACCTGAGCCAGACTCATCTTCAAAACCACCTCTGGTTGATTCTCCAGAGTATATTCTCGACATAAGAAAATATTACGTGGCTCGAATCCTCGAACCGTATCCTCGAACTGCATCCCATTCGACAGCACAAAAGACATACAACTCGACCTCAGCCCAAAGCTTTGCATATCTCTGGTTCGTACATGTTCCCAACTCCAGTGTACGCTAACACGTTAAAATTGATACTCAGTCTGCGTTCTCTCTCTCACCTGCAAGATGAGTGACAATATCGAGGCCGGTAGCGCTGCTCTTGCGCTCTTCCGTCTCGAGCTCGCCGATCCTGATCAAGACCTCTCCATCCAAGATGTTCTGGCTTCCCTATCATTCCCTCAATTCTCCGACCTACCTCTCGAGTATGTATGCACTCCCATTCCTTCCTCGTCTTTGATCTGCCCTGTCCGCAATGCTTGGTTCCGTACTGACAGCCTTGGCATTCAGACTCCGCTTGACGATATACCGCTGTATGTTCCCAAAAGCGCGTCGACTCGTCTTCTATTTGCAGAAAAACCCTCCTGTAGAGATGATCTATGTGGCGCCTCGGCCTCCCGTCACATCCAAAGTCAACAAAGAAGCACGCGAAGAGACCTTGAAAGCATACCACGCGGTGAAAGTCGCTCGCGGACTTTCTAGATCAGCATCACAGACCATTCTGTGGAGTTCTGAGGTGGACATTTTGCAGTGCGATGTGCACATAATGATTTACGACTTCATACCCCGTCATTTCGCGTGGCACGAAGCTCAATGGACAGCATTTGCCAATTCAGTCAAGAACATCGAACTAATTTGCTTGAGGCCTGAACATCCGAGGTCTTATGCCATTGTCTCTGAAATGGTCGATTCCGATACTCTCAGAGATTTCAGCAATATCCAACAAATCACCTTACGAAGTCCTGACACCAACTGCTTAGCTATGCATGTTTGGTGTGATCAGTTTGTTCAGTCTTTTTCTGCTTTCAGGGCATCGAAAGTCAAGGAGAATTCCCATGTCTGCGACCCTATCATTACGATCTGGAAGCATTAAATGGCGAAGGAGGTATAGGAAATGTATCTTGAGAGCTGTTGTGGTATGGGAATGTGCTCCCACGGTCGTCTGGTCAGGCACACTGGCTGCAATTGAATTTCATCGTGGTTGCTAAGGATTGTTCTCGCGGCGTGGAGCTATTTGCTACTGTACACATTCCTGTAATATCAAATTTGAAAAGAGAAATGGAGGCAAAATTTGCATTGCTATCTGCTGGGTACTGACTTGTGACCCCTTACATTGACTCCACTTTGATGAACCCTGTCACTCAATATTAACGGACAAAACATATGACTCAACGCCCCAGTATCAAATCTCACCAACAAGTTCCGTTACATGAGTGCCTATATTCCTGTGTCTCTATCCAGGAAGCACTACTCTGTAGCCTTCACTTTCGACTCCAAATTGCGGGGGTAACCTTCTGTCTGGACATGATCCTGATATCTGGCACCATGCCCCCGTCTTCATCTGCCTTAATTTTCTCCAAAGAGTCCAAAATCGTAGTCCTTGTTTCGCTTGCATCTTCTGGCCAGTTTCCATCATGCCAAAGAGTATCTTGGACAGAATTATCGATAGAAAATATTTCGTCGGCTTGTATAAGATTTAGAGTCTTAAGGTTCTTGTATAGGTTGATACCGCCCACGCACTCGGTCAACATTTTATAGCCAGCAAGCCGAATCGTGAGCTCAGAGATTCCATCAAAAAGATCTGGAAAGACTTCGGTCAGCCACACATATCCGTTATTTTCACTTGCGTGCGCAAGGTAAATGAAGTCTCTCTCTGGACTGAAACACAGCGTTCTCTTGGTATCCTCTTCATCGCAGCTATCAGTCGGTAGTTCGGAAAAACAGATAACTTTATAGTGCTTCAAGGTCTCTGTCCGGCTTTCTCGATTGATTTGAAGCGAAATTGGGAGTTGTGGTGCACCTCGATCAACCTTCTGAGTCAACCAGAAACATTCGCGTATCAGCTTTAATAATTGTCCTCGTGGAAGTATGGCTCGCCAGATCATCAATCTTATCTCAAATGGGAGATACGGGAACAAGGTAAACTTTTGCAAAGTGCGGCTCTGCACCGAGAGGTCTTCTTTTGCATCAGGGAGCTCGAAGGTAAATAGTGTGAGGGCCTCGTTGATCTGTTTAATAGATTCTCCTGAACCGGCGAGATCCCTGGGCACATTAGAATGTGTCTCATACAAGAAGGAAGAAATAGCGTAGGAAACTTACATCTGCTCAATCAAATCGCCACTGGCAACTTCTTCACCACGTTTCTCTCCTCCGATTCCGAAAGAAGCCATACCGATAATCCTAGGGAGACTCATCTAGGCTCAAGGGCTAGTTCTTCCGGTGGATGGGGACCGTGGTGATATGTGAGTCGTGTTGAAGACCCCCAGATTGGGTGATGCTGTAAAAGGCTCTCGATGTTACTGATATTACAATATCTCGAGATCGAAGAGCTATATCGAAGGACGATGTCGCGAAGCCACTTTGCCTTCCGGGCTGTCGCGTAAGAAGGGAGCTAGTCTCGGTTGTATTGATTTTGAAGTTGTCGCCTTTTCCATGCACGTGCTTCCGGCGACATTAAGTAATTGTCAACTGGCACTTCGACGATCGTTTATAACAGCTCGGCGCTTAAATTGAATCTCCAGTGATTTTCAAAGCCCATCTGTTGCTTTCAAGGAAGTGAATGTGAATAGGAAGTCGTGTTTTGATAAAGCTCGGTTACTAGGCGCCAAGTCAATCTGGATTTTTATCAAGGTGCGACCAACCTCTCTTCCAAGCGCGCCTCGGTCGACTCATTTAATCATCTCCAACATCTCGATTGGTTTGAACCAGATCGAATTTGCTTTTCACTATCTTCAGGACAGTTTTCTTCGTTCTCGACTCTGAGCCTTAACATCCTGTGATGATACACTGATTCGAGAGGCTCAAAAGACGCGTAAATCGACATTTGGAAGTAATCATCTTTCTAAATGGTAGCTCGAAAGTGGTATCGTACTTCTAAGGTAAACAAATCTGACACCTCAATCGCCGATGTCAGTCTCGAGTTGGATTTCGTAATTTTCTGGCTAGGACAGACTTCGAGATCACTCACATCTTGCAACAGCAAAAACCACAGCATAGAGCCCCGAACTGGCAAGATGAAATCATCAAACAAGCTCTCTACTCGATCCATCGTCGCACCAACGAAGAAGGGAGGTATGTTATGCAGTGGACGATCTACTGCCACTCACAAGTACGCCTGCGTCTCACCATTGCCGTGCTCGTCAACTAACAGAACACGCCAGATACCCGACAAGATCTAAAGGTACTTTTCAATATATTACTGACATCTCCGATCGACTCGCAAAATTCACCCTCGAACTCCCAGATCCCAACGAACAGCTTATAGTCCAGCAATGGAGTTCCAACAAATTCAGCTTCTTCTCAAAGCTACCGCTGGAGTTGAGGATAATGATATGGAAGGCCTCCCTCCCCAGAGGTCGGCTCGTCAACCTCAATAACGAGATGACTCAACTATTCTGCACAAGTCACAAACGCGGCGCATGCGGAACACCATTCCCAGTATCACTCCACGTCAACCAAGAGAGTCGTCGTGAGACACTGCGCTGCTATCAGATCTTCCGCCTCGAAGACTTCCCATTCGACATCGAGACACATTTTTGGTGTCGCCGTCGACCTATTTGTTTCAGTCCAAGCCGAGATTATTTCTGGTTCCGAGAAGCAGCACTTGGATCGACGCTCAAGAAGTTCATCAAACGGTATCCGGTGACTATTCGAGCAATCAAGACCTTGGTCGTGGAGTTGGGCACTCGCGATAGTATGTTGAGCTATCATGAAGCGGTTGCTAAATTTCAAGGACTGCAGAAATTACTTATTCTGCAGCCAAGTGATCCACACTCTGAGGTATGGGTCGAAAATTGGAAGACTCTTACGGAGGAATTGCTGCCAGTTATGCAGAGTGCAGGGTTCTCTGTGCCAGAGACTCTGAAGCTACTACCTCATCAAAGCATATGCCGGAATATCTGGTGGGACAATTAAGTTGGGTCCGACTCATGCTCATGCCGTTGGACTGAGATGTATATTCTTACATAGGTAGTGTGGGAGGATACGAGAGCAATCAGTAGCCACAAAATGAACAAATCACCACCGATACACTTAGTAGAGTGACGTAGTATACAGTTGTTTTCTCTTTATATTTTGCCATCCCCTATGAGATTTATATGAAGATGCTCATACGTATGTAATCTTGGGGGTGGCTGTGAAGAGAATATTTTGTTAGCAATTCCATCGTAGGGTCACTGTCGGACACGAGAAAGTCTTTCATCCCTGTGTATGATTTTAGAGAGCTTCTAGGGCCATATGATATATGATATACTGATGATCGACTGCTTCACTGGTGAAGTATATTGGGCAATATCTCTGGCAGATCATTACACCTGGGGCTTGAAAGTGTATATTTGTATATTTTTCAAATCAAAGCGAGATGCAAAGACCAAAACGCATTGAGCAAGGCCAGCAATAGAAATTGTGCCAGCAATAGAAATTGTAAACATCTCAATATTAACACCGAGCCACCGATATCGACTTCAAATCAGTGCAACGCGAAGTTACCAGCATCAAATGCCCCAGAAAGTGCTTATCTATCAAACATTCAATGAAATGAAACCTCTTCCAGCATTGCGCTGACTCTCCTGCTCGGCACGCTTCTCGGGAGTAGTGCAGGTCTTCTTATGCTTGGTCCAGTCGCTGGTCTGGCACTCCTTGCTACAATAAAGTACCTCCTGTAACGTTGTCAGTCTTTGTTCCTTAAGCCAGTCTCTGAGAAACATCGTAGCTATGGAGAACTGTATATACTGACCTGGCATTTTCCGCACTTCTTCAATATCATTCCCTCGCCCAACTCATTGCTCTCCTTGGAGCATGGCTTGTGCTCGCAGCGGATTGCGTCGAAGTTGTAGGGAGTACCGTCGTTTTTGTATTTGGCTAGAGCAATCTCGAACTGTTCCTTCATCGGTGCCCGGAATCCAGAGTCGGCCAGGGGGAAGGAATATTTGGGAGAGACGTGGATCTTGGGGTAGGAATCACGGAGGAGTTCCATGTGGACTGGCTCGATGGTGGCACCGACACGCATTGCCAAGGCAGCTATGCTCCAGTCATGTTAACTTCTATATGGGAGTAGTCAGGAGAGGGTGTACTCACCAAGCAGAACCAGTCGAAGCTCTTTGGAGCTAAGACTTCCAGAGAGGAAGGGCTCGTTGGCGGAGTACTTGTTGAAGAGACTGCGCAAGACGCCATTGTTGAGGTGATCTCTGGTAGCTTCGAGACCCTTGCCAGAGAAGGAGAAATCTTCGCTCTCTCGCTCGTCGATCTCGTAGTAGTAGAGCTCGATTCCCGCATCCTCGGACATCATGCTTGCCTCGTCGAGGTCGTTATCACCTTCGAAGAAACGTTCACCCCAGCGACCCATGTTGAATTGATTATTGGTAATTGTGTTGTAGGGAGCTTTGTGTGGTATGGGGGAGAGTTGATTGGGTTTAATTGGAAGATTACAGAGAGCGGAGGTTGGAAGAGCACCTGCTATGAAGTTATCTGCTCTCGCTTAAAATGACGCTAGCGAAAGCAAACAAAAATGGCATTCACGACCAGGCACAGTCTGGGCGCCTACATATTCATCTAGGAATTTCGATAACCATTCAACTCAACTCCTTTATCACGAAATACAACATTGCTACAAACATTTCATACCTCACGAGGCGATCATTTGTTCGTCTCAGAGTACTACCCATTTCCGACGCCAATTTTGTGTACCAGGAAAGGAAAGAGCGCAGGGTTTGTAAGATGTGCGCAACCGAGCTCCGGCATCTTACAGAAATCTTTAAACATTGCCTTCTAGACTTTCTACATCGATAACAGGATGGATGATCTCATGGAAATATCCATACAAACACGTACAACTGGTACAAAAAAGGCTGGCAAAACCCCCAGTCCACGAAATCAGCGTTCACGGACTGCAATACATTACGTTTCCCCTCCAACTTTGTTTTGATTCAGATGTTTGAAATATTTATACCGAATACATCCTGTGTTCTTCACAAAGAGCCTGCGCATGTGGTATCCAACACACTGAGAACAAACTCTCCCAGGCGCTCCTCGTCTATCTGTTGGAAGATTAGCATTGAAATATTTACTTAATTGAGGACAATGTGTCATTGTTTCATGTTCAAAAAACAGGAGAACAAGAGAACAACATTGACACTATTTACAACTTTTCTCAAATGATTTACTTCTGAACTCAGCTACCTGGACAGATTCCTCTGTTTCTTTCTTCAAGAAATGCTATTTGATGTGTGGAACGTACCAATTCCAAGTGCCCTCCATGGATGGATATAACATCTGGATCTCTAGCGAGTTCCCATCGTTTTTAGTCACCAATCCTCCAGGCGGCTGTCGATGGTAGGCCCTCAGCAAGTCGAGAATTCCCGGGACTTCTTCACTCTCAGCTTCATGAGCAGGTTCCAGTCTCAGTACCTGTAGACTAGGATAGTCAGAGTGGAAGCTGACACCATTTCCAATGCTTTCTGAGCTCAACTCTTTCGTCATCCAGGTCTCTATCACACCAACATACATCTGCAATCCAATGGCACACGGCGGGTAAAAGAAGGACATGAATCGACACATTGCAAGCTCTGCCTTTGTCAAAGCTGGGTCGGGACTTTGGTTCAGCATTGTCTCAAGGAAATCGGCAGCCATGCAAATCGGCATACCGACATGGAGGATGGTGTCGACATTCTTGTCCCAGTATTCTAGACTTCCAATGTGAGCCAGAAAAAATTGATAATGGCGTAACGTTTCTGTGCGACTCTCGTGGTTGATTTGAAGTCCTATGGGCAGAGTGGCCGATCAGTCAGCCGGCTTTTAAGCCAATCAGTCAGCTGGGAAAAAAACGTCAGCCAGTCAGCTCGAATATATTTATAAGCCAGTCAGCTAGAATATAGCTAGCTTATAAGCTAGCTTATAAGCTAGTCCTTATATTTTTGACGATTTTAGAGTGAGGTTCTAAGCACTTAGTATAGCGATTTAATACTATACTTTCTGAAAATAGAAGTCTCGGAGCGGGAAAACTATTTCCGATTAGCTAGATTAGGCGGTCTAGCACGGCAGAATAATTAAAGCTCGTCTTAAGGCTATCTATATTATATAGTAACTCTCTAATTCTATCTGAATTAACGCTGTAAACATGTCTCGATCGATTACGCTTTTTAATATTAAGAATATAGCCTTAGAGGCTTTTAAATCTCTATCTGTAAGTACTATAAGTGCTCTAATCGATCCTTTTACTTATATAATAAGTGTAAGTAAAGAACCTTTAGTAAATATAACTTAGCTTCTATTTGTAATTAAAGACCGCTGCTAACGACCTAAGGTAGTATATAATAATAACTACGACTCTTTTAAGCTATTAAGAGATAATTTGAAAGCAGATTACTCTTTATATTCCTTTAGAGAACTGTTATTTAATAATAAGCTAGTAAACGTGTCACTTTTACCCCGAGGCTTTATTCTTATACCTATAATAAGTATTTTAAATCGATCGTAGCTTTAGAAAGTTAACTACACTCTAGTATAACCTAGGAAAAGTAAGAAACACTCTTTTTAGGCGTGTAAACTATATAAGCTACTTCTTTTATCTGTACCCCAAATACTAATAGAGTTAAGTTACTACGATTCTTAATTTACTAAAAATAAGATTATAGTCTTTAATAGTAACTCCCTTAAGAACGTAGCATGTTATATAGCTCTAGAGTATCAATTAGACTAAGATAGAGATATCGGAAAGCTTCCTTCAACTGTAATTCAACTTATATAAGCCTCTAGTCCTATAGGAGATAGTTATAAGTATATTATACCTTTCCGAGAGCTAGAATTCAGGAACACCTTTATTAAGTAGGTAGTAATAGATGATATTAAATACCGTAAAGCCTTCTCTAAATACCTTTATTAAATTATTAAAATTATAAATATTCAAGCTCTTAACACGTTACTTACTTCTTATTTAACTTTAGAGATCTAGGTAACTTAGAGATTTAAGTACTTCGAGCCGCAGATTATATAAGATATTATAGAAGCTTAATCGAAAGTCTCTATATCTTTTAATAGCTAGGGATTACTCTAGGATAAGATTAGTGTAGTTACAGTTGTTCTATATTATATAAACAAAAAAGGAGAAGCAATTATAGTACTAGCTAGCTTACTAGAGCTTCCAAGCTATAGAAAAACTAGTGTTAGTAAGCTAGTTCTTTTCTAGCCTCTCCCCTTTACTAATTAAGTATAGACTAAGCCTCTGTTATTCTCTCTCTCCTTTAATAATTCGGAATCAACGAATATAACCTTAGTTAGTTTATCCTTAATAACATATTAATATAATAGTCCGGTATTTACTCGCTGTAAATACAGAAGGCTATAGTTAATCTCTAATAATCGAGAGGTAGGTATATTATATAGATAGGAAAATAGTTACTAAGTATTAGAATACTATTTGAAGTTAAGTATAAAGCTCTTATCTAATAGTAGATATACTAGTCTTATATAGAACCTTCGTTCGCCTTAGATCCCTTAAGATACTAGATCCTTAGATCCTTAGATCCGTTTTCTTATAAGGGGATCTAGGGATCTAGGGATTTATTATATAACCTATTATCTACTATGATCTAGGTAACTATTACTACTGAAGTATAAGTGTATAGTAGTACTACTCGCTTATCTTATTATTATTCCCTAGCTAGTACTACCCTATCAGTAGTACTGCTCCCTTATTAGTACTAATGCCCCTATAGTACTACTAATAGTTTTATTATTATATAAGTGCCAACTGAACTATAGCGCTAAGGGGTCTATAACACTATCCCCCTCTTAGTCTAGCGTAGTCCCCACGCTTAAGTATAACCTTTAAGAAACGTTAATAGTTACTAATGACTATCTTCCTTATTTATTATATCTAGTATTATAAAGAAATTAAGTATCGCCTAGATAAAGAAAAAACAGAGTATTTAGCTCGCGCTTCGTATTAAGTGTGCTACGTAACTCGTAAAGCCTTATTCTTTCTATTATAGCCTTTCCTGTATTTACTTCTTAGATTTATTTATTTCGAAATAATACTCTAAGTATATTTACTTAAAGTGTTATGATTATAATACCTTAGGGTATATTAAGAGGTTCACTCCTAAATAACTTATATATTAGTTTAAGATAAGGAAAACCGTGACCCCTACTTACCCTTTAACGCCTCCCTCTAAGCTTATCGAGGATAATCTTACTCCTTAGTTCCTTACTTTCGAACTTAACGCCTACCTAGCGTCCTTTCTTAAGGGCCCGGCCCCTAACCTTAGGTCCCCTTCCTTCTAAGTAAACTTAGATTTTTTTAATAGAATCCCCGCAGAAGCCTAGGGCAGTAAAAGTTAGATTTAGGTTCCTAAGTGTTTTCTAATTATAAGTACTCTTTCTATTTAATCAGATATTTTAGTTTACTATAGAAGTACTAATAGTTAAGAATAGCCTCTACCTTATATTTAGCGTTCGGATTAATCGGTTATATTTCAGTAATAAGAGCCGGTAGTACTCCTAGTAGTACTAGTTTAAGGAGAGATATATAGAATACTAAGTGGATATTTATTATCTTTAGTAGAGCTAGTTAATAATTAACTAGTCCCTTGACTTTAGTAATCCTAAATAGTCCTAGCTTCTTATAATCTAATTTATAACTTAGTCGCTTAGTTATAATATTCCTTCTAAGTAAGTAAACTTTATCTCCCTCCTTAAGCGTTAGTCCTATACTACGCTTTCTATTATAGTAAATCGCAGATCTCTACGCGATAAAAAGAATATCAGCTAATAATTCTTTATAGAGCTATTTAAGCTTATCTACTTATAGTATAGCTTCCTACGCGGTTCCTTAACCGGTTATTAGTAGATTATATACCGTAGGATTATACTTATAATTCGTATAGAATAGCGATACTCTAATAGTCTCTTAATCCGCGCTATTATATATAAACTAGGCAAGTAGGAGCAGTTACACTTAGTTGTCCTACTTATAGTTCATATAATACTAAAGATAAGTCTCTATTATCTAGTTAATTCGTTCTATCTATATATTAGTCTAAAGATAGAATATAGTTAATATTTTCTACTTTATTCCTAAGAGCGCGATAAGAGTTTTCTAGAACTTTAAGGTAAAAAGCTTATCTTTATCTAAGATAATCTTATCTAGTATTCTGTAGCTTATAAAGATTATTCTAAGGAATACCTACGCTATTATAGGCGTATCTTATATTCTAAGTACTAGTACTATATATATATACTTTATAAACTTATCTGTTATTACACAGATTAAGTCATATATAATTCCTATAACTAAGTCTTTCGAGAGTAGTAGCTCGACTACGAAATCTAAAGCGATTAATTTCTATAGGCGAGGTAGTATTATTAATAACTTTATAAGCTTATACGGAGTATAGTATAATACCTTATTCCGGATATATATATCGCACGACGCTACTATATCCTTAATTACCTTCCTTATTCCTAAGAAGTAGTATTCCCTAGATAGCTTAGATAATATCTTAGCTACCCCTTAGTATCTATAAGTAAGTAGCCTATACTAGTGCGTAACGAATTTAATCCTATCCCTAGTAGGTATATAGATTTATCCCTAGTATAGAAGTATACTATCTAAGGTAAAGGAGAATCCTTCGCCTAGCTACTTCTTCTGTTTAGCTATAACCGGGTTATTAGTATAATCTTTCTAGATTTTCTCAGCGACCTAGCCTATTAAGGCTAGCTATCAGTAATTAACTATTAGTGAATTACTATCCCTTTATAGTATAGTATGAGATTCGTAAGTTTTATTTATAAGATATTCTAGTTTCCTACTTAAGGCGTTAGCTCTAGTGTTTTCTGTTCCCTTAATATAAGAAATTCGAAGTTTTATAATAGAGAGTGTTTTATACTATTAAACTTAGCGTTAGTTTAATTCTTTAGTAGTTATAAAGTAAATAAGATTCTTATAGTCCGTTAGGATCTATACTTCGTAGGTAGCGCCCTTAAGGTAGACCTTCTATTCGTATACTATGTCTATAATTACTAGTAACTCTTTATTATATATATTATAGTTAAGTTCTACTAGTAATAGTTTCCGTGAATAGTAAACGACTAGTTACTATCTTCTATCCTCGCCTAGCTAGCTAAGTATAGCTCTAATAACGTAGTCCGAAGAATCTATCTTTATATATATTTCTTTATTAGGGGTAAAGGAAGTAAGTACTAGTTCCGTAATAAAAGCTACTTTAAGTACCTTAAACGCTTTTCATACGCTATCGGACTAGTGGAATTCCTTATCCTTATAAGTTAACTCCGTAAGTAGCCTAGTGATTTTCAAGTAGTCCTTAATAAATCGCCTATAGAAGTTAGTAAACCTAAGGAATAATTATACTTCCTTAATATTTATAGGCCCTATCTACTTAATAATTACTTTAATCTTTTTAGGATCTATAACTAATCCTGTAGTAATAACTATATAGCCTAGAAAGATAACCTTATCTATGTAGAAGTTGAACTTCTCTAGTTTAAGTAATAAGTAGGCGTCCTTTAGCCTCTAGAGAATAGCTATAATATCCTTTATATATTACTCCTCTAATTTAGAGTAGACTAGTATATTATCTAAATAATATATATATGTTATATCTAAGTAAGGCTGTAAAATATTATTAATTAGACGCTGAAATATAGCTAGTGTGTTAGTTAAGCCGAAGAGTATAACTGTATACTTGTAGTAACTGAAACGAGTGTGAAATACTATTTTCTCTTCTTTACCCTTAGCTATTTTAACGAGGTTATATACTCCTCTT